TTAACATTATATAGCATATACAAAATTGTGGTAATAGAAGCAGTTATTGTTAGGCAGACCAGATATCTTAGATGAGTAAGAGAACAAACAAGGACTTTAACTCTTAGACTTGGGAAAGCTAGGGCCCAGAAGATTCCATCTAAGATCTGCCTGATTTGGAACCACTAGCAGTTCCGGAAGTCCTCCTCTCAGCGTGTTCCAGCGCTTCTGGCCTATGTCCACGGTCGTCAAGGACATTTTACAGCTAGTTCTAAAACAGTTCTTTACCTCAGGGCTACATGACCTTTTAAAATTTATTTTCCTATTAATTTATTCTGATAAAGTACAAATCAGTTCAAGAAAGCAGCCAAGAGAATCAGTCCCTCACATCTCCTAGTGAAATGTTGGTAAAAAGTTCGCAGGCTCAATCCAAAGGCCCTTTAGCGCGAGTTAAGAAAAACCAAGTGAAACAAAGTAGGAACTTTATCATAAAAATAGTATTCCTTATTTCAAAACTGAGAACTACCTGTTAAAATAAGTTTAAATAATTTATCAGATACTGGAAATATTTTTGCTTATTCAAAAAGCAATGTTGGGCCCGGCGCGGTGGTGCAAGTGGTTAAAGGTCCTCGCCTAGCACGCCCGGGATCCCATATGGGCGCCGGTTCTAATCCCTGCAGCCCCGCTTCCCTTCCAGCTCCCTGCCTGTGGCCTGGGAAAGCAGTCAAGGACGGCCCAAAGCTTTGGGACCCTGCACCCGCGCGGGAGACCCGGAAGAGGCTCCTGGCTTCGGATCGGCATAGCATGGGCCGTTGCGCTTACTTGGGGAGTGAATCATCGGACGGAAGATCTTCCTCTCTGTCTCTCCTCTCTGTATATCCGCCTTTCCAATGAAAAAATAATAAAATAAATCTTTAAAAAAAAAAACAAAAAAACAAAAAGCAATGTTGAAGAAGCAGAGTAGCAGGAAGAATATATTAAAACTCACAGAGTTAACTATTTACCAACTAAGAATTGCTGCCTGTTTGTTAAAACCATTCACCTTGGGGCTGGCATCATAGCACAGGTTTTCCCACTTGCTGAAACATGGGCAACTCATATGAACATAGCTTGTGTTGTGGGCATTCCACTTTTGATCCAGCTCCCTGCTAATGTGCTTGTGAAAGCAGTGGAAGATGGTCCAAATGCTTGGGCTCCTGCCATGGACGTGGGAGACCCGATGGAGTACCAGGTACCTGGCTTCAATCTGGCCTGACCCTGACCTTGACAACCACTTGGAGAACAAACGAGCAGTTGGAAGATGGAGAGTACGCTCTCTCTGTTTCTCCCTCCCCTTCTCTCTCTCTCTCTCTCCCTCCCCCCTCCCTCTCCCTCTCTCTCCCTCTCCCTCTCCCTCTCTCCCTCTCTCCCTCATTCTGTTTGTGATCCTGCCTTTCAATCAAAAAAATGAATCTTTAAAAAGAAAAACCAACTGATCCCCTTGTGTAATTCTTTTTCTTCACAGTTTTGCCAGTTCAGTGAACTCTGTGTTCACAGGGGGTTAATAAAATTTGTAAAGTTAACAGCTTTGATTTTCCATAGAACTTTGAAAGTTATTTTTGAAAACTTTAAAAATCTGTCTCAAAGGAATTAAGGCAGTAGACGCCTAGTGATTGATTCCTGAAGCTCGGCTCGTATGTCTTCCTATCTGATTGTACAGAAACATCACCCTACATGTGAGAAGGCTGGAACTTCCTCAAGAAAACAAATACTCACAGTAGGAAGCAGGTGTTAGAGAAGTTGAAAGAAGTCACTGCATGGAGGGAACAAAGAGGATGTCTTCCCATTTTGTCCAGGTTTTCCTCTCAGCTGGTTTCCAGGGACTATCTAGGTCTTCATTGTTTTGTCTGAAAGTATTGTCAGATACTTCAAAAATGGAGAGAATTGTCAGTTTTACAGCTTCTTTGAAGCCACGAATACATGTGTTGCCCAAGGAGAAAGAAACTTTTCCAAATACATTTTGAAAGTCTCACACAATAGTGGTTTGAAAGCAGAATGCTTAGAAAAAAGGTTGAGAAATTCTGTCATGAAATGTAGGTGATTACAGTAAGGCCACACAAGTTCCCGTCGTTAACTTGGCTCACTTATGACAATCTGGTGGGTTGGCTGCCTTCTGCATGTCCTGTTTCTGCTTTCTAATGGTTGAGACTATCATTAGGCTCTGCAAAATAAAACTGAGTTGAAGGGGACAAACTAGGCACAGTGGTTAAGCTGCTACGTGGGACACCTGTATTGCGTGTTGGTGTCTGAGTTGGAGCCCCAGGTGCTCGGCTTCCCTTAATACACACCCTTAGGAGACAGAGGAAGACAGCCTGATACCTGGGTCCCCGCCACCCCTGGGACAGACCCAAACAGGCTTCTTGACTTTGGTCTGGCTCCAAGCTGGCTGTTGACAGCATTTTGAAAAGAAACCGGTACTTGATCTTTCTGTTTCTCTGCTTCTTTTGCACACATGTGCTTCCCACTAAAGTGAAAAGTAAGTTAAAAATGTTTTAAATTGGAGGAAGGGGAGGAGAAGCTGGAAATGAAAGGTATTTGGTGGGACTGAGGCTTGGGGATTTTAGAGGAGAAAAGAAAGAATAGTTGGTATTTAGCAGTGTAGTATAAAAAAGGTGGGTGGGGGAGGAAAAGGGTGTTTAAAAAGAAGGCTCGGACCCATTTCGTGGTTCTTGGGATAGGCGTGCAGAGCAGGCCCTGACTGCGCTCTCACATGGAGCCGCACGGGTCACTGCTTTGTGCCACCGATTCACCGCGGTCAGGAGGAAGAATCGATTCTCTTCCACTCCGCATTTATATAGGCTTGGCTGTTTCCCTGATGAAGACAGTTGCAGTTAAAGATATTTGGGTCCTGTAGGTTTGAGAGTTATACTTTCACAATCACCTGTGCTATTCAAACTTCCAAGGGAAGACAGAAAGGGAAAGAAGAGAAAAAGAATATCATGATCCTTGTGATCAAGTCTAGCACCATCGGAAGACTGATTTGTATATTGGTGTAGCGGTTGATGTATCAATCACAGAAAAGATGCCATTGTTTAATTTCAAAGATTTTTCTCTCCTTCACAGACCGATGATAAATTGTCTTTCATAGTTAGGAACTTCTGATTTTATGGGAGTTTCCAAAATCATTAAACGCCTTGTGTTTATTTCTGCTGTAGTCTAATTGCAAATCTAGCCTGTCTAGCTTTTGTTCTCAGCCAGGGATGATTGCCCAGCCCTCGTCTCAGGAATATTCTATGCCTCTCTAAAATTTAATTGAGATGGGTGTGGGTTGATGCCAGGATCTAGTAGGTAGAAGATAGGGTTGCTGCAGAATATCAAGATGGAATACGCACAGCACAGCCCCTTCTAACACAGATCCCTTTCTGAGTTGTCACAGATTTGTTTTGCGTTCATTCTTCACTTTCTCAGCTCCCCCTTTTGCATTCCTCTTGAACTTCAGAGCAGGTCTCGTTCTCATTCTAGCCAATTTTCCCACCAAACTCATCTTCCTTAGAGCAATGGACCTTTCTACACAGCATTTTTGTGATTCTGCAATTCTTCCTCATAGTTCAGCTGCTGGGGAACATGGTGTGGGACCCAGTAGAGTCTGCTAATTAGAAATGTTGGCTTTAGGTACAGACTGGCTGCGTTCAAGTCCCAGCAGCACCACTTACTATCTGTAGCCCAAGTTCTCACTCTCTCTGTGCCTCTCTTTTCCCACCTGAAAACCACGTGGATAAAAATGGCCCCTACCACTGAGAATCGTTGCAAGCCTGGGATGAGTCCATTCTTGAGAATGTTGCATGAAACCCAAGTGCTTAGTAAGCATTAACTATCAGTATACTTCCTCAAGAGCCCACCAAAATCTATGCTTTCCAACGCATTTCTTCCTCACTACCCCAAATCTGAGCAGCAGGGATATTTTATTCATGAGGGCCTCCGTGAGTTTTCGCTGTTCCCCTGACACTGAAGGTTTTAAATGTAGGAAGGCAGAAGTGCTCTAATTTTGCTTCCTTTTGTGTTGGTTACACGTCCCCTCTGTGAGGCAGAATATTTGATTGTGCGAAGATGTGTTTAGGTATTAGTTTGGGTACACTCCAAGATTTGTGTGCTAATGATTTGGTTTCCAAAGTCTTATGTTAATGGTACTGTGAGGATGGAAATGTAATCCAGTTGTGGTGCCAGAAGGTGGAGCCTTGGGAGGTGATCAGATTGGGTTAAGGTGGTAGGGCAGACTGCGACTGAATCATGGTGGCAAAGGAAAAAAAAATCTAGCATCATATTATCAAGGTGTCTCTAACTGCTTTGTTAGGAGTCCTCATTTTACTGAGGAATAGAGATGCATACTGCAGTGTAACTTCACTTCCTAGTGGGTTAGTCCCATTGTATAATCTGTCTATGAGCATATATGTACATACTTGTCTACCTGTATCTATTTATTTTGTGTTTTGCATTGAAGGATATCTTAGAACATATGACATTTGTTCTTGGGCGACTGATTTATTTCCCTGAGCATAATGTACCTCCAAAACCACGATGTACTTAAATACCAGAATGCTAAATGTATAACTGCTACTAAAGGACTATACTGTGGTGACAGTATGGGGGGAAATGGAGAGGGAGGAAGAGGATGGGAGGGAACGAATCCCTGTCCTTACAAAACTGTATCATGGGAAAAAAAATTAAATAAGTGAAGATGCTGTAGTAGGGAGATGATTCAGTTGGAAAAGCAGGTCTGCATAGATAGACTGATGAAGAGCTGGATGGATGGCTGGACCGATGCTTGATTGCACACGGGGCTGAACTAAAAATGTTATTTCTTATTCAGAGTCGGGATGGCTATTCATAAAGAAGTCTAAGCAGGTTCATGAGTTCTCTTGTGGGAAATGCTTAAAGGCCCAAACGGTAACACAGAAAATGGAAGCGGCATACATAGTTTGCTTTGTTTTTTTTTCTGATTTTTTTGCACTATTTTGACTTTCTTATCTGTCTTAATGTTTCAGATCATAAGGCCTATGGATTTTCTGCTCCCAAAGACCAACAAGTAGTCACAGCAGTTGAGTACCAAGGTATAGTTTCCCAGATTCTCATGGATTCTATTGTTTTAAGAACTCATTTAGATGGCACATGTGGTGCCATATTTTTCCTCCCTTTCTCCCTCCCTCCCTCCCTTCCTTCCTTCGTTATTTACCCACCTCTCTTTTTCCTCTTCTTTCTATTTGATTAATTTGAAAGGCCGATGGAGGGAGAGGGAGGGGGTCTCCCTAGCTGTTGCAGGCTGAAGCCAGGAACCAGGAGCTTCTTCTGGGTCTCCTACAAGGGTACAAGGGGCCAAAGGCTTCAGCCATCTTCCACTGCTTTCCTAGGCCTATTAGGAGGGAGTTGGATTGGAAGTGGAGCAGCCAGGATATAAACCAGCACCCATCTGGGGTGCTGGCACCGCAGGTTAGCCTACTATACCACAGTGCCGGCTGCTAAAATTATATTACTTATTTTTGCATTACTTTAGAGATTTTTTGAGGTGAGGCTTATATAACAGAATATCGTTCATTTACAAGTGAATGGTTCAATGGCACTTAGAATATTCAGAATATTATGCAACTACCACCTCTAGTTCAGAAATTTCCATCTCTCTAAATGAAACTTTATAACCAGTTACATGCCTTTCTAATATATTATTTATAATATATGAAGCCTTTTAAAATTTATTTTAATCAAATGTTAATTTCACTCCAAGACAGGTGCGCTCCATTTTCTTTTTTTATTTCTGTTCTTTTAGATTTTAAGATTTATGTATTAGTGGTGAATGTTGTTGGTGAATGTTGTTGGTGCTGTCCAGGACACCTGCACTGGAGTGCTTGTTCAAGTCCTAGAACCTCTATGTCCAAATGGAGCTTTCTGTATTGGAAGAATCCACATACTTGGATTGCTGCAGTGTACCCATATGGGAGACCTAGAGAGATTTCCTGACTCATGGCTTTGGCTTGGCCCAGCCCCAAATGTTGCAGGTGTTTGGGGATGTGAGCCAACAGATTAAAAATCTCTGTCTCTCTGTATCATTCTTATCTTTTAAGTAGATAAAAATAAACAAATAGCTTTGAAAGATTCCTTTATTTGAAAGGCAGAGTGGCATAGAGAGATGGGGTGAGAGGAGAGGGAGGGGAGATTTTCCTTCTGCTGGTTCACTCCGTGAAATGGCCTCAAAGGACTATCCAGGTCAATCCAGGAGCCTGAAACTCCATGCAGATTTTCATCCTGGGTGCCATGGGCCAACATAATTGAGCTGTTTTTCCCTGCTTTCCCAGACACAGTAGCAGGGACTTGAATTGGATGCCAAGCAGCCAGAACTCCAGTGTGGGGTGCTGATATGGTATGCCAGTATTGCGAACGGTGGCTTAGTTGGCTGTGTCACAGTCAACATTTTTCTAAAGCGTTCTATTTTAACTTTACTTTGCATGTGCCACAATTATTCAGTTTGATTATTTTTTTAAATAATAAATTCATTTTATTTTTGATGATGTTTACATAGTAGAGAGGGACACATGCCCATGCAGACCACCAATTTGGGTGGCGGGGGTCTAGGCATGGGGGAAAGTAGATGCTCCAATCTCATTTTTCCTTCTGGTATGTGATGAAAGTGGAATGGGAAAAGGGAGAAGGCCGCTCCCAGCAACCCACAATCTGATTCCTTGTAAAGCAAAAATAAATGACGATTTTCTTTTACATCATGGTTGGGGATATTATAGGGGTACTTGATTTTGACTTAAAGCCTCTATTTTATGGTGTGGATATGTAGGTATGTGTGGTCCACTCCAAACACTTACTTTTTTACCTCTGGTTTTTCAAATGTTGAGGGAAGCGCCTCTTTGGTGCCGGCATCTTGTGTCACTTCCGCTGGATTTTTACAAGCAGAGACCCAAGTCAGGGCGGCCCTGCCACCCTGTGCAGAGTTTCCAGCCCTCTGACGGCTGTTACTCCACATTCACTAGTAAGCATTTTCCCACAGAAGCAATTTTTGCTCATTCTGCAGAACTACTTCACTGGCAGCAGGGTTTTTTTTTTTTTTTTGTATTATATAAGCTTTTGATGATTTTAAACTTGAGCACATATAATACACTCAAGGTAGCAGGACAGAACCCTATTAAACATTCATAGTGATTCTATATACAGGAGGTCTTTTAATGACACTTCAGGGAAGATTAGTGTCATGGAAAAACCTATGCATGGATTTCAAAACATTTTTTTGCAACAAAAAAACTTTAAATTTAACTTTTCCATGAACTTTTTAAAGTCTCTACAGGTGATTTCTACAAGGGTTTATTTCACTCCAGGTTGTGATCAATGATTCTGTAGATAACTACTTTTCTTAATCCAATGAAGCAGATATTTGGCAATGAAATAATCACTTTGATAGGATGGATACCTAGACGTGAAAAGAAATGGGATGTCTATATGTCATTTTCTTTGCTGTCCCAAACAGAGGTAAAATTTTGTTCATATGGGAGTCATGCACAACTCATCTTGTGATGACATAGAATAGGAATTTTTGTGCCATTAACCTGCCGCTAGATCTAAAGAGGCATTTTTCATGGATGAAAACGCTGTTGACTGTTTATGGAGCACCTACTTTACACAAGGCATTGTGTGCACCAGACACGAGCAAGCTTCAAAACGTCAGTGGAAAATGCACGTTCCAAATGTTTTGTACCCAAATAAATTCACATTTTTACTCCATTTTCACGAGCTGTTTGAAATACCCTTGAATCCAATACATTGTCTCATTTAATCTTTACAACGATCTTGTCAGATGGGTATTGACTTCCATCATTTTATAGATGTGGGTTTAATGTTCAAAAAAATGTTAAGTAATTTTGCAATATGCATCTAGTATGAGTGTAGCACCAAAACTTTATAGAACATGGAATTAGAGGTATGATTATTCTAGTGAAGAAATTTTGGTCAAAGATTTATTTGTGTTTGAAAGGCAGCTACAGGGCCCGGCACAGTGGCGCAAGTGGTTAAGGTCCTCGCCTTGCACGCCCTGGATCCCATATGGGCGCTGGTTCTATCTCAGCAGCCCCGCTTCCCTTCCAGTTCCCTGCCTGTGGCCTGGGAAAGCAGTCAAGGACGGCTCAAAGCTTTGGGACCCTGCACCCGCGTGGGAGACCCAGAAGAGGCTCCTGGCTTCGGATCGGCATAGCATCGGCCGTTGTGCTCACTTGGGGAGTGAATCATTGGATGAAAGATCTACCTCCGTCTCTCCTCTCTCTATATCCGCCTTTCCAATAAAAATAATAAAAACAAACCTTTAAAAAAAAAAGGCAGCTACAAAGAGACACAGGGAGAGACAGAAAGTATTTCCTTCTTGAAGCCATAAAACAGCCCCAACAGTAGGATCGGGGCTGAGCCGAAGCTATGAAGCCGATGCTTCTTCCAGGTCTCCCACGTGGGTGCAGGGCTGGGAGGGCCTGAGCCGTCTTCCCCTGCTTTCTCAGCTAAATTGCCAGAAAGCTGGATGAAGTGGAGCAGCTGGGATGCACATTAGCGTCTCTAAAACGTGCCAGCATTGCAAGCTTTGACTTTACCCACAACCTTGGCCCTAGTTTTTGGTTGGTTGGTTGTTTTATTTATAACGAAAGACAGAGGTATAAAGAGAGAAGGAACTCAAGAGAGAAAGTAAGATTTTCCATCACTCCCTAGATGGTCACACTATCCAAAGCTGAGGTAAGGTGACATGCTGGCCTGAAATTCCATCCATGTCTCCCACATAGGTGGCAGGGACCCCAAACACGAAGGCCATGCAGCTTTCCTAGGTACATTAGCAGGAAGCTGGGTCCAGAGTGGAACAGCCATGACTTGAAACTTATCATTTAGGACTTTGGCATCACCTTGTGTCTCAACACTGGCCCCAACAAGTGACATTTTAACTATTATGCCAATTGTCCAACTGGCACAAAAAAGTCTGAAATAGTTGTTTTCGTAGAGAACTCTCTGAAGGCTCCTTATACATGGCAGAAGCTGGGTTTTAAAGTACTAAATATGGCATAATAACCCTGAAGCTCAACACAGAAAAGTATGCTGTCCATGCATGTTGAAATGTATGTAATTTGGATTATTTTATTTTATTCAAGAAGCAGAGAGATAGGGCCTGCCGCAATAGCATAGCAGTTAAAGTCCTCGCCTTGAACTCACCAGGATCCCATAAGGATGCCAGTTCTAATCCCAGCAGCCCTGCTTCCCATCCAGCTCCCTGCTTGTGGCCTGGGAAAGCAGTGGAGGATGGCCCAAGGCTTTGGGACCCTGCACCTGCACGGGAGAGCTGAAGGAAGTTCCTGGTTCCTGACTTTGGATGGGTGCAGCATCGGCCATTGCGGTCACTTGTGGAGTGAATCATCGGACGGAAGATCTTCCTCTCTGTCTCTCCTCCTCTCTGTATATCTGACTTTGTAATAAAAATAAATAAATTTAAAAAAAAAAAAAGGAGAGAGAGATAGGGAGAACGCTACCATCTTCTAATTCAGTCTCCAAATGCACCCAAAAGTCAGTCAGCTGGCCCAGGGTGAAGCCAGAAGCCTTCTGAGTCTCCCATGTGGGTGGTAAGGAGCCTGAGGATTTGAGCCGTCTCCTGCTTCCAAAGTGTGCATTATTAGGGTGATTGCCGTGGGAATGGAGCACGACTTGAACCCTGGCACTCTGCCAGGAGGTGCAGATCTCCCATGCAGTGCTATGCCTATCTCGCCCGTGGCTGTTGCATTTTAGCTACAAAGAAGAGTCCAGGGACCTTAGTGGGTGAGTTCAGGCGGTTCTTTGTCCTCAGGTGTTGACCCCACAATTCCAATATTTTTCTCTCTGTATTCATTTTCAAGGGCTGCCATAGCAAAATTCTGCAAACCAGGTTTATTAAAATATCAGAAACTTAGTTCTGTCACAGCTCTGGAAGCTAGAAGTTCAAGATCAAGGTATTATCACCTTGGAGTCTAGGCACTGGCTTTGCCTTGCTTGGGACACTTTTTCTCACAGAATCACATGGATTCCCTTTTGGTGTCTCTGTCCTCACACCTCCCGTGTGCACACTGCTCTTCACAGCACTAGTCTCCTTCTACCTACTCTCTAATTCACTTTTTTTTTTTGGCATTGTCTCTTTGTCCAACTTTCCCTTTCTAGACTGTCAAATGCCAAGCACTGGGAATCTGTTTTGTCCAGTGATACTGCACAAGAACAACGCTGGCCATATTCTAATCATTCAACGCGATTACAGCAAATTGGCTAGGACCATTTCTCACCTCTTCCGTGGTGAATGAGAGAATCTGGCATGTGGTTACTGGACTGGGAAAAAACACTGGTTACATTTTCTAATATTATTTCCACAGAGTAGGAAGGATTGCAATCAGTAAGGATTCACCAGTAGGGCTGTGTATATAGTTAAACACACACGTCTGTGTGTATGGTTCAATATGTGGGACCGTATGATATTCAGTATGACATTATTAAGATACAGGCATATTCGTAAGATATGGGCTAAAATGAAGGTGGGTGTGTGTTTCATTGTTGGAAAACTCAACAAACTACGGGAAGGAAACCTATCTAAAGCACAAGCCTCCGGAAGGTTGCCACCCATTCTTAATCAACAGAACAGCACTGGACTTCCTCAGACCGGTCCCTCAGCACACATTGGCCTTTGTAGTTGTAAACACATCTGCAAAATGGTGTCTCTCTGTAGTGTAAAACCTGTTTTAAAAATTGAAAGCAATTTTCAGGGTTTTTTGTTTCCTTACCTTTCTTGTTTCTGCCCTACTTGCTATTTTTCACCACCTTTTATTCTCTGTATTTCCAGCAGTACGTGTGGAAATAAAAATAATTAGAAAATACATTTCATCAAAAGCATAGAGTATGCACAAATGTCTGCTGGATTATGATTTTCATTGCGTTTCTTATACACCTTTTCTCCTTGTCTATGTACATATTTTTAATAAAGCCTGGATATCATTACCAAGATCTGATCGACTGTATCACATAATATTTTGAATTTTTAAAATACTTTAAAAGTGTCATTAAATTTTTCTTCTCAAAATCAGAGGTAGGAAAAGTAGTTCAACATAGTATCTAGCCAAAGATGCTGTGGTTTTTAAAATCAAACCACATGTTATGGGAAAATAATGTCCCTGAAATAGGGGGTTTGCATTCTACAGAGTCTGGTTGCAGAATGCTTGAGAAGCATTTATATCTGGAATTTCTAGTTTGCCAACCGAAGGAGTTCACACACAAGCTCTGGGTTTTTCTCCCCACAGGCATTTCGTTTGGACAGTCCAAAGAGGGGTTGAGTTGGAGGTTCTAAGAATTGCTTACTAATGCAACTGTAGTAAATTTCCTATAATAGAGTCAACTTAATACTTGGAGGCAGTTAAACTTGGTGCCAAGATTACACGTTTAAATACCTTAGATGGAAGCAAGGGTATAGGCAGTCTGTCTGTGGTAGGAATGAACAGGGTAGAAGACCATGCTTATTTGTCTTCATGTATTTGTAGGGAGGGTTGGCAAAGAATCTGCGTGGGAATGCACTCTGCCTACACACACCATCTCCGTGTTTTATAGACTAGTCAGGGCTGTCCATTCACTGAGGCTGAACTGAATCGATACTATCATACTTGCCTCTTATGACTAAAAATAAGATAATTAACCGTAAGTATCATTTACTAAGGCTTGTGTGTTTTACATACATTATTATGTATGAACATTCAGAACAACTCCGAGTATTACTCCAACTTACAGATGGAAACTGGGTAACTGTGGGAAGTGACATTATGTCACCCCTTCATTATGTGTAAGAATTAGAGTGCTTCATGTGGGGTTAAGTCAACGTGGTATCGACTGTTATAATTTATGAACAAATGAATAGAAATACGAAGAGTTAACTTAATGGCATTTAAAATGTTAGCTGCACAAGTAAAAGAATCCATAGAAACACTTAGCAAATAAATACTTTTGTTGTTCTTTCTAGAGGTTATTTTAGCCTGCAAAAACCCAAAGAAGACCACTTCTTCCAGATTAGAGTGGAAGAAACTGGGGCGGAGCGTGTCCTTTGTGTATTATCAACAGGCTCTTCAAGGTAAGAAGCTGTTGACTTGAGCAAACCAGAGCAAGGAAATGCCAAAGGCAGACTAAGTCCTTAAATTTACAAATCAGAACAGGACATCACTGATTACTGAAAACGTGTCTTTGTAAGTGTGAGGTGAACTCAGCCGTGTCTGAGACCTGAAACACGACAGCCACAGGAACGAAGCAGAGGAGCGAGTTAGGTGAACCCAATGGAGTCCCTGCACCCTTGGCTCCATTTTATAAGATGCAAAGTAAAATTGTTCTTACTCAGCCTCAACTTAACTCTTGAAATAAGGGGATGAAAAATGGTGTCAGATTGGGACACAGACTGCAGCTGAGTCAGTGTAACTTCTTAGTGTTTCCTTACTTCCAGCCAGGAAACCAGGTTGCTACTGAGAAACAGGGAGGTGAGACTTTTGAATGGCTAATTACAGTGACCCATTTCAGTGATCTGTTTTTTGGCTCCTTATACATTCGTTACAGATAGTTGCACCTTTAGTTCCACTCTCATCCTGTTGAACATGTGATATGCTTTTCATCTAAAACGTTGATGATGACAATTCAAAGTGTTAGATGCCCAATGACAGAGGCACAGATGAAGAAATGGCATGGATTATTACAGCTCAACTGAGTCTTTTTTTTCTAACTTTCCAAGTATGTGTACGTGTCAATTTTTCCATTATAAATCTTTTTAGAGTTGGAAATACAACTTGACATGGATAATGAATATTATTATTTAAAATGGCTACGCAGTAAAAATCCAGAAGCAAATTTTAAAGAATGTAAAGCATTAAGTGGAAAAACGATTTGCAAATGCATGGAAAATTTAAAATATCCCCTTTTCTATATTATCAAGTCTGTGGGAATGAAAGTGCTAATAGCACAACTGTCTTTATTCCAATTTCCTGCAGTTACCATTTCTGGTATCTAGACATTCTTTAAAATCACATTTTAATTCTGTATATGTCACTATTAAAATCTGGCCATAAGAATGGAAGACTCTCCTCTCTTCCCCTTTTCTTCTGTGGCAGGATCAGGTTGGCTGTGACAGGTGCAGTCACCGATAGACCCAGCTCTCCTTTGATTTTGGAGACATGACCATTTCTGCAACCTAGAGAGGGGATGAGACAGACATTTGGATTGAATTCTTAGAGATAAATCACAGAAATATTAGACTGTTTTTTAATATTCTAAAAAACTTCTTATAAATTAAAGCTAACAGCACATGTGGGTAATTTTAAGTTTTAAAAATAAGTTCCTTAGCAAGAATTTCAGTACCTTTGGTAACTAAATGAAATAACTCCAGGTATCGTATTGAAAACTCTTCGCCTTATCATTAATTTTGTCTCCTTTTTGTAAAAGGTGATTTCAAAGATCGGGCTGAGATGATAGATTTCAGCATACGCATCAAGAACGTGACGAGGAATGATGCTGGGAAGTACCGCTGTGAAGTTAGTGCCCCCTCTGAGCAAGGCCAAAACCTGGAGGAGGACACAGTCACGCTGGAAGTACTAGGTGATATGCATGCATTTACCGACTGTCTCCAGCTGCATGGGTACCTCCTGGCTCTCACCTCCATCCTTCTCTCCTGCCCCCTTCCCCACCTCCATCTCTCCTTCATCACCCTCTTTCCCCCACCTCCATCTCCATTTCCACATCTTCTGGGAGCAATGAAATGTCCCTGTCCAGGCACGCTGCACTGCAGAGGTTACCCCCCCCCAGTGGTTCCCAGAGGTCACAGACATCATTCTCCCACTGAGGTCTTGGCTGTTTTTCCTATCACTTCATTGGCTGTGCAAGTTTTACAGTTGGTTCTCACCAGAGCATGTGTCACTGTGCAGGCCTGAGGCCCTTCCTGATGGTCCCCCACTACACACAGGAGTACTTTCTCAAGACTGGCAGGGGGTTCTGGCATAGGTATTGCTTCCGCCACCACTGTTGGCAATTAACGTATGCTAGGCTCTCCACATACCTAATGATTTTTACAGATGAGGAAATAAAAGAGTAATAATGTTCCCAAGGCCATTCCGGCACAGAAAGGGTCGTTAACCCCAAAGCCAGTATGCTTACTTAATATAGGAGATACTGGTAGCTGTTAACAGCTTATGATTATAATTGGTAGAGGAACATGATCTCTCTCTCTGTTTTCTGAAGATTTGTTTATTTTTATTGAAAAACTAAAAGATGCAGAGAGGAGGAGAAGAGAGAAGATCTTCCATCTGCTGATTTACTTGCTAAGTGGCTGCAGTGGCCTGGGCTGAGCCGATCCAAAGCCAGGAACCAAGAGCCTCTTCTGGGTCTCTCACTCAGTCCTTGACTGCTTTCCTAGGCCACAAGCAGGGAGCTGGATGGGAAGCAGGAATGCTGGAATTAGAGCTGGCGGCTGTATGGGATCCTGGCGTGTGCAAGGCAAGGACTTTAGTCACTAGCCTGCTGCATTGGGCCCATGGTCTCTTCTGTTTCTTTGGTGTTAGCATGAGCTACCAAGCATAGGGAATAAAAGAACTTGCCTTCTCTTGTGTGTGTGTGTGTGTGTGTGTGTGTTGCCTATACCCCTCCTGAAATATTGGTGATGTATTAGTAAATTTAAAATTTAATTCAGGGCCCGGCGCGGTGGCGCAAGTGGTTAAAGGTCCTCGCCTTGCACGCCCGGGATCCCATATGGGCGCCGGTTCTAATCCCGGCAGCCCCGCTTCCCTTCCAGCTCCCTGCCTGTGACCTGGGAAAGCAGTTGAGGACGGCCCAAAGCTTTGGGACCCTGCACCCTTGTGGGATACCAGGAAGAAGTTCCTGGATCCTGGCTTCGGATCAGCATAGCATGGGCCGTTGCACTCACTTGGGGAGTGAATCATCAGATGGAAGATCTTCCTCTCTGTCTCTCCTCTCTGTATATCCGCCTTTCCAATGAAAAAATAATAAAAATAAATGTAAAAAAAAAATTTAATTCAGATCCTTGTGGCAGTTTTAGCCAGTGTGTGTGTTGGCTCTTGCCAAGTAACATGTAGAGCATTCCTTTATTAGCTCATGGTTCCGTGGGTCGGAAGTTCACAGCGTGGCTCAGTTCTCTGCCCAGGCGTCACCTGGACTGAGTTCTTGTCTGGAGGCTTTGAAGAAAATCATGGTGTGGGCAATCTCACTACTTTTGCTGACCAAGTTGCCCATCAGTTCTGCCTGTCAGCTTGAGGTCTGTTCCCAGAGGCCACCCCACTGCTTGCCACCTGGGCCCTTCTGAAGTGTGTCAAATCCTTTGTGTGCTTTGAATCTTTCTCTTCTGTGACCAGAGAATACTTCTCTGCTTTCAAAGCAGCTGTATGATTAAGTCAGACTCATGTACCAGCTCTCCCCATCTTAAAAGACAATGGATTTGGGGCCCTACATATAGTTTCAAAACGCCTCAACAGTAGTACTTAAATGAGTGTTTGAATAATTAAAGAGAGCATATGCATACCAGTGATATGGGACCATCTTAGAATTAGGCCTACGACAGCCAGCTCTGGGATTTCCCAGGCATTGGGTCATTAGATCAACTCTTCTTAACTTGCCAAGTTCTTCAGAACATAATAACCCTGAATTCTGGATCAGACCTTTGATAACTTGGCCAGTTTTGTGTAGAATGGGATTTTAGTTGAGTAACAAGACCGAGAAACATAGTCAGGTTTGACTTCTTTTCAGTACAGTTGGTAAGAAAACATTGAAACCATTGATTGGTGAGGGGCTGGCATTGTGGCACAGCAGGTTATGCCAGGTCCTGTAATTCTGGCTCCCTGTGTAACCTGTGGCTCGAATCACGGCTGCTCTGCTCCCGATCCAGCTGTCTGCGCATGTGCCTAGGAGAGCAATAGAAGATGGCTCACGTACTTTGGCTCTGCCACGCACGTGGGAAACTCAGAGGAAACAGCCTTGTCTGGCCTCACCCATTGCAGTCACTTGGACAGTGAACCAGCAGATAAACATCTCACTACATCTCTCCCTCTCTGTGTAACTCTTCATTTCAAATCAATTAATTTAAAAAAAGGCCATTGGTGAGGAAAATAGTTAAGATTGTTTATCTAAAAAAATAATAGCTGCTATATTAGTTAAAGTCATGATTGTTTAAACAGGTAAACTTTGAACTCTCAGTGAGTGGTTCAACATAGTAGAATTTTTTTTCCCCATTAAGTGAAACCTAGATAGCTTGGGCAAGGGTGGTGGTGGTGGAATTCTGTTTTACTCTGTGGAATTTTTAGAGAGAGATGACCTGTTAGGGTCTTCAACACATGGCTTTCTGTTAACATCTGCTAGGGAGTGTGCGGATCCTGGAGGTTTTCAGGGGTGAGGCTTAAAGTGGCATATATTGCTTTTGCAATATTCCATCAGCCAGAACTCATGCTTAGGACCCCATCTGGCAACAGTGGGACTGGCACTATGGTGTCTACTCTGAGCCCGTGAAAAATCGACCTATTGACCGAGTAGTTACTCTCTCCTAGGCAGGTAGGGTGAGTATATTTTTGCTGCCTACGTAAGCTCTTGTTTAACTTACAAATAAGCAACAACACGTGATTTTCATTGTGTAGTGGCTCCAGCAGTTCCATCATGTGAGGTCCCCGCTTCTGCGCTGAGTGGGACTGCCGTAGAGCTACGATGTCAAGACAAAGAAGGGAGGCCAGCTCCTGAATACACGTGGTTTAAGGATGGCATCCGTTTGTTAGGGAATCCCAAGCTTGACTCACAAAGCACGAACAGCTCCTACACAGTGAATGCGAAATCTGGAACTCTGGTAAGGTCATTTCAAGGGCTGGGCTGAAGGTCCCTCGCATTTGGATGAAAATATGCTTAGATCATAGGTGACGGGGGAGGGACGGTGGGGGGGCGGATAACAGACTGATGCCTTGCGTGTTAAGTAGAGGGAGAAGTGAGTAGCCGGAAGATGGCAGCACCTATCTATGGAAATAATGGCAAGGACCACCATGTGAGATGAGGGGACAGTGTAGGAAAAACAGGACCTGAACGCCCAGGGTCATGTGAGTGCTCTGAAGCAGGTCAAACCCAATTCATGGTAATTGATCAGGAAGTTTTTGATAGCCAGCTTCCTGGCCTGAAAAATGACCAAGTGCAGCCCCATAATTATAGCTCCAGGGAAAGGCAGGAAAGCTCATTTGGGGATAGCCTGACGCTAATGCTAACCCTGCCAGAAGATCGATTATAGTAAATCCATAATAAGGTATCAGTCAGGGTCAGGAAACTTTTCTGTGATTCTGAGTCATCAGCCTTTGAGCTTGTGACTTGAGTGCCTGTGAATTTAGATTTCATCCAGATTTTCCAAGTGTTTCCTTCTTGAAATATATCCTGATGGCAAGGTTTTTCTAGAGAACACCGATGACAACCTGTCAAGAGGCTCTTTAACATTCATGACATTTTAAGGTGCAGATATTTGGCACAATGATTTAGACTGCACTTATAACACCCCTTCCCACATCAGAGTGCCTTTAAAATTTTTACTATTTATTTTTGGGCCCGACATGGTGGCCTAGCAGCTAAAGTCCTTGCCTTAAACTCACCAGGATCAAATATAGGCGCCGGTTCTAAGCCAGGCAGCTCCACTTCCCATCCATCTTCCTGCTTGTGGCTTGGGAAAGCAGTCCCAAGGCCTTGGGACCCTGTACCATATGCGAGACTTGGAGGAAGTTCCTGGCTCCTGGCTCCAGATTGGCACAGTACTGGCTGTTGCGCTCACTTGGGGAGTGAATCATCTGATGGAAGATCTTCCTCTCTGTCTCTCCTCCTCTCTGTATATCTGACTTTGCCATAAAAATAAAGAAATCTTTAAAAGAGATGAATTTCTTTAAAAGAAAATAAATAAAATTTTTATTATTTATTTTTATTTGAAAGCAGATTTACAAAGAGAACAAGAAACAGGGTAGAATCTTCCATCAGCTGATTCATTCCCCGAGTGGTTGTAACAGCAGGAGTTGAGCCAGTAGGAAGCCAGCAGCCAGAAACTTCTTCAAGGTCTCCCTGGGTACAGGGGCCCAAGGACTTCAGCCATCCTCTGCTGCTTTCCCAGGCCATAAACAGGAACCTGGATCAAAGTGGAGCAGCTGGGTCTAGAACCGGTGCCCACATGGGCTGCCAGTGCTGCAGGCAGAGGATTAGCCTGTTGATCCACCATACCAGCCCCTGAGTCCCTGGGTTTGAGTCTTGGTTCCAGTATATTCCTGCTAATATGCACTGTGGGAGGTGGATGAAATGGATGGGTCATTGGGACCTATGTGGAAACCCAGGTTGAGTTCCAGGCTCCTGGCTTTAATCTGGCCCAGCCCCGTCTCGCAGGTGTCTAAGGAATGACCCAACAGATAAAAGATATCTTTCTATCTCTTTCTCAACATCTCTCTCTCTCTCTCTTATAAGTAGTTTAAACTAAATACAATTGATATTTCTCCTTATTTTGTTGGCTTTTCAAGGCAAAGAAATAAGGGGTAGAAGTAAAAAAATCATCATGTTTGAATTATTTTTTCAATCTACTTAAGTTATTAGTAAATTATATAACAATTCAGAAATATCAACTTCCGGAACCATTATAACAGACATTATCAAAAGAATCTTAAAGGCATGAGAATAATCACAGTTTTAAAAGGAAGGGATAGCATTTCTTTCATTCATTGAGTCTATAAGAGTACAATAAAATCTAAAGCTAAATTTTTTGACACAGAATCAAGCAAACTGGTCAAATGACTGAAAAAGGCTATGGAGACCTGCGGCTCCCACACTCTCAGCCCCCTGCAAGTCAGCACCACGAACAGGTCCACATGGTTTTACACTGAGAAACTGGGCAGAAAATCTGCTGTCACACTTTGCTCTATTTGCTTTTCAAATTTATTTTTTCTCAGAGCAGGTGATAAAAGCCCTAAGGCCCGTCCGAAATGATACAGATTTACTTTCCTCAGCCTCAACCCTTGAAATATCTTGTGATATTACAGGAATACACACAGGGTTTGCTGGAATAGTGTGTGTGCGTGTGAAGAGGGAGAGAGAGAGAAAGAATTGAACAAAGTCTTTGTTGTGCAAGTGCCAATGGTTTTTTTTAACTAGCAGTTACAATGTTCTGGGAGATCGTTTGGGGTTTTAGTCTGACTTGTTATTCGTACATAACCTCGGCCCTGAATGCATGGCAAATATTCTGAAGGCATTCTGGTTTTTGAGGACAGCGGGAAATAATCTCACAGAATGAAAATAAAACCAGGAAAAGCTTTCTATCCCACTAAGTGGAAGAAGACCCAGAAAAGAGGGGGCATGCAGACAGTGGACAGGGAAACCTGGGAGGGGAGAGGAACTCTCAGGTCACACTCTCGCTGTTTTTGGTGATGTATGCTGTGGCAGGATCCAAGGCAATGAGGAGACGCTCTCCTGGCTGGGGCAGCAGTGACTGCTGCAGGGGTGAGGATGTGACTCCAGGGTCCCCAAAGAATGGCCGGACAGCCCCGTCACCCTTGGACTCCCCCTGGAGGGTGCTGCGAAGGAGTCCAGGAGGCCGTTCACCCACCTACCTATGCACCCACATGCCTTTCTTGCTTGCTTGCTTTCTATTTTCCTCCCTCACTCTCTTCCTTCCTCCCTTTCTTGTTCCCTCCCTCCATTTCATTTTTCTTCTTGTCTGTCTTCATTTCTTCCAGAAACTTTCCAAGGGGGTGCGAGTACTGATACAAGCGACCAAGTCTGTTACATCTCAGGCTTGCTTCCATTTGCTCTGGCAGGGACTTGTGCTAGATGTCGTCTATTCAGAATTTTCAGAAATTCCAGGTTTGATATAATTTGCAGTCCTGTAAAAAATACCAGTTGAGATTTCCTCAGCTCCAAGTCACTTGGTGGCGATAACTCTACTTTGCACAGGAGGCAGTCACTGTTTGCTGCTCAGAGACCCCGTGCTTTAGGGAAGTACGTGGATCCTTTGCTTAGGAGGCCTTCATTTATGGATGTTAGCCGAGAATTAGAAATACCTAGATCCTTTCTCTCTCTCTCTCTCTTTATGATTTATTTATTTTTATTGGAAAGGCAGATATACAGAAAGGAAGAGAGACAGAGATCGTCCATCTGATGGTTCATTCCCCAAGCGGTCACAACGCTGGAGCTGAGCCAATCCAAAGCCAGGAGCTCCTTCTGGGACTCCCACATGTGCGCAGAGCCCAAATGTTTCCAGCCGTCCTCTGCTGCTTTCCCAGGCCACAAGCAGGGAGCTGGATGGGAAGCGGGGCTGCCGGGATTAGAACCGGCTCCCATACTGGATCCCCGCACGAACAAGGCGAGGACTTTAGCCACTACACTGTCGTGCCAGGTCCCAGAAATAACGAGACTCTTAATGGTTCTGTGTGTGATGCGCTTTGAGCAATGCTTTTTACCTCCCTAACCATACTGGTACCACACAACAGAGCAAAGCAGAAAAAATAAGCTTTCCTCTGCATGTTTAACAATTTCTCCATCAAATTCAATAGAAGGTGTAGCTATTTACATCTTGAAGCCAAACAGAGTTTTAAAGTTCTGAATGATTAAAATGGTAAGACTCAGTTAAGGTTAAATTACAAGTGGGCCCAGCGCGATGGCACAGTGGTTAAGGTCCTCACCTTGCACGCCCGGGATCCCATATGGACACCGGTTCTAATCCCTGCAGCCCCACTTCCCATCCAGCTCCATGCCTGTGGCCTGGGAAAGCAGTCGAGGATGGCCCAAGCCTTGGGACCCTGCACCTGCGTGGGAGACCCGGAAGAGGCTCCTGGCTTCGGATTGGCTCAGCTCCAGCCGTTGCGGCTGCCTGGGGAGTGAATCATTGGACGGAAGATCTTCCTCTCTGTCTCTCCTCTCTGTATATCCGCCTTTCCAATAAAAATAAAAATAAATCTTTTTTTTTTTTTTTAAAAAAAAGGTTAAATTACAAGGGGCACAGTAATTTAAGAAGTTTATTACCCAATATAGCAAGTGGAGGAATCCACCATGGGGGAGGGTTTGGGGAGGGGTGGGGGGGAAACCCAGTACCTATAAAACTGTGTCACTTAATGCAATGTAATTAATAAAAGCAAAAAAAAGTTTATTACCAAGTTTGTTTCTTTAAAATATATCTTTTCTTTTCCTCCCACAAATAGCAATTTAATACAATTTCCAAGCTGGACAGTGGAGAATATTCCTGTGAAGCCCGTAATTCAGTTGGCTATCGCAAGTGTCCTGGAAAGCGAATGCAAGTAGGTAAGATGAAATCCTGGGAGAAGTTTACTGCTAAAGTGTGACAATAGTTGAGGGTGAAGGGAGTAAGACACAGGGACGGTGGGGTAATTGGAAGGAGAGATAGAAGGGAATTTTAAAAATTAGCTGGATATATTATCAATTAATGAACATGGATTTCAACCTGTCTCCCGCAAAAAGCCAAGAATATTTAGTATTATCCTTAAGAATTTTTATATTTTTCAAATAAATGTTTATGATAGGGTTCTTTTGGAGTCACCTTTCAGTCAGGAGCTGCTTAGCTCATGTTTGTCTTGCAGTGTGTAAAATGAGGATGGCCAGGAGTCTATGGAGGTTCCATTTCCAGGCCTCCCCGTATGAGCTACGGTCTCTTAGGCAAATTATTCATCCTCTGTGTCTCTCCATCTCCCCAGAATGGAACTAGTAAGAGGTCTTTTCTTAGACATGATACGAATAAGACGATGTTTGAAATTGTAAGAATTGTTACAGTAGTGGTGGCACACTGGCCAACTAGATGCAGTTCCTAATGCCCAGTTCTCAGTTCTTCTGTCCCCAAGCCTTGCTGGTGTTTGAGGCGTGAACCAGCAGAGAGAGCTTTTTGTTTGTTTGTTTGTCTCTTAAACTAAAATAAAGATATGTCAAATACTTACGGATATCGGTGGCTGTAGAACATGACTGTCACATGTTCTATACCATAAGGTAAACTTTTAAGAGTCCGGAAGATGTAATGTTAAATCTTTTCCTTCCAAGAGAAATTGGCTGCCTTACAGGAGGAGTAGCAAGTCTCATTGCAAGGATGTTTACCCACCCATATGGGAAGAATATGTGGTTAATAAGGACTCTATCACATAGGAAAAAACAACTTAGAGATTATTACCTTGGGTCATTATATTAAAAATCCTCTCAAATCTATTGATCAACATTTAAAAAAATCTTTTCCAGTTTATATGAGTTTCAGAACATATTATTTCATTTTAGTTTAAAGGTTTATTTGTTTTTATTGGAAAGGCAGATTTACAGAGAGAAATAGATGCGAGAGAAAGATCTTCCATCCGCTGATTCATTCTCCTGATGGTAGCTAAGCTGATCCACAATCAGGAGTCAGGAGCCTCTTTTGGGTCTCCTAACATGGGTGCAGGGTCCCAAGGGTTTGGGCCATCCTCTGCTGCTTTCCCAGGCCATAAACAGGGAATTTATGGAAAATTATGTGGCTGGGCCTGAACCATTGCTCATGTGGGATTCCAGAACTTGAAAGCAGAGGATTAGCTGATTAAGCCAGGGTGCTGGCCCCTGTTTTTTTTTAATTTTATTTTTAATAATGTGTCTGAGTTGTTCTTTGAGTGAAAACTATGTAATTTGAATGTAGTTGTATTAGAGAGAGGAATGAGCTGGAGTTGGTGCCTGAGGGGTTGCAGTGTACCCGGGAGAGCTGCCCCTGGCAGCAGAATACTGAGAACAGGAGCTTTCTTCAAATTTGTGGAGTCAGAAATTCATCATTTTTTTAAGATTTATTTTTATTTTTATTGGAAAGGCAGATCAGAGTTATGGAGAATAGGAGAGAGATAGAAAGATCTTCTATTTGCTGATTCATTCCCCAAGTGGCCACAATGGCCAAAGCTGAACCAGTCTGAAGTCAGCAGCCAGGAGCCAGGAACCTTCTCCAGGTCTCCCACGTGGGTGCAGGGTCCAAAGGGTTTGGCCTGTCTCCGACTGCTTTCCCAGACCATGTGCAGGGAGCTGGATGGGAAGTGGAGCAGCCGGGACACGAACAGGCACCCATATGGGATCCCAGTGCATGCAAGACAAAGATTTAGCTACCAGGCCATCATGCCAGGCCTCATACATTATTTTTTAGTGCCCTTAGATGTAAATTTATTTTGTCTATTTGCATTTCAAATCTTTTATTGATTTTTTTAAAAAAAGATTTGTTTATTTTGATTGGAAAAGCAGATTTACAGAAAGAAGACAGAGTGAGAGATCTTTCACACACTGGTTCCTCCCCAGCTGGCCACAGCTGCCAGACCTGAGCTGATCTTACGTGAAACCAGGAGCCAGGAGCTCTTTTAGGTCTCCCATGTGAATGCTGGGCCCAAAGACTTGAGCCATCCTTCAGTGCTTTCCCAGGGCACTAGCAGGTTGCTGGGTCAGAAGTGGAGCAGTTAGGACACGGCCCATAGCCCATGTGGGATCACAGCACTTACAGGTGGAGGGTTGCTCTGTGAACTACGATGCCAGCCTCTAATTCGTTTATGAAGTTCATCTTGTTTGAGTGGATGGTGTTTCAGTATAGCATCTTAAGCCTCTGCCTACAGCGTTAACATTCCTGTCAGCTCCCTGATAACACACCTGGGAAGGCAGCAGAAGATGGTCCAAGCCCTTGTGCCTCTGCACCCACATGGGAGACCCAAGAGAAGCTCCTGCTCACTGATTTGGACTGAGCTTGCCCTGCCTGGTGCAGCCATCTGGGGCGTAAGCCATTGGATAGAAGATTCTGTCTTTGTCCTTCTCTTCCTGTAGCTCTGCCTTTTAAAGAAATCAATACATAAGCAAATCCTGTTAAAATTAATTTTGAGAGAGTGAGCTGGTGAGCGAGCACTCTGAGAACTGCCACTTCTGCACAGCCAGGCGTGGCCAGCGAAAGCCCAAGGTGTGTCAGAAACTCAGCGCAGTTCTTCTACTTGGCCAGCAGGGAGCGAGCGAAGGAGCCAGCAATTGCTGCTACCCACAGCGTGCACTGGCAGGAAGCTGGCACTGGAAGTGGAGTCAGATGTGATCCTATGCACACCTGTGCATAAGATACAGGTGTGCAAAGGAGTTTCTTAACCAGGAGGCCAATGCCTGTCCCTTGTGTTTTTGTTTGGTTTTGGAGAGTCAGAGCGTTGTTATTGCCCACAAAGGTCACTCAAGGGCTGACATTTAGTCATTCACAAGCAGTGATTGGAATTGTTGGAAAGTATCCCTTGCGTTATATTTTCAAATTACCATTTAAACATTCATATGAACATGTTTAAAAATTGGAGCGTTAGTCAAGTGTTTCCTAATGTCATTCTTATAATATAGGAAAACCTCATGGTTCTCACCATGACTTTTTGTTGTAGGCACTATTTCTGTTTATTTTGCTTACATTTATTAAAAGATTTTACTTACTTTTAGTTAAGATTCAGAGATTCAGAGAGAGGGTGAGAAGGAGAGAGACACACACATAGAGAGGTTTTCCATTTACAAGCTCATTTCCCAAATGCCTGCAACTATTGGAGCTGGGCAGTTGTGAAGCCAGGAGCCAGGAGCTTCATCTGGGTCCCCCACATGGTTGCAGGGACCCAAGAACTTGGGCCATCCTCTGCTAGCTTCTCAGGCAATTAGCATGGAGCTGGATCAGAAGAGTAATATCTGGGATTCGAACCAGTGCCTATATGGGCTGCCAGCACAGCAGATGGAGCATTATCTCACTATACGACTGTGCTAACCACTGCTTCCACTTTTTAAAAAATTTATTTATTTTTATTTGATTGGCAGAATTGTAGAGTAGAAAGAGAGACAGAGAGAGAGCTCCTTCTGCGTTTTCACTTCTCAAATGGCTGCTGTGGCCAGAGCTGGGCCCATCTAAAGCTGGGAGCCAGGAGCTTCTTCTGGGACTCCCATGTTGTTATAAGGGTCCAAGGCCTTGGGCCATTCTCCATTGCTTTCTCAGGCCACAAGCAGGGAGCTAAATCAGAGGTGGAGCAGCTGGGACACAACCTGGCACCCATATGGGATGCTGGTGCTATAGGTAGAGGATTAGGTAGCTATGCCGCTGCACCAGCCCCAGAATTTAGAAAGTTTGACAAAAGCTGTCTTTTTTTTTTTTTTTTAAGATTTACTTTATTTGAAAGAGTTACAGAGAGAAGGAGAGACAGAGTTAGCAGTTGGAGATGCCGTGTGCCATCACTGACTTTGGAACTATATGCCTTTGAAAAAAAGTTTGCTTCCAATCAGTGTTTAATTCTGTGAATTTTTACATCTCCAAGTGAATGTCAAGGAATCCTACATGAATAAATTTTATTTCTGGGTAGTCAATTTTAAGATTTAAAATCTTTGCAAAGATGAATTCTATTAACATTTCAATCAGTTTTGAGCTATGTCCTTGGCAACAAATTAGCTGAACAAGCCACCAAAACATCAAAGCTGCTTTTTGGTGTAACTCAAATGGGGGGCTTTTTGCGCCCTTTCCTTTGAGTCTCCACCCTGTCCATCTGTCCCACGTGGATTCATGCAGGCTTTTTCCTGTTCTAGATGACCTCAACATCAGCGGCATCATAGCGGCTGTGGTGGTTGTGGTATTGGTGATCTCCGTGTGTGGCCTTGGCGTGTGCTATGCTCAGAGGAAGGGCTATTTTTCAAGTAAGTGAACTTCCATCCCTTCTTACAGATACAGTTTTTTTGACATGCTGTTCTAGAAATAGGAGTTCTAGAAAACTCTGGAGAATTCTGTTGGTTGATTTTCTACCATTGACAATGTCTGTGATGACATGCAGGTGGGTTATGAAGCATCCTGACAACTGTAGGAAGACAGAATTAGCTCATTCTAGAATTCCAAGAACAACAGAGAATGTGTGAGGCACCCAGGGCATGGCACACTGCCAGGAGACTCTTGTATTCATGGTAGACCAACATTTATGCTGTATCCATATGTATTTGAAATGTTTTCCTAAGTAAACCACCATGTGGTAGTGCAGTAGATTTATAAGAAATGGATCAGATTTTAAAAAGTGTTTTAGCATCTGAATACTTTTCTTTACTCCTTACCTTTAAAATTATCTGAGTGCTCAAAAGCAGCATAGAATTCTGTGACGAGACCCATTAGCAATATATGTAAGTAGAAATTTTTTAGTGGAATGCTAAATAGTATATAGAATTAACAAGTGTTAGACTCATTGTTTTAGAGTGAACATTAATTTTAGAATTTAGAAAAATTTTCATACCAATATCAGGATTTTAAAAAGAATATTGAATAATACCTAAGTTAAGCATGAAGTGTGATAAGTATTTTTTCAATGAACATGAATTCAAGGAGATTTTCTGTAATTAAGGGTAATGACTATAAACTGATAGCCTTTGCTCATGTTTACAGTGTTCGACTCCACACTGCTGTAATAGAATCTTGTGAATGGAGTCCAGCTGTGTCCCCCTGCTGGCTTACCAGTGCAAGTACAGATCGAAAGATCCCTGTACAGGTTTAAAATTTACCATCTGTGTATTTTTAAGGAGGAGTGTTTGAACAAAATTTTCTCAAAATAGTGAGTTAATTGAGTATTCTTGTATACTAGGAGTTTATTTGCTAAGAATGTTGCTCCAGAATTAATGTGGTAGTAAACTTTCCATGACACTCTGACTTGTGATTAGGATAAGGCCTGGAAAACTAGGATGCAACGACCAAATTTGTCTCTTTCCCACAACACTTGTTTGTAGGGCCATGAGCTAAACGTGGTTTTTATAGATGAGTATTTGGAATCTGTTTGATGATAGGAAACATTAACTTTGAACTGAAAGAAAGAATCCCTTTCTCCTATTATGTATTCTCTCATTATAAAGGTACCTATATATGGTTGTTGCTTTTTGTCTTAAGGCCCACAAAGTTTTAAATATTGTCGCCTGGCCCTTTATAGGAAAAGTTTCCAGCCTTCATTTAGTTGGTACAATCCTCAGTGAGTGAGAGTCAGGGTGTTTTGGAAACCAAGCTGAGTCTGTGTCACACCACGTTGTGCCTTGCATTCATGAGACATATTTTTTCTTTTGCAGGAGAAGCTTCTTTCCAGTAAGTGTACCTTCTTTGCATTCATTCATTTCCCCTTTTCCAATGAATTTCCTGGTATCCAACTAAAGTCAACAACTGCAAAGTTATTTGTGTAGGTTTAATCCTTTGGGAAGTTATTCAAGTTCATCAAGATATGTATCGTGCCTAATGCCTCATGCGTGCTTATAAATTGTCATTGACTAGCTAAAGAAAGACAGTTACTTATTTGGCTTTGTAGACCAGGGATGGGGAACCTGCCTGCAAAACCGTTGATCTGACCCTGCCAAGGTAACAGCAGGAGGGACTTGGAACCCTATAGCAGGTCAGTTTTTAAGCTGATAACTTTATATGACCCACAGATGCTTTTGTAAACATTCAGATGTGCTTTAGCACAAACATGGTTTTCTACTCACATTGCAGGCATTTTCATGACTACTGTAAAAAATATATTTAATGCATTTTGCTAATTAAAAATTTCAAGTTAAGTTATTTTTTACATTTCATTATATAGTGCTTTTGTGCCTGATGTCGTTTCTGAGACTGGCAAATACAGCAGGTGAAAACAAATTTCACTATGCCCTATCTTATGGAGCTTCCATTTTAGTAGAGCCAAGCAGGAAGTCCACAGATGTACACTGTACAACATACTGGACTGGGCCACGTATTAGAGTAATGAAGCAAGCAGGAGAATAGAGTATGCGTGGGCAGGAGTAGAGAGACAACACTGGGAAAGACACAAGTGAGGCACGATGCCAGTCATGCACACACCCACTGGAAGAGTGCACAGGCGCAGTGCAGCACACAGACGGAAGGTGCTCCCTGCCAGGAACGCCTGCAGTGTCTGAGGGACCCAGGAGAACTGTGCGGCTGGAACAGTGAGGGACACGAGAGAAGGGAGATGAGTGTGGAAAAGTAGCAGGGGTCACGTTGTGTGCTGTCCATTCTGGGTCATCATGAGGGATTTGGCTTTGGCTCTGAGTAAGATGAAAAGCCGCTACAGGGCTTGGAGGCAATGAGTAGCATCACTTTAAAAAATATATTTATATATGTTTATTATTTTTATTGGGAAAGCAGAAAGAAGAGACGGAAGGATCTTTCATCTGCTGGATCACTCCACAGATGGCTGCAATGGTTTGAACTGAGCAAGGGGCCAGGAGCTTCTTCCACATCTCCCCACGTGGGTGCAGGGACCCACTGGTGGGCTACCCTCCACTGCTTTCCCAGGCTGGATGAGAAGCAAAGTAGCCAGGACCCGAACTGGCACCTATATGGGATCCTGGCATTTTGCAAAGGGCAGATTGGCCAGTTGAGCCATATCCAGCATCATCACTTCAATTCTTCAAAACTCACAATAGTCAGTGCTAAGCTGTCAGGTGACAACAGGTTGGAACAGGCAGACCAATTAGGAAATGCATACACACATAAATATTTGTACATATAACACATACATACAGATAGGTGTATGTTTCAAGATTTTATTTATTTGAAAGAGAGTTACAGAGCAAGAGGGAGAACCACAGAGAGGGAGATTTCCTGTCTACTGGTTCACTCCCCAAATGGTTGTAATGGCTGGAGCTGGGCTTGTCCAAAACCAGGAGCCAGAAACTATTTCGAGGTTTCCCACAAGGGTCCAGGGGCCCAAGCACTCGGCCATCCCCTGCTGCGTCCCAACCACATTAGTAGGGAGCCGGATTGGAAGTGGAGCAGCCAGGACATCATAGGAGGAGGCCTTACCCACTTCCCACAATGCCAGCTTCATCACCTAAATATGTTCATCTGGAGGCAGTGAACTTTTCTAACTGGAATGAGAAATGTTAGAGTAATTGGGGCATGAGATCACCAAAACCCTAGTTGATATGCATTGGATTGCTGGCTGTTCTTGTGTGTGTGTACATAGCCGACCCAAAGTTAAGTGCACAGGCATTCCCTTGTATGCCCAGCTGCCATTGCCTTGACATTTAGTTGTCCTGACTCAACCCTGGTCTCTCAGTGTCCTTCCCACCCCCCCTTCCTAAAATGCTTTTTTTATCTGTGTGAAAGTCAGAGAGAGAGAGATCTCCAGTCTGCCGATTAAGTCCCCAGATGGCTGTAAGAGCTAGTGCTGGGCCAGGTTCTTACAATTTATCCATGTAGGACTGTGCAAAGATCTCGGAATTTTGTGTGGAACTGTGGGAAATTCAGTTAGGATTGTTGACTTTTGCTACATTGCTTGAATAAATATGCATTTTCCTGCTGAGACAACATATGAAGGTAGCATTAACTAAAAGATTTGTGCTTTGCAGTTGGAAGCAATAATAAATACTGCCTTCTTATTCCCCATACAGGAAGAGTAGTTCATCTAAAGCCACTACAATGAGTGAAAATGTGAGTATTTTTAAAAGTGTATTTGTAGAGTGGATGTGTTTAGTAATGAAGCAGGGAAAATGAAATAATTTGAAGAATGTTGTGAATTTTCATTTTCATTATGTTTTATAACACTGACATTTAGAGGTGCCCTGTCTGGGATGGCATGGTAAGTTGCCCAGCACTGGAAGGTAGTTTCAGAAGGTGATCTTCATCCTGTCATTGTTTTTTCTCACGGGTCTACCTGATTTTGTCACCTGGTCTGGCAGTATTGATTCTGTTTGCTCCATGATGGAGTCACAGGGTAACAACAGCTGAGCTGGAAACTAGCCACCGGACCAGCCTCTAGTTCCAGGACTTCGTTTACTCAAAGCCCTTGGGAAGTGGAGGGATATGAATTCTCTGCTAAGGCTGAAAAGAACCTGTTAACAATACTTGAAGAAAAGGCAGTAATTATCCAATCCTGATTATTTGGGCAACATGAGTTAGACATTTTTTACTGTCACATTTGTAAAAATAGTCCAGCAGTAAATACCATCATCGCTCAGATTTCTGTTTTTTTTGGATGGCTATGCAACCTTCATTTGTGTTTTGTCCAGGGGTTTGAGACAAAGAGCTGCCAGTATTTCTAGAGGTCTGCACATGAGAAATAGAGCCTGCATTGCCAGAATTCCTTAGTACTTCATAGCAGGATTTCTCAGATTTTCTTTTAAGAAATATTGGAGTAGGGTGTGGACATCAGTATTTTATATAATCCTACCAAATGTTCATGTTTAGTAACCACTGCTGTTCCATAGCTGTTTCTTTTTTTGGGGGGTGGGGAGGACAAAAATTTCATTGTAAAACAATTATCTACTCCATAATCTGTCACAGAAGCCATCCTATCTTGTGATTTTGCTATTTAATTAAAGACAAGCAATACATAACTCCAAAGTTACTCTTGCAATCTGTGCAAAATACTCCTTGGGAGTGGCATCAAACAATTGCATCCCATCAGCCATAGGAGGCATTCCGCATCTAAAACAAATGGCTTTGTGTACTCAGTTGCCTTCCCAGCTAAGGACTGGACTGGACCCTCCTTGAGTTTTACTTTGCTTAACAGTACCATTTACACTTCTGGTCATATAACTCCTTGTTGTTTGGGGACTATCCAATAGGATGCTTACCAACGGCCTTGGCCCTGCCCCCAAATGAAATAGCACATCCCTAACCAATTTCTCTTGATCTAACTTCCAGGGGTATTTTTTTTTTTTTTAGTATACTATTCTAGAAAATAGCTTGATAATATATTTTGTAAGGATTCTTATGTTTGTACTTGTTACTAAAAATTTATTTGTATCTCTCTGAACATGGATTATTACATTATGCTTAAACTTTTTTTCCTTTGTTTTCCTAGGATTTCAAGCACACAAAATCTTTTGTAATTTAAAGGAATTCCAGTGTTGACGTCATTAAAACCACAGTTGTTGCACAAGTTATTAAACTATTATAAAACTGTTTGGGCTTACATTTGCAAAAGGGTACCCGAAGAAATGGTATTAGTATTCTGTTATAATTTGTATGACCATGGATTCACCTGAAACTTTTACTTCAAACAAATAATTCTGTCAGCATGTAAGCCAGAGTCTGGCTTTTGGTGTCTGGATTGGAGAAAGAGGGTCTTTTTGCTTCGGCAGCAGATGCTCAAATTGGAGGAAAAGGGGTCAAAGCACTTTGCAATATTCTGAGGTTTGTGAAACGTTAACAGATATCCTAACTTCTAAAGTTATTCAAATCACACTGCTTGTGAAGTTAATCCAGAGACCAGGAAAAGGTCATGCATGCGAGTGTGGAAAATACTCTGACAGGTGCAGAAGGAACCTGTTCTCATTCCTACCAGAATCCTCTTTTCTCTCTTAATATAATCCTTATTCTGCTGCTGGCTTATCATGAATTCTTCCACAGGAGGGAGGGTGGGGCGTTAAATCTCAGAGAAGGATTTGTACTTTGTGTTTACTTCCACTTCTGAGAACCAAAAGCATCATGAAGACCTAATGGCCAGTGCTCGCTGGTGTGCACAATTCCCTGGGCGCTTGTCATTTGTGAGGCTCACGACCTTCACGTCAGAAGCCGTCCAGGGAGCAGCGCCGTCCCCTGCACTCCCAGTGACGTTGAAGCACCCTGCTTCTGAAGAGCATGTGGAGCATCTTGGGGCCAGGCTGAGCTCGGCTGCTGCCAGTCCTGTGAGGGGAAGATGGAGAAGCCCAGGACAGGAGTCATCAACCAACAGACAGCTCATCAGGATGGGACTGCTCTTTGCCACTCCATGCATGCAGCGCCCTACCTGAGGCACAAGACACTGGAGAAACTGGCTGGAATAACAAATGGGTGTAATCCTTTAGCTTCTCAACTGATGAACCAAAAAGGCCCCCAAAGCTGCTGGTACAACTTGAAAATTCTGATGATTTATTTAATATTAAGTGCAAAAAGCTTGATTGTTATAATTTATGATGATCATTCAGTTCATACTAGAGAAAAAAAATAGGGCAAAAAGCATGTCGTATTCTGGAAGATCTGGATACAAGGGTTATTACTACCTTTGACAGCTTTGAGCATGGTTAAGTCGCTTCCAAAGGAGTCTGCTTTCTTCTAACCCAAGGGCACAGCAAATCCCCAGGAGTCACTGAGCAGATGGAAGAAGCACTCAGTCACTGCCCACTGTGCCTAGCCACCAGCCAGTGGAAGATGGCCGCTGTCGGACTGCTTCCCTTGCCTTGTTTGGGACACTGGATGCTGTCACTAGACACTCTCCCAGGAGGCTGGGCTTTTGTACCATGACTTTGTGCCAAAAGTCAGATCTCCACTTGAGTCAGAGGTCAGCAAACATAGTCTGTAAAGGGCCACACAGTGGATGTTTTCAGTCATATGGCTCCTGTTGCAGTGGACTCTGCCACTGCAGTGCAAAACCTGCCAGCCAGTGAGTAAACAAACGAGATGTTCCAATTAAACTTAGACAAGTTTGAGCCCATAAGCATAACTCCCTAACTGCTTTTTCTGTAAGCTTTTGTTAAATGTTGCTTAGGCCCTGACGAAACGTTTGGCTTTGGTTTGAGGAATGCTCTCTTCAGGCATTGCCAAAGGGCCATGGCAGTGATGACTCTCAGACCGCCTCTTGAGGGTAGCTACCATCACACAGGAGCAACTGCTTCAGCTTAAATGACACACTTCCACTTTGCAGGGGGAAATTAAGTAGTGCCTTAGCTTCACTAAGAGATTCAGAGCAGCTTTCGAAAGCTAGAGTATTCATGTTATGAAAGGTGAACATTTAACACTTTGTGTCAAAACATCTTACACATTCTTAGAACATTGTATATGGCTAAGTCAATTCATATAAACAATGCTTTCTCCCACACAAAGGGCGTGGTATTCAGCACTAATTTTCCAATGAGTAGTAGTTCATCTGCAGGTCGCTGTTGTCTAAGTGTTTCCATGTGCCTTTGCGGGACTGGAACACCAACAATTGGTAAGATGTCATTGCAAATGTTAATAGTATTTTATTTTCCTTCAGTGAAATTTTGTATAAAGATTAAAGCTCTAGAGTCTTTGTTTTCATATTGTTCCTGTTGTACTAGATTTAATTTATTTTTAGTTGAGGGTTTAGCTTAACTAAATCTGGAATGACTGTTTTTCAATACAACTTTGCTATGAACTTCCTTCATCTCACAGGTGGCATTGTTTGATTAAAATCTACAATAAAAACAGCTGATCTTGCAAAACTTTTTAAGCTCCATTTAACAGTGCAGGGGACAAGTCATCCACTTATTGTTGTTCATTAAAACCCAGGAAACTACACCCTCTTACCCTCTGTGGCTACAGGGCTAGCTCTTCAGCTGCTTCAGATTACAATCTCAACATCTGTTTTGGGTATCTGCCAATTTCTTAGATGCACAAAAACACATTCTGAAAATAGAAGGCAAAGAGCACTGAACAATGTGTGTCAGAGATGGGAGGGATGAGGCTGAGGGTGTATGAAGTCTCATCTCAGTGATGACATCAGGTGGGCAATGCAACTGACAGGTGAGAAAACAGAACCAAATTAGTGTCAAGTTCTTAGAGCTGATAAACAAAAAATAAGTCCCTAAACAGAACCAAATTGGTGACTTGCCAAGTTCATAGAGCTGATAAATGAAAAACAGATCCCTCTGGATCTAAGAGGTTTCACAAGCCATGCTAATTCTGTATACCCCAGCTCCTTCCTTTGCAATGTTTGGGTTCTGCTCTCACATTTCCCCTCATCCTCTGGTCTCTAAACCATCCAACCCTGCCAAACTCACCTGTAATCTGTCTTCCCTTTCCTCTACCTAGCTTCAATGCCAAGGTGGGCTATCTCATTCTTTCTCCCCAGCAGATACACAAATCGTATTTGTTTTGATTTCATTTTATTTGAAAGGCAAAAAGTCAGCTTTCATGCCCTGTTTCACTTCCCACATGCCTGCAGTAGCCAGGGCTAGACCTCCCTGTGGGTCACCCATGTGCACGGTAGGGACCCAAGTGCTTCAGCCATCATTTGAAGAACGTGCATTAGCTGCAAGTTGGATCAGAAGCAGAGGAGGCAAGACTGGAACCATTACAGGGTGCAAGCATCCCCAAACACCACTACCTTCTCGACCCCTATGCTTAAGCCGTTCTGTTTATTCACTGCCTCCATCTCGCTCACTAACTTTTTAATTTCAGGCCTTTGTTATGTCACCTTGTGTTTGGTTTTTCTTGGGACACCCATGTCCCGTATCAGTGTGGTTCGTGTCCCAGTTCTATTGATTCCATAGTCATGCTGAAGTATACTGTGGGAGACAGCAGGTATTGGCTCAAACTCTTGGGTCCCTGCCACCCAGTGGGAAACATGGATTGGTTTTCAGCTCTTGGCTTCGGTCTGGCCCACTCCTGGCTATTGCAACCATTTAGGGAATGAGCCCCAGATGGAAGTTCTGTCTTCATCTTTCAATTAAATGAATACCTTCTCATTCCTCCAGCTGGAACCTTTTTGTCTTTGAATTTACATAATATTTGTTGACACTTGTTGTAAGATGTATTGGTTTTTATTAATGCTGAGAGGAACGCAAATGTTTAACACTTCTAGCAATCTATAAACACTTTGAGAAAAGAACCCTGTTTTATAAAGTGTTTTATCTAGCACTTGATTATCTAATAAATGTAGAGTGTACTCTTAAAAACCAAAATAAGGGGATGGCAAGGTAGAGTGAGTTAAGTAGCCACCTACAATGCTGCTATAACATGGGCAAACCCTGGCTGCTCTCCTCTGACCCAGCTTTCTGCTAATACATGCACTTAGGAAAAGACCAGATGAAGTTCCAGGTTCTTGGCTAAGCTCAGGCCCAGACCTGGCCATTGCAGCTTTTTGAGGACTGAAGCAGCAGATGGAAGAGCTCTGTAATTCTACCTTTCAACAAATTTAACCCTCCAAAAAATTTGTGAAAGAATAAACTTAAAGAACACTTACTGACAAAATTTCTCTAACGCTTTGGTTAAAATATGGTTTAAAAGACCTATTTATTTAAAACGCAGCATTTCATAGAGAGGAGGAGGCAGAGTGAATCTTCATCTTCACTATGAAGTGGTAAGGTGGCCTGAAAGAATCACCTCAGTCCATTGCTACATTTTACCCTGCCACAGTACATATTAGCTGAAGACTGGAATAGGGGTAAGGAGAAATAAAAGGAGAGAATGTAGGAATTGTCAAAATTATGTGACAGAGAAGTTATGAGTGGAATAGTCCCCAACTTTTTCCCCCCCCAAAGGGGAAAAACAATAAAACACAAAGCACCTGCCAGAAAACAAGCAGCTTTGTGAGAAGGGCAAGAACTGGAAAAAGTATCAAGGAGCGGGGGAACAATGAAAGCATTTTCCCATAATTTCTAAGGTCAAAGATTGATGAGGTCCCTGTTACTGAAAGTATTTGGCCTTCCTCTCGGTGTCTCACCTAGAAGAAACATGTGAACGACAAGACTGAGGACTTAACTATTTAAGTGGGACATGAGAACAGTCTGGGAGCGTCGGAGAGGGCCTCCCCATTAGGCATCTCCAATTTGGAAGACTTCCCAGACCCCAGGCTCCCCCCAAAGTCACACATGTACCTTACCAGACGATCAGGCTTGGGATGACCAAAGAAATAGCGATAGCCAAAAACAAACCAAAAAAACCTACTAGATGAAGTGAAACTTCCCTAGCACTAAAATCCTCTATTATTTTTAAAGGCAGCACAACATTAGTAATAAACATCCTTTGTAGTTCTTCCCAGATCTCATATAGCAATCAGATTGGATTAGGGCTCACCCAGAACATCTCATTTTAACTTTGTCACTTTTAAACTCCTCACTGTCAAATAGTTATATTCCCAAGTGTGCCTGTGCGTGTGTGTAGGGGGGTTGGGGTGGGGAGGGTGTTTCAACATATGGAATTTAGTCCATACTCCAATCAAGTGGGGGAAGCATCTTAGAGGCCAGGCCCAGAAGGCTGACAACATCTGTCAAAAACTTGCTCCTGTTATGTCAGTGATGCAGGAGGAATTCACTGGAAGGGGAAATTGCAGCATGACTAGAGGCCCAGCCGGGACATGGCAGGGCAGGGCTGCAATCACCCGACCGAAGCTTCACGGGTAGAAACACACAGCCTTTCACAGAGAGCACGGGCATGGGGTGCTTCTTGCAGCCACAGGTAGAATCCTTTCATAACGGAGATTGATAAAGAGAGATGAGTCATGCTAGGCTAATCCGCCGCCCTGTGGGGGCTGGCACACCTATCGGTTCCGGTTCCTGTCCTAGCTGCTTCACTTTCAATCCAGCCGCCTGCCTGTGGAAAAGCAGTGGAGGATGGCCTAAGTCCTTGGGACCTTGCACCCATGTGGGAGACCTAGAAGAGGCTCCTGGCTCTTGTTCAGCTCAGTTCTTGTTGTTGCAACCATTTGGGGAGTGAATCAGCAGAGGGAAGACCTTCTTTATCTCTTCTCTCTATAATTTGCCTTTCAAATAAAACTTTATAAATCTCAAAAAAAAAAAAGTCAAATGTGAGATTTGGAAGGCAAAATTCAACTACACTCAGCGAGAAGCAAGCAGAGCTGTTTCACAGGTTAGAGAGGCTCAGCGACGATCTCAACTACCTTTAAACAATGTTACTGTAAACATCGGGTTCTCTGTTTCAGTGCCTACAATTACTTGTGGTACTTTCTGAAAAGGTATTCCTTAGCAGGTTTACCTCAGTTCTAGCCTGTATAAATTCTCTTTAAAGCGAGCTCAGTTTCTTCAGGAAGGCATGGTTTTTCATTTTAAAGAAAATTAAGTTTTATTAAGACCCATATTAGGGCTCAGTGGCGTGGTCTAGTGGCTAAAGTCCTCGCCTTGAACGTGCTAGGATCCCATATGAGCACCGGTTCTAATTCCGGCAGCTCCAATTCCCATCCGGCTCCCTGCTTGTGGCCTGGGAAAGCAGTCAAGGACGGCCCAAGGCTTTGGGACCCTGCACTCACGTGGGAGACCTGGAAGAGGTTGCTGGTTCCCGGCTTCCGATTGGCACAGCACCGGCCGTTGTGGTCACCTGGGGAGAGAATCATTGGACGGAAGATCTTTCTCACTGTCTCTCGTCCTCTCTGTATATCTGACTTTGTAATTAAAATAAATAAATCTTAAAAAAACAGACCCATATTAGTAGTATATTAGAAATAATGCCAGATACAAGAGGACGTAGATATTTTTCTTTTGAAAAATAGTTTCCTGGGGTTGACACCATGGCATTGTGAGCTAAGCCTCTGCTGGTGGTGCCAGCATCCCTTACAGGTGAGGATTCAAGTTCTGGCTGCTCCACTTCCAATCCAGCTCCCTGCTAATGTGTCTGGGAAAGGAACAGATGGTGGTCCAAGTGTTAGGTCCCTGTACTCATGTGGGAGACCCAGAAGAAGCTCCTGGCATTGGACTGCTCTAACTCTGCCCTTTGTGGCCCACCTAGGGGAAGATCTGTCTCCAAGACCCCAATATGCCTTCCAAATAAATCTTAGAAAATAAAAAATGCTAAAGCAAAGAATTCGATATAGTCAAGGATACATTGAACATCAGTAAATAATTTGGAAACAAACACCTGATCATTGCCAAACGTATGTTTATTGTGAAACCTCTCATTAATTGTACAAGCAACACATGACAGATTACCAGATTAACTTTCCATTATTTCTTCAGGACTGGGGTTTCTCAATTACTTCAAATTTGGGATCTAAGGGGAGAGGGGAGAGAAAGAAGGTTCAAGCTTAGCCATACTGAAGAGCTGTATAATGCACTACTCAGCGTAGCGTAGTATAATGCACTACTCAGAAGCTTCCTGATTCAATACACCAACCTTCTGATACTTTTTTAGTGAATACTGTTTTAGATATAATATATATACCAGCCTTACCATGGCTAAGCTTTTATTTAATACTTTTTATGATCCTGGTTCTATGTTTTCCGACTTAAAAATAAATTATTTAGATGCAGCTACTACATGAGGAAGGCGTTACAGTTCCCAAAGGCTGTAAGAGGAATAGTAAAAGGCCCTCAGTACGCCCCCAGCACTTTTCCTACGCCTACTGAATGGGGCCTTCCCGTGCACAGGTGACGACAGTTCTAATAAGGGCGCATGTAACTGTCAATCCTCTAAACCATCCAGGTGCAGCGAGACAATCCTCAACTCCAGATAATCTGCCCAGAGAATGAACCCATGCTCAAAGAGACTTACCTTCAAACTTAAAGGTAGGGAACGTATTCATGTCTGCTTTACCAAACATTTGCTTCAACTTAAAAAGTTCCTTCTCCAGATCTTGCTGGTACTCTGGGCCTGCGTCAACAGGTGCTCCCGATGCCCTGTTACAAAAATGAGCACATGAAAACGAGCGACACCCGTTAGTTTGCAAAATCAAAATTCTCACTCCAATTTCAAGCCACTATAAAAACATACATGTAGTAAAAACACTCTTCCGGAGAAAACTGGGTGTCCATGTGCATTTTCATCCAGACGTCAACATGAAGTTCTACATAATTTCTCAGACAATCCATTTAAGGTTACTGAGCCTCAAGTCCAGGTTACATTACAGTATTATGAGCTCTGAGCTCAGTACCTGCTTCTGCTCCAATATCAGCCCTACCATTCAACAATCGCATAAACCGAGGCGCAGCACAAGCCACTTCATTTTACAGGTGGAAAAGCGAGCGCACTATTGAACGAGAGTGTTGAAGAAACCTGCCTTCACCAAGTGGCTTCTAAAAGATCTTGGTGGAGGGCCTGGCACAGTAGACTAATGGCTAAAGTCCTCACCTTGCATGTGCCGGGATCCCATGTGGGAAATTGTGTTTTGGGAAGATAAATATAGTATCAAGGACAAGCACTGTGGAAATAAATTTTACTAATTACTGCCTATAAATGTTACAAGCTTAAAAATTTATGTTAAAATCCTTTCAAAGGGATTTTCCACGTGCCTACGATCACGGAAGAGAATTTCCAGAAAAACAGCTCAATTTCTTCCCTGAAACCCTTTTACAATAAACTGTGAGACTGCATGTTAGGGATCGGGTAGTGTGACTGCCACCTTGAAACGTGCATAGCTGGACGTGGTATGTCAGGGGTGATCACCACTTACTGTCGCTTGGATTTGTATTCTCTGATCTTGTCCACGAAGAGTTTCTGCACAGGATCAAGTTCCTTATTAAACGCCACTGCCGTGACCCCGATGTTCCTCCGCAGCTGCACTGCCACGGCGGAACGGATGACGGAGGACAACCGGAAGAGCTTCTGAAGCATCATGGTGCCTGTGTAAGACTGAAAACAAGCACCTGAAGGTCATCACACACGTGCACACAACTGTAAACCACCTCCAAGTACACCTCACAGCGAAACCTAGCTCCACCCCCACACACGTGCACACAACTGTAAACCACCTCCAAGTACACCTCACAGCAAAACCTAGCTCCACCACCCACACGGCTGCATCAGGCTACTTTAGTCCAGACCTCATCAGTTCCGTTCCTCCATTCCCCACTGCTTTTTGCTTCGTAACCGAAAGGGCCCACGAACCAGGAGGAGCTGGGACCGATAACTCGGGACCGAGGCTTCACTAAGGTTTGAACAGAAAGCAAACATAAAATCTTTTTTTTTTTCATTTTTTATTATATTTTTGACAATCTTCACATAGTTAATTTTGGCACAAAGATTCGAGGGCTACAGGAAAGTGGGTAAGACTATTTCCACATTGTTTCCTTCATGTATCTGGAGCAAAGCAGGATATTAAGGGAGAAGCCCCACCCAATTTCCCACGCAACCACCCCAGGTCCCCAATGTGGGGCATGCTCTGAGGTTCTTGCTCAAGTGGTTTGATAGTTCATTAGTTATGAATCATTGTCAGTCTCGCCACTCCAAGCATGATGAGGTCATTGAAGAATCCACTGATGACATAGTTCTTCATAGAGTCTCTATTTACCCTGTTTTTCACCGTCAACATATGGCTGAGGTGGTTGATTGACTTGTTCTGTCCTCAGTCTTTTCATGGTTAGGGTTCTGAGTCTGGCAGTTTGATTGGGGAGATCCCCAAAGATACTTTGTCTGAGGTGTTCTCAGACCCCATTTTTGTACGTACTAGCAGGTACAGGGCCTGGTACAATCCATCGCCTCCCAATCAGCTGCTGGTTGTAACTGCTGGGTTTGTTCTGTTCTAGCACCAATTTCCACTGGAACCAATCAATGGGTGTTGCAGTCCAGCCTGGTTCTGCCCAGCACACACTCGGCCCTCACATAAACCAGTTAGGAGCTGCAACCTAATCCGAGCAACCCACAATAATCCCCACCAGGCCTGCTCCCTACCCTGGTTTGCTAGTATGTGCAGCAGACTAGTCCAGTCTGTCCCACATCCCATTCAGCTCTCATACATGTCAATGGGCACTGAAGACTAGTTCCATCTAACTAGTTCTACTATCCAGCCCTCACGGTTGTTGTTGGGTGCCCTTCTGTCTAGCCAACCCTGACCTGGTCCTTGCTTTTGTGCCCTCCAGTGGGAGTGGTAATCCAAGAGGGAGGAGCCCACTATTTCCCTTCTAGCCTACTCCCACTCCCGAATTATGCACTCTCCAGATGGTTCTGTGGTTTGACTTGACAGAACTAGCTCCCAGTGCCAGCTTCTCCTGCAGCTAAGCCCAAACAACCCTCACCCATTCTAACTTTGTTTGCACCAGTATGAACAATCAGCCCCGCCTGATTTTTCCCTGATCTAGTCCACATGAGGCGTACAGGTGTTGTAGCCATGCTTGGTCTGGTCTGCCCCTAGGTAACCTCACCTTGGCATTCCATAATATGCACTGTTTTTTGTCGCGACCGAACTTGGCTCTACCCACACTGTTCTGGTGCCTGGATTTGCCAGTGGGTGATGTGAACAGGTTCAGCCTGGTCTGCCCCTGACCCATGCCAAATGTATGCCAGTGGGAAACTTTCCATGGCCTGTTCTGGGCTGTTTCCTGTCATGCTTCTTGTGCTTACCTGCAGGGTCTGTGTCCTGCTAGAGGAGTTGCTCAGGCTCCTCCATCAGAAGTTCTCCCAATGCCAGATTTTGCGCATACCAGTGGGTTCCATAAGCCAGCCCTACTCAGCTCACTTCCTGTCCTAGCAGGAACAGTGCTGGCCTTCAACCCAATCTGGTTCTTACTGTTAGATGTTTCAGCCAAGCCAAAGCAAACATAAAATCTTAAGTCCCTTAAGAACTTAGTCCTGGACCCAAGAGAATGACAGAGGTTGGCTGTCATAATACCACCAATGCCACAAGGAAAAAATAAAAATGATGACTCCCAAATTAATGTTCTCTCCAAAGGCTGAAGCCACTGGAATGGCTGCCCCAACCAGGGACGAAGGCCTGGAAGAAAACATTCTTGCTGGACCCCAAATCTGTATTTTCAAAAGTCCTTACGCTCTCATAGGTCCTACAAACTCATCCCCTACTTCCCCCAAAAAAACCAGTCTCATATAAAAACCTGTTCCTTCACCTTTCTTCCCCTTTTCACTGACTGAGTGAAGATGGCTCACTGTCACACACAGGACACAAAAAGATGTAAAACATCGTTTGTGATCAATTCTCTGCTGGAGTACTATCGGTTGCTCCTAAGACCTGTGAGAGGGATTTGGGGTAGAAGAATCAGGAGAGGACAGGCAGGGTAGAGGTGGACGCCCAGGGGTGGGTTGGGGCCCGGATGTACTCCTAATAGTGATGACCACGGCTGCCTTGTCAACACTCCTGATGTCAATGCAAGCACCTGAAGCAGGACTTGTACCTTCCCGCTGCCCAGCTTTCTTTTCAGGATGGGTCCTTTCCCCACGCACAGCAAGGGATGGTACACCCAGTGGGGGCCCTGCACGGCTGACCTTGGGGGTGCTGCACCCTGGGGAGACTCAGGACGGCTGACTTGGGGTGCTGCACCCCATGGAGGCCCAGCAGTTGATTTTGGGGTGCTACACTCCAGGGGGAGCCTGCAGGACTCACATTGGGGGGCTACACTCCAGGGAGACCCAACACAGCAGACCTTGGGGTACTGCATGCCAGGGAGACCGAGGATGGCTGACCTCAGGGTGACATGAGCTAGGGGGTCCCAGCTTGGCTGACCTCGGGGTGACATGAGCTAGGGGGTCCCAGCTTGGCTGACCTCGGGGTGACATGAGCTAGGGGGTCCCAGCATGGCTGACCTCGGGGTGACATGAGCTAGGGGGTCCCAGCATGGCTGACCTCGGGTGACACGAGCTGGGGGCCACAGCACGGCTGACCTTGGAGTGACACGAGCTAGGCGGCCCCAGCATGGCTGACCTCGGGGTGACACAAGCTGGGGGGTGGACCCAGCACGGCTGACCTGGGGTGACACGAGCTGGGGCTCCAGCTTGGCTGACCTCGGGGTGACACGAGCTGGGGGTGGACCCAGCACGGCTGACCTTGGGGTGACACGAGCTGGGGCTCCAGCTTGGCTGACCTCGGGGTGACACGAGCTGGGGGTGGACCCAGCACGGCTGACCTCGGGGTGACACGAGCTGGGGGTGGACCCAGCACGGCTGACCTCGTGGTGACACGAGCTGGGGGGTCCCAGCACGGCTGACCTTGCACACCGCGCCCCGCGGCCTCCCTCACCGCCCCGGTAACCCCGGGGGACCGCTCCCATTTACCGGGTCTACGGCCAACCTCTGCAGGCAGCCCCGCCGAGGTGGGCCGTGACCCCGGGCCAGGCCTCGCCGGTGCCCAGGGACCCAGGGCCGCTCCGTCCTCCCAGTAAGGCAGAGGTGATGGCAGCCGAAGCCGAGTGAAGAAACCCAAACCCGCAGTCCCCAGGGACCGGACGGCCCCGCGCGCCCTCCCAGTCACCTTGCACGATGTCCCGAGCCGCCCAAGCCGCCGCGGCTGCTACCGCTCCACTTCCGGCCCTGGCTCCGCCCCCTCCCCTACGCCTCCCCGCCATCGCAGTGCATTATGGGCCGCCGTTCCAGTCGGTCGGCGCTCACCGGACAGGAAGCGTCTCGGAGACGAACTGCGACCGGACGGCTGTAGGTGAGACAGAAGCCGACGACGAGGAGGAAGTGGAGGGTAAGTGCTTCCGGGTCCTGCGACGAAGAGTCCGCCATCTTCCCTTCGCCTAATTTGACCTGTTGTCTTTTTTTTTCCACGGCTGGAAACGGGGCGCTGTACGCATGCGCACTGGGCCGGGCCTGTCCCGAGTTGGAGCTCCGGGCCCTAGTTTAGCGTCCTGTTCGTGAGGGGTTGTTCTGGTGGTTGTGACTGTTGCAGGACGAGCCGGGGCGCGGTGCCTCGGGGGGCTTCCGCGGCCGCCGGCGCTCGCTGCCCGCACCCCGCTGGGAGTTGTAGTCCAGGGTCCGGGGTGCGGGATTTTGGTGGGGGGAAGGCTCCTCAGCGCCGACTCGGCGGCCAGCGGCCTCGCACCCGGAGCAGCGGCGCACGTGGAGCCCGCGCCTCCGCCGTCCTCGCCGGCTCGGGCCCATTGTGGAGCGGGTGAGTGCGGGGACGCGGGCCGGCCTCGCTCCCGGCCCCCCCGCCGCCGCCTCTGTGTTTTGTTTCCGCTGGTCCCCGGCTCCGCGACTCCCATTTCCGTTGGTGGAGGCTGGAGGGAGCGGGGTGGGGAGCCGAGGGGCGGGAGAAGCCGTGCGGGGCGCTCCGGGGCGCGGGGTCCCCGTCCTCGCTGCCGGGGCTCGGCGAGGGACTCGCTTCAGACCCGCTCACCTCCTCCCTGCGTTCTCTCCCGCGTGCGCGCTAACCGTGTTGTTAGTCATACTACCTGGTTGGTCCGTTTCAGCACGAGTAAAGGGGAGTCAGAAATTGGGAAAAACCAGTTAACCTTACCAACTCGTTAAAAAAAAGTGTTTTATGTCCTGCAAGATAGGTTCTGTGATCATGTTTGGATTCAGGGCATTAGTGTGGTTCGGGTAAGTCGGGAGCGCACAGTGCCTCCTGGTGCGTGGCGAGGCCGAGAGTAGTTTAGCAGTGTAGTTCACTTTACACGTAGAATACGCCCGACTGATGGGAGAGCCAAAGTTTGCAAGAGTCCGCTCGAGCGCGTAGAATGGGGCAGGCAGAACATTCTTGGGCCGTGTGTTAGCTGACATTTCAGAATAGATTGGTCGACTTCTAAGCAACTACTTTCAAGGAGCGTGTCTGAACGGCTGGTTTGAACCGGGCGTGCTGTTATTTAAAAGAATGTAAGAGTTCTAGTTTTAGGTTATATGATATTAAGATACTTTACGCGGAGCTAATTCTCGCAACCTGGTTCTTTACCGTTAGCTGAAAACACCAGACGCAACGAGGTATCTTAGGAGGTTTATTCCAGTGGGGCAGGAACAAGGTGGAGGTAGTGGAGGTCAGGAGGAGAAAAGAGGCAGAAGGAAACACCTGGGGCCTTTTATGCAGGTAGGCCCGGAAGGTGTAAGGGGGGGCGGGGATTGTGGGGGTTTGAGGGCAGGCCTCAGGGGATTAGTGCCTGCAGGGAAATGCCTGGGGATGATTGGTGAGTGGGCGGGGTTGGGGAAGGGGCTGGGAGATTGGAGTGGGATTCTCAGGTGGAATGCCAGGTTACATCCGATTGGTGGATGGCTGGATTGGCGCGAATTCCGTGAGCTGTGAGGAAGAAGAAATGGCGCAGGTGCAGGGCATCAGTCTCGGTGATGACTTTCAAATCACTCCTCACACGTGCCACGCTGGTTTGTGGCTCCCTCCGGTCCCTGGATAGACTGAAGTCTATGTGTAACTTGAGTTTTTTGGTCGTGAAGCAACTAAGTAAGCCCATAAGTTGGAAGCAGGTCATGCGAGCGTGGAGAGGCCGAGGGAAGCCCTGCCTGGGAAGGTGGAACCGTGCAGTAAGCACCTCTATAATCTTACCTGGGGTGGCCGGGAGTAGGGTCGTCACTGTCCTCCCTTCGTATTTGCATCTTCCTTTACACCTGCTCGTGTACACACATAGATTTGCTTTCTTAATTTTGAAAAAAAAAATTGTGTTAAAACTGTAAGCTTGGGAAACTGAGCGGCTGACGGGGTTCTCACGCAGACTGCACTTCCATTGTCCTGTGTTAGCGGATGGTGTCAGAAGCTTCCAGTGAGGAAGGACCTCCGCAAGTTTGGTTCAGAAAGAGTGTCTTAAGGGACACCAGCCTTAGGGCTGGCCGCACCGGCTTCCCATAGGAACACCAAGTTCTGCACTTCCCATCCAGCTGCCTGCTTGTGGCCTGGGAGACCCGGAAGAAGCTCCTGGCTTTGAATCAGGGTTGGAAAATCTTTTCTGCCTCTGGAAGGGAAGGACAAGGTAACTTTGTCAAAATTAATTGTGGGACTGGTGCAGTGGCATAGCAACCTAATCCTCCACCTGTGGTGCCAGCATCCCATATGGGTGCTGGTTTGTTTCCCTGTAGCTCCATTACTGACTTAGCTCCCTGCTGATAGACCGGGAAAGCAGTAGAAGATTGCCCAAGGCCTTGGGACCGGGTTACCCACATGGGAGATCTAAAGAATTTCCTGGTTCCTGACTTTGGACTGGCTCAGCTCTGGCGGTAGCAGCCATTTGGGAAGTGAGCCACTCGTTGAAAGATTCTCCCTCTTTTTTAATTAATTAATTTTTTTTTGTTATTCAAGATTCTCCCTCTTGCTCTAGTTCTGACTTTCAGATAAAATAAGTAAATCTTAAAAAATTTGGGATTCAGGGTGTCTATTTTGTGTGAAAGTACCAGGGAATTTCTGTTGTTTTAAATATTCGTTTGTTTGAAAGGCAGAGTGAGAGATTTGCCATCCGCTGGTTCTTTGCCCACATGACTGCTCAAGGCTTGCGCTCCTTCCAGATCCCCCCCCCCGGGGGGGGGGCAGGGCTCCAAGCCTTAGGGTCGTTTTGCCATTGCTTTCCCAGGCATATTAGCAGGGAGCTGGATGGATGTGGAACAGCTGGGAGTCAAACCAGGGCATCCTAGGCTGTGGCTTAGTCCATGCAGCACAACCACTGGCCCCTCCGATGGCCTGATTATGCAGGTGAAGTCCTTGTAGATGGGCAGTTGGTTCCAGCCAACTTACCAGCCATCAGTCTAAGTGATTTGGACAAGTTTCCAAATCCTTCCATAGCTTCTCTATGGGAAATTTAGAACAGAAGCAGAATGATCAGCAGTTCACACTGGGACATGTGGCTTGTTTTTCGTTTCTTGTAGATCTGGAGGTTACTTTTTCCCATGTATTTGCCACCTTCTAGACACTTTGATCTGTCACTCCTGTGGAAATCACAGTGTAAAGATCCTTTTAGCAGCTCTGTGTCATAGCTTGTAATCGGGAATGCTGGTATCCCTGCTGCTAAGCCACTAGAATGTTTCTCAGCTTCCTCATTCCCTGTGCTTTTCTGCTTGCTCTGCTTTAGTTACTTAGTTTGTGCAGATGTTATTTCCTTGTTTCTAACTGGTAACCAACATTTGATGTGATAGGAGCTTTCTTGAGTACTTTCCAAGGGGACTGTGCTTGGCTCCAGCTGCCACTATTGAATGTGTATCAGTAAGTTAGAGACTTTGGAATACTTACCCCGTGGATGAGAATACCAGACCATATGTGTAACTGTTTTAAAAAGAGCTGCTAGAATTTTCTCCACACTACCTAAGACCGTCTATACCCCTGAGCAAAAGCGTGCAGGTTTCCTGTCTCTATGTCTCTGCTGACCTGCCATTGTTGAGCCGGCTTCTAACCTTTGCCTGTCTCTTACTCTGTACCAACAGCCGTTCTGGGTTCCTTTTGTGTGGGTTTCCTTTTCTGGATTTTGCATTTTTGGGGGATTTTCAGCTTCTAAGAGGTTGTCAACCTGTTTTATCACTTTTAAGTGTTGGAAACGTCCTGTCCTAATTTTATGAACTAATTTTATGAACTTACGTTTAAGTTTTGAAGTTTATGGATGAAATTCTTTTATTTTTTTCTCTTTGTTTTATACTTTGGGAGTTTTAAAAATAATTTTTTTTAATTAGGCCATGTTAATTCCACTGTTTTCTTGTAGTTGTAGCATTACCTTGCACTATGCATTATCCATGGAGTTCGCTTTTGCATAGTGTGAAATAGTCTTCTTGTGCAGCAGATATTACTGGAATGCCCACCGTACATGAGGCACTGTTCAGAGCATCCAGGAAGAAATGACCTGCCCTTGTGGATCTCATCTTGTCCCATGTTTGGATCCCTGCTGCGTTACTATGTATTTTGCTCAGGGTAAATTATATATATACATGTATACACACACACACACATATACATACATATATATGTATGTATATATACACACATATAGATACATGTTTTACACACTTATTTATTATTGATTTGTTTATCTTGATAATCAGAGTTACAGGTTACAGAGAAAGCTTCTGTCTGCTGGCTCACTCCCCAGATGGCGGCGGTAGCCCGGACTGGGCTGGCCAAGCCCGAGGCATCGTCTGCCTCTTTAACATGGACGGCAGGAATGCAAACATATACTTTTCCCAGACCGTTCACAGGGAGCTGCATAGAAGGGACTTCTGGGATGCTCACCAGCTCCTACACGGACTGCGGGCATTGTAGGTGTGGCAGAGTCACAGTATAACACAAGTTAAGGAATAGGCCTTATTGGGCAAAGGGAAAACTTGCTAATCTAATAACATCAAGAAAAATAAGCTAAGTTCTTTCATCTTTTCATCATTGCTGATGATGGAGCTGGAGTGTAGACAGTATTTTAAAGACATGATTTGTGTCTGTTTGAATGGAAAACCTTTCCCCTATATTTGACCACCTCTGAGGCATGTGTGAGGGCAACCCTGATAAATATGAGGAAAATCAGACTGTCTTGGGCCACTAGATGGGGGCCACCTGTTAATAAATGAGTAAATTATCACCACATCAGCCCCCTAGCACTTGGCGGTGTTAGGACCTGCCCTCCTATGGTGGGGTGGGAGACTGCATGCCTCGGGCACTCTTAACAGCGCTGTGGGGTTAGTGACTGTCACAGGCCACCACTTTGGTGTCTTACAGTTCTGGATGGTAGGAGTCCAACATGGGTCTGTGAGCTGAAATCAGGCATTGATAGAGCTGCATTTCCTTTAATGTCTCTAATGAAGACTCTGTCCCTTGTCTCTGGCTTTCAGAAGCTTATCTGTATTGGCTTGTGGCTCCTTTGCTTCTTCAGCGCCAGTAGAGTTGGCCAATTAAATCTTCTCATTGAGTTGGTCTGGCACGTGCTTCGGTTTCTTTTGCTCTTTTTATGATTCTGGCTTTAAAGATTTCTTGTGTTTATTTGAAAATCAGGTTTGCAGAGATCTGTCTGCCAGTTCACTTCCCAAATGGTGGCTGGGGCTGGGCCAGACCAAGGTTAGGAACTGGCAGCTTACTGGTCAGCCACAAAGGTACGGGGACCCAGACACTTAGGCATTGTATCACTGGTTTTCTTGAGGGCGTTGGCAAGGACCTGGATCAGAAGAGAAGTAGCCTGGATGCAAGCATTGCAAGAAGTGGCTTTATTGGCTGTGTTACAAGATCGGCCCTCTTCCCCCTTTAAGGACTGTGTTTTATTAGGCTTACATACATAATCCAGAATAATTCCCCTATTTTGAAAGTCAGTTGCTTAGTAATCTTGACTGCGTCTATAGTCTTAATTCTCTTGCTGTGTAGCTTACATAATTACAGGTGTGGGTAATGACCTGGTGAGGCCCCACCAACCCAGAAAGGTAAAAGAAACACTAGGTCCAGAGAAACTAAGTTTAAGTTTATGTGATCATTTATAGACAGTTTTTCTCTTTGTGCTTCATTAAAATCTAATAGGGAAAGAATGACAGTATAATGAATTTATGATAGAACATATTAGAGAAATGGAGAAAGGAGAGGCAAATGGTACAACTGAATGGGAGTGATCAGGGTAAAATCTGACTGAGAAGATGAGATTTGAGCAGAAACTTCAAAGAAATGTTAGTATTTGTCCAGATGTTTGAGGGAAATAGGTTCCAGGAAGACAGTATTAGGGAGCAAAGTCCTAGGGCAGCAAGGTGTTAGGATAAGCAAGAAGGCTAATGGGAGTTAATGGAAATGCAACAGGGATGAGGCCAGATCCCATGGAGCCTGTTGGCCTAATCAAGTCTTTAGTTTTCACTGTGGCTAGTATCACAGTGTACCAAAGAATGCTGTGGTCTAATTTCCTTTTGTAAAAGGATTACACTCTGCCTGTTTTATTGACAGTTTTAACTAGACTAAACAGAATTGTGAGTGATTACAGGGAACCCTGTTATTGTGGCTCTGTTCCAACTAAAAACTGGTGTGGGTTTTGTAGTTACACATGCAGTAGTTGCCTTTGAGAAAGCATGTTTTAGCCCCTGCTGGAAAAGCACGTAATTAGGTTGATAATTCTAAAAGAATGATATGGGGCCCAGCATTGTGGCATAGCAAGTAAAGTTGGCTGCCTACAATACCAGATTCCTATAAGGGCACCGATTCTCGTCCCAGCTTCTTTGTCTCTAATCCAGCTCTCTGCTATTAATGACCTGGAAAAAGCAGCAGAAGATGGCCCTTATGTTTGGGCTCCTGTCAGTATTTGGGAAACCTGGAAGAGGCTTTTGGCTTCTGGCTTTGGCCTGGCCCAGAGAAAGGGAGAAATCTTCCATATCCTTGTTCATACCCCAGAGTCTACAACAGCTAAGTCTGGGTCAGGTTAAAGCTAGTAGCCCAGATCCATCCAGTTTGCAGTGGGGGTGGTGGGGCTCTGGGGCTCTAAGTACTTGAGCTGTATTCCTTGCTGCTGACCAAGGTGCACATTGGCAGGAAGCTAGAGTCAAAGATAGAGCCAGGAGTTGGACCCAGACACATTTGGGAAACATGCATACCCGATGTCGTAGCTGCAACAGCAAATAAACACAACAAGATATCATTTGTAGCCCAAATCCTAGCTGTGATAATTTTACTTTATTGGTATACTTTGCCATAAATTATAGTAAACTGCGATTTTTAGATGAGTACTTATAATTTCTTTCCATGTTAAGCATCATATTTGAATCTGTTATTGCTGCTATTAATTTTGAAGTGATTTGCGTTATATTATTGGGTCAAAAAAATCCCAATAAATCCCTCAGAATCATAGCATCATGTCAGCTTAATAAAAATAACGGTTAGGGCCCGGCGCGGTGGCGCAAGTGGTTAAAGGTCCTCGCCTTGCACGCCCGGGATCCCATATGGGCGCCGGTTCTAATCCCGGCAGCCCCGCGTCCCTTCCAGCTCCCTGCTTGTGGGAGTCGAAGATGGCCCAAAGCTTTGGGACCCTGCACCCATGTGGGAGACCCGGAGGAAGTTCCTGGATCCTGGCTTCGGATCGGCATAGCATCGGCCATTGTGCTCACTTGGGGAGTGGATCATTGGACGAAAAGATCTTCCTCTCTGTCTCTCCTCTCTGTATATCTGACTTTCCAATAAATAAATAAATCTTTAAAAATTGAAAAATGATAATAATAAAATGTAAAAAGAATTTCCATGTATCAGTTTTCTTTGTAGATAAAGATTACTTTCTCTTCAGTTAACATCTGCTCTTATTTGAAATATCTGTTTTTTTGTGTGTAGTACTTGTTCATACAGATGAACTTAAAACGTTGTAATCTCTTGCAGGACTAATCTTTTGAAATACTTCAACCATGACTAAGAGAGAAGCTGAGGAGCTGATAGAGATTGAGATTGATGGAACAGAAAAGTCAGAGTGCACAGAAGAAAGGTTGGTATTTTCTGAATTTGTCATTTGTTAACTACTTTTTCAATATGCATAATTGAAGTGAGAAATTTTAGATCTTTGGGCTTTTTTCTGTTTAAAGATTTTGTTTATTGGAAAGGCTGAGTTACAGAGAGGGACACAGAAGCTCTCATTCACTGGCTCCTCCTCAGGTGGGCCCAGTGCTTGGCCTGTTCCTCTGCTTTCCCAGGTGCACTCTCAGAACTGCTCAGAAGTGAAGCAGCCATTTGGCATGCCGGCATTGTAGGCAGTGACAGCTTGCTTGCTTCAATGCCAGCCCCCTGGGTTTGTTTTAAAACCTTGACCTACACTTCAGGGTGTGCAATCCGTTGATCTTTACCTTTGCTTCTACCAGCATTGTGCATGAGACTGTTGGCAGTATGCCCCAGTACATTGCCCCACGGGGCTCATAACCTGGCAGCTAGCTTCACTCGAAGGAAGGAACAGAGAAGGAAGGTGTCAAGATTGACGGCACAGCACCTTTTAACATATTCTCATCTAAGAAGTAATTTGTTGGGGTGGGCATTTGGTGCAGAGGTTAATATACTGAGTGGCACCTGCCGTGTCCCAGGCGGATTGGAGTGCTGCATTTGTGTCCTGACTGTTCTTCCAGTGCAGCTTTATGTCAGTTAGTGCATTCAGGGAGGTGGCAGGTGATGGCTCAGGTATGCGTGTCCCTCCCACACACACAGGAGACCCGGATGGAGTTCCTGGCTGTGGCCTGGCCCAGCCCTGGCTACTGGAGCCTTTCAAAGAAAACTGAAAATAATGCCTTAGAAAGCATTGTGTACATTCATTAAATGAAATGCGCATATCCTCTTAGACTTGGAGTTTATGTAAAAACAAAATGACAAGTTTTTAAATGCATCAAGTAAAATTAAAAGTTACATTTTAAGTTACACATGCTTTGAAACTTCAACCAACCAAGCAGATATCTTTTGAGATTTACTTTGGTTTGATCTTTAAAGATTTGTAAAAGATATGTAGAAATACGAAGAAGTACATAAAATATCAGCACACAAAGCCCGGTGTGCATTTTAAGGAGAAATGCAGACCATCTTGCTTTGCTTAACGTGAAACTGTCGATTATACCCAGTGGTGTTTAGACTATGTTTTCATTTCTTACACATTCATATTTATTAACTTGTATTTGTTAGGTGGGGAAATTTTTATTGTTGGCATACATACTTTAATATTTTTTTAATTTGGAAATCAGAGACTCAGACATATTTCTCATTTGATGTTCACTCCCCAAACACCCGCCTCAGCCAGGACTATGCTAGGTTGAAGCCACAAGCTGGGGACTCAGTACCTATCTCCCACGTGGATGGCAGAGACCCCAGGACTTGAACCTGCTACCTCCCATGGTGTACATTAGCCGTGGATGGCAGGGGTCCAAGTATGTAAGCCAGTTTCTGCTGCTTTCCTGGCTATGTTAGGAGTAAACTAGACTGGAAGTGGAGCAGCTGGGTCTAGAATGTCACAGATGGCAGCTTAATTCACTGTGCCATAATGCTGGCCCCAATTCTATTGTTACTTCAATATTGGAGGAAAATGTAATTGCTCACTGTTATATTCTTTAACATTTAGCATTGTAGAGCAAACCTACACCCCGGCGGAATGTGTGAGCCAGGCCATAGACATCAATGAACCAATAGGTAATTTAAAGAAGTTGCTGGAACCAAGACTGCAGTGTTCGTTGGATGCTCATGAAATCTGCCTGCAAGACATTCAGGTATTTTGTGTGTGTGTGTGTGGTTTGTTTTTCAGCATTTTGTACTGCATATCTTATCTGTCAGTCTTTTAAGATATAGTCTTTACCTCTGTAACTAGATTTGCTTGTGTTGCAAAATGTAAGCATATGAAATATAACATCTCTCAACAAAGTTTCTCCATTTAAAGCTATATTTTAAAAATAAATAAGACAGTATTTAAAAGGTTGAATGCCAAATCAAAGATTTTGACTTTTACTGTAATGTTAAAAAAAAAAAGTTTAAAGCAGTTTTTGAAAAGCGATTTATCTGAAAGCTAGCATTAAACAGAGAGCGAGAGGTCCTCCATCTGCTGGTCCACTCTCCAGATGGCCGCAGCAGCCAGGAGCTTGGGGTTTGTTCTGGATCTTTCAAGAGGTTTGCAGGGGCCTAGGCCATCTTCCACTGCTTGTCTCAGACCGTTGGCAGGGAGTGGATTGAAAACGGAGAATGTGTGGCGTTCATCAGTGTCTCTTGGATGATACGTGGTAGGCTGTGGCTTTACATGCTATGCCACAATGCCAGTCCCTTCATTCAGAATCAGAGGTTAAATACAGAGTAGTAGAAAACAAATTAACTTTAGAAGGTCAGAAAATGTATTTCAAGGCATGTTCAACCTCTTTCTGCATCAGTTTCTTTACTCTTCCTCTTATCTTGTTTTATTATTATTATAGAATTTTTGCCTTAAAAATTCACATCATTGTATGCTGCTACTGTTTTAAAATAAGATTTATTGTATAATTAAACTATTGTAATGAAATTTACGTTATAGTTGTCGGTTAATCATACATTACTTTTCCTTTCAATATAAGTCTAGTATATAGTGATGATGGAGAATATTGCCCTTTTAAAACTAGGATATGCAAGTGAATCTAGAACTGATTTTAATAGTTTAAAATTGTTTTGTTAACAATGAGAAGGTTAATTAGCACAATCTTTTTAGAAAGAAATCAGGCATTAAATATCTTGATGCTAAATGTGAAATACTTAACATTTCTACTGCCATGAATTGTCTTCAGCGAAATATTCATCAGGCTGGACAAAGGTGAGTGTGTAAGAATTGTCACTCATGGTTTTACAGAAACTGGAAGAAACCTGACTGTTCTGAAACCAGGAGATGGAATGAATTCCATGCATTGGAATTCCATGCATTGAATTCCATGCAGGGTAGCCCTGAGAGATTGTTGAAGCCAGAGCACATAGGCAGGATACTGTGAGTGAAAAAAGTACTTACGAAGCAAGCCTCCGTTATCTCATTGAATTTTATTATCAGTCTCTGAAATCAGCGTGTTACTTGCCTCTTTTCTCTAGTTGTAGAAGCAGGTTTAAAGAGGTAAATTTGCACAATGTTGAGCTATGAAGGACTAACCCCGGAATTTGAACCCAGGCCTGTGGTACTTGGAAAATTTGTTCAGTTGTTTCAGACAAATATTTTAAAGGTTTAAGGTGAATAACTCAGTGTTACTGGGCCTTGCTCGTTTTTCTCATTTGTAAAATAAAAACTATATTTGATCTCTTCGCAGACTTTTTGTATGTGGCCTGTGCAAATAAAATTAGACTTACAAAGAACCCAAATCCATCATAGGTTCTCAATAAGTATTAGTTGAATAAACAGAGATATGGACAAGTTGAGTGTCACTGTTAAAGAATTCAGAGCTAGCCTTGAAACCAAAGTGTTCCCTTATCTACTCTGTATCTGAAAAAGAGTGGGAGATGGCAGCTTAGGTTGTGTGTGTCAGTGCTGACACGAAATCGGAGTCAGAAGGCTTGCTGCTTGTGGCATTGCTTTTGTATTTTTTAGATGTATGCTTATTTTTTTTTTTTTACATTATTGCTATCATTTCATGATACAGTTCCATATTCCCGTATCCCCTTCCTAAATCCCTTCCCCCACCTAGTTCCTCTATATCATTACTAACATATACTAACATATAGCTCTTCATACTCAGTCATATGTCCATACATGTAGGCATGGAAAATGGCAGAGAGTCCAGAATCCTATTGTCAAGATATAGCACACAATTTCATTGGAAGTCTATCTTTGTCTGGAAGCAAAAATACATACCACACAGCATCCTCACATCTGGATGTTAGTCTCCATTTCACAGCTACTGTACATTGCCTTAAATGAAAAGTCATGATACAAAATCAACAGTAGAAAGAAACATAGAAATTTACAGTGCCATGAAGTTAAATGACATGTTACTAGAAATGACAGTCTCATTACACAACTACTATACATTCCCTTAAATAAAAAGTCATGATGCAAAATCAACAATAGAGAGAAAAATAGAAATTTACAATGTCATGAAGTTAAATGATATGTTACTAGATATGACAATCTCCATTACATTACACAGCTACTATACATCCCCTTAAATGAAGCGCCACAAAACAAAATCAACATCAGGGAGAAAAAGAAAAAAAATAAATTAACAACACCAAAAAGTTAAATAACATGTTACAAAATGCCTAACATGTAGCTGAAGAAATGAAAATCAAGAACCTTCTTGAAGAAAATGATGCCACTGCATGATCTACAAGTCACTGAATGATTTAATCAAAAGAACTGTTTTGAAGAGGTGAAACCAACAGAAAACAACAAAACCCATGTGATATAGTTTCCGCTGATCTTTGTTGAAGTCTGTCTCCTCCCGACAATAAACAAATGGGTTTTGTTTTTGAATCCAGTCTACTAATCTATGATGTTTGATTGAGCTTAAGCCATTTACATTCAGAGTTAAATATACATAGGTGGTACTCTGGTCCTGTCATTTTAGGAATGGGTTGTTCATTCATTTAGTCTTCTGTTGTCATTGTAGTGTGATGTTCTTCCCACTTGCCTTTGGTTTTGGTAGGTGCTATTCCTCTTCTCTGTCAAGAGAACATCTTGAAGTATCATTTGTAGGGCAGGTTTGGAAGAGGCAAATTCTTTGAACTTTTCTTTACTGTGGAAGAGTTTTATTTTATTTTCAAAGATGAAAGAAAGCTTTGCTGGATATGTTATCCTAGGCTGACAATTTTTTTCTTTTTCAATCTGGAATGTGTCACTCCATTCCCTTCTTGCCTGTAGAGTTTCCTGTGAGAGATCTGTGAGCTTAATTGGCATTCCTTTATATGTCAATTGATTTTTTTTTCACGTGCACATTTAAGGATCTTTTCCTTATGTTTGATTCAAGAGAGCTTGATTATCATGTGTTGTGGTCAAGATCACTTTTGATCAAGCCTGTTGGGAGTTCTGTGCCCTTCCTGGCTCTTGTTTCCCAGTTCTTTCTCCAGATTAGGGAATTTTTCCTTGATTATTTCATTAAATACATTTGCAAACTCAGCTTCTCTTTCTGCGCCTTCTGGGACTCCCATAACTCTTCTATTTGGCCTCTTCATAGTGTCTTTCAATTCTTGAATACTTTTTTTGGCCTGATCCAGCTCTGCTTCCAGCTTTTTGTTTGCTTCCCCCTGATGACAGGAAATATCTTCCAATTCTGAGAGTCTTTCTTCTGCTTGCTTCATTCTCTTTTAGAGACTCTCCACTGTAGTTTTCATTTGCTTTACTGTGTTCTTAATTTCTGATATATCAGCCTTGATTTGCTTTATTGCCTCCTTAAATTCTTTGAACTGTTGTATGTGTTTCTCATTTTTGATCAGAATCTTTAAAATGAGTCTTATGGATTCTGTGTCCCCCATTTTCTCGATGTCTTCCTCAGTGAACTCTGAGGCTGGCGTAGGGTTTTGCTCCTTTGCAGGAGAGGTTGGTAATATTCATTGTGCCTTTGTCTGTTCTTTTGCTCTTGGTCATTGTACTTCTGGTTAGCAGAGTCTTCTCCTTGGGGCAGGTTTCTAAGCTGTGTCACCCACAGGTCTACAGTGCGATTTTACTTATTGCAGTTGGCACACAGCTTTTTGCTGGTAGCCACTTGTGCCACAACCTCCAGTGAGTTCCCGGTCTGGGTTCTTATGTCAGATTTCCACTGTGGTCTCCACAGCCCTGGCTCTTGGCTCACCACTCTCCACCTCCTGTGATACCGTTTTGAGGCTGCACTGTTGTCTCTGCAACCTTTCTCGTAATTCCAGTTGGAGCAGGTCCCAGGATTAGAGAGACACCAGATGTCCTACTTAGTTAGGTTGTTGGTGGAGATGATCTTATCGAAACCTTTTGGACATTAGGTCTGGATGCCACATGGACCTATTTTGACCGGTACTATGCCACACTCAGTATTGTTTTTCCTGTGGGACCTCAGCAAGTTCTCATGAGCTCAGCACATGTGCAGTTCACTGTTGTCCCCTGCAGTCCTAAAGCTATTGCCACAGTGTGCAAAATGGCGCCTGACGTACCACCACTACAGTTCTTGATCTGCTGGCCTACCAGCAGATCTGAGGGCTATCCAGACCTGCCCCTGGTGGAACATGTAGAATGTCACGTTGTTGCAGTTCACTGAGTCAGAAATGAACTCACTCCCAGCTCAGAGCATGCTCAGTCCTTTCCCTTGCCCTTTTCTCCCTACGCAAAATGGTGTCCAATTTGTTCTTGGGGGCTGACTGGGCTATGAAATCCACCCTGATCTCGCACTGCCTGTCTGGGATCTGCTGCTCGGTCTCTGTTCTTGGTCAAATCAAACGGACCAGCAGGACAGACATTTCTTTGTCTGGGTTCACCTCCCAAGCTCCCAGTGAAAGTCCCTCCCCACCTGGTTGCTGGTGGAGTTTTGGCTCTGCTGGAGTTCAGATCGCTGTTAAGTGAATGCTGCTGGAGTATGAGTCACTGCAACACCACACCATTGTGTCCACTGCTTTCCTGTGTCTGTCAGTCTCCAGGTACCCCTCTGCTGTTGTTTTGTCCTCTCCTATTTCCTGCAAAGTGCCTTCTCTGCTTTATCTTGATTAAATATTTTTCTGTCCGTTTGATCCTGTCCTTATCCTGTTCCGCCATCTTGATTCTAGATGTATGCTAATTTGAAAGCTGGTGGAATAATAGACATTGTATTTTGACAAGAATGGTACATAAGTATGGTGCTACTATGCATCAGTGCTGTACTTGTTCTAGGTCTTAAGAAATAGCTAGGTAAGCCCAACTGAATAGCTTAGTAGCTAAATCGTTGCCTTGCATACACCAAGATCCCATGTGGACACTGGTTTCTGTCCTGGCTGCTCCAGTTGCCAATCAGCTCTTGCTGTCGGCCTGTGAAAGCAGTGGAGGACAGCCCAAAGCCTTTGGACCCTGCAGCTGCGATAGAGACCCGGAAGAAGCTCCTGACTCCTGGCTTTGGATCAGTTCAGCTCCTGACATTGCAGCCACAGAACAGGGGTAGATACCATACATCAGTGGATGAAAGACTTTCTCTCTGTGTCTCCCTTTCTGTAAATCTGTCTTTTCAATAAGAATGAATAAAAAGTAGTAACGAGTTATATTCGGTATCTAAGTGCTTACTTCCGAAGTTTCAGGTGTCATAGATTTGATGATATAAAACTAATGCTTATTAAAGAGAAAAAAAAATGTCATGTAGTGATTATTTATTAAGCAGTGAAACTGCTAAGTTTATCCTTATCTGTGTACAGTATTGTGCAGCTTGACTTGTTCCTCTTTAGTTAGATATATAACCAGTTTAAAGTTTTTATTTAAGTATGACATTTTTAATATTTGAAAATATGTTTGTGCTATGACCATAGTATCAGTGGAGTTCTAGAGAATGAGAGAGGAAGATTCTATCTTCAGCTGCATTATGGACACACATAGATACTGTCTTTTTTTTTTTTTAAGATTTATTTACTTGTAGGGCCCGGCGCGGTGGCGCAAGTGGTTAAGGTCCTCACCTTGCACGCCCGGGATCCCATGTGGGCGCCGGTTCTAATCCTGGCAGCCCCTCTTCCCTTCCAGCTCTCTGCCTGTGGCCTGGGAAAGCAGTCGAGGACGGCCCAAAGCTTTGGGAACCTGCACCCGTGTGGGAGACCCGGAGGAAGAGGCTCCTGGCTTCGGATCGGCATAGTATCGGCCCGTTGCGCTCACTTGGGGAGTGAATCATTGGACGGAAGATCTTCCTCTCTGTCTCTCCTCTCTGTATATCCGCCTTTCCAATGAAAAAATAATAAAAATAAATCTTTAAAAAAAAGATTTATTTACTTGTTTACTGGAAAGACAGATTTACATAGATCTTGAATCTGCTGGTTCACTCCCTAGGCAGCCACAAAATTGCCCCAGCTGAGCCACTCCAAAGCCAGGAGCTTCTTCCCAGTCTCCCATGTAGGCCATGCTTGAATGCTTTTCCTGGTCCCAAGCAGGGAACTGGGTGGAAAGTGGAGTATCTGGGACATGAACAGGTGCCCATATAGGATCCTGGCACATGCAAGGCGAGACTTTAGCCACTTAGGCTACCACACCAGCCCCACGATATTATTTAAAGTAATTATAACAGAAAATCCTGTAAGTTAATTAGTGACAGTATCTAGAAATTAGATTTACTATCTGTCTGTGAGGACATAGGGGAAAAGTTACTACTGCTTAAGTAATATAAAATAACTTTAAAAGTATATATATTCAAATCTTAGGCAATAAGATCATGAATCCTTCAATTTCAGTAGCTTTGAGAATGAATATTTAGACAAAGTTGAGCTTCAGTATGAGACATTGATTATGAGGGAGATATGGTAAACCTTTGTTAAGATTTAGATGAATGGTCACTACTAATTGAATGCCATTTTTATTTGATACTATACTGAACTTTGAATGCATTTGTAGGATAAATAGCCTTTGGCCTTATATAAGATACCAAACTACACTCCAGAGCTAGGAAGATTTGCTGTACAAAATTTAGCTTTGTATTATCTTTAATGTCTATCTCAGTGATAGAAATAATTATAATATTCACAAATAGCTAAATAATATGACAACTTGTGTAATTAAGTATTTTCTTATAATTTTAGTTTCTGTGTCCAGTATTTTGAGTCCTATTTGGTATGTCTGGTTTAAAACAGAGGTATGTACCCTAGTCAAGTCATTGAACATCTTACTCATTGTATCTGTTTAGCTGGATCCAGAGCGAAGTTTATTTGACCAAGGAGTAAAGACAGATGGAACTGTACAGCTTAGTGTACAGGTAATTTCTTACCAAGGTAAGTTATTGTTTGTGGCAGTTTTAAGCTTAGGTCATGATTTTCTGTTGTGATAACTCAAATATTACATGTTAGCTGTCTCAATGACAAATGTGGTGCTCTAGGTAGATAGGCATGGTTTTAATTTAGTAATTGTGCCTGTCAAGGTGAAGCATGCAGCATAACACTTTGAGTTACTCATTCGGGTGTGTGGAGGGAAGTATTACAATGCAGTAAACAACACCATCACAAAGTGGGTCGAAGGCTCTAGCTTGCTTCCTGAGCATGCCATAGTCATGTTTGATTGGCAAGGAGCTGTGACCTTGCTCAAATGGAAGCCACTACTCTAGCTATCAGGTTGGAAGTATGCTGACCTTTGCATGATCCATTCTGCCAGTTTGGATACTGTGTGCCTACTTGTCCCCTTAACTCCTTTCCTAAGAAGGTTCATGCTGCTGAGTCTACACCTCCGGGGTTGTGATGTGACCTAGTCAGCCATACCAGCCTTCACAGACTTTTACTTAGAATGTGTAGTAATTACACAAGTTAGAAAATTGGGAAATTGTTTGTGGGAGGCTGAATTTTATCTGTTGAAATGTTGCTTGTTGGGATTTTTGGCTGGAGTCTGAAAATTTTTTCTGAATGTCCACGATTTTTTGTTTTATGATGCCTCGGGCAGGAAATTGATGTTTAGACAATTTTGTTATTGCAGTTCTGTTGAATTATATTTATTGCTAATGATCTGTTAAATTCTGTACATCCATTTTACTTTTAGTGTATTTTGTATTTTAATACTGATAGCTATATATTTGTGATCCCTTAATATCTGCAGGATTTACTACTAGTAATAGTGAGAAATTTACTGTTTTTATAAGTCTGGTGACCTCTTAATATTAAATGTACTTAAATACGAATGTGATTGTATTTAAGAGGAGCTGACTTGAAACTGACAGGATGAAACTGGAGTGGAGAATTATGCAATCGCCACCAGGAAAATGCAAGTCAGGACTTCAGGGAGATACACTTCACCCTAGAGAATGGCCTTTACCCAAAGGGCAAAGAATAACAAATGCCGGCTAGCACTGAGAATGGGGAGCTGCTGGTGGACATATCAGAGTGCAGCTAATTTGTTAAACGATTGAGATTTTTTTTTCTAAGAACAGAAGTAGACTTGCATGTGATCCAGCAATCCTCCTACTGGGTGAATACCCAAAAGATGTTGGATTTACACTGGCAGCTGCCTGTACCACCATGTTTATAACAACATGGTTCATAATAGAATGTTACCAACCACACTGTGCATCATCAGATGCAAAGATAAAAACTGTAGCTTAAGGTGTGTGTATGTTTCATAACGTTCAACTATTTGAAAACATTAATTTCTATCGTTTGCCTCATAATTGTTGTAACTGGAATTCATGATGTTGAGTGAATTAAATCAGGAACAGAAATAAAAATACTACATATTCTTCCTTACATGTAGAAGCTAGAATTTTAAAAGAAGTAACTATCACTTTTTCTATAAATAGTGTTTTGTTAAGTTATTTTGAATCTTTTTAAACAGATTTTTAAGAATGTCGGGCCCGGCGCGGTGGCGCAAGTGGTTAAAGGTCCTCACCTCGCACGCCCGGGATCCCATATGGGCGCCGGTTCTAATCCCGGCAGCCCCGCTTCCCTTCCAGCTCCCTGCCTGTGGCCTGGGAAAGCAGTTGAGGACGGCCCAAAGCTTTGGGAACCTGCACCCGCGTGGGAGACCCGGAAGAGGCTCCTGGCTTCGAATCGGCATAGTATCGGCCCGTTGCGCTCACTTGGGGAGTGAATCATCGGACGGAAGATCTTCCTCTCTGTCTCTCCTCTCTGTATATCCGCCTTTCCAATAAAAAAATAATAAAAAATAAATCTTTAAAAAAAAGAATGCATATATTGCTTAGTTTTAATGATCTGTGAATTCATAGTTACTGTATATCAGTGAAATAGGTGTTTTTGTATTTGGGGAAAAAAGTAAATCACATGTAGAGGAAAGAAATAATAGGATTATGGTGTAAATTTTAGGGGAAATTTTTTTAATTTCTGATTATTTTTATCACTTATTCGAAAAAAAATGACTTTCCTTTATACCACCTGATGAATTATAGTGTGAACATTTTCTTTTAAAACTGATTTTCCCAAGAGACTGAAGCTTTTTTCCTTATTTTTTTCTTCCAGATATACTTGAATTAATTTCGACATAGTTTATTACATTTAATAAGTAACCAATAGCTATTCAGTGATATTAGCTTCTTAGACCTATCTAACTTCAGTACCCGAGGTTGCTGTTTTAGATAGGTACTCACAGCTATCTTACAGTTGTATAAACATGACTAAATAAAATAACTTGTGGCACACTTTCTTGGCTTAGGTATAATTGCCTTTTTTTTTCTTTTCTTTGTTTTGTTTCTGATGAAGGGAGTGTTAAAGCAAGGTCTTCCATCCTCTGGTTTCCTCCCCAGATGGCTGCTGGGGATGGGCCCTGCTGACACCTAGAGTCAGAAGCTTCCTCTGGGTTTCCCATGTGGATGCTGGGTGCCCAGGGTCTTCGGCTGTCTTGCCTTGCTTTCCCAAGCACATTAGCGCAGAGAATGATTGGAAATGGAGTGGCCCAAACCTGGAACGGTGCCCATGTGGCGTGCTGGTATCGGCAGGCAGCGGCTTAACTTGTTAGGCTGAAATTCCAGCTCCCTTAACTGTAATTTGTGGAACATAGGTTTTTTGTTGTTTGTTTTAAAGATTTACTTATTTTTATTGGAAAGACAGGTATAGAGAGAGGAGAGACAGTGAAGGATCTTCCATCTGCAGGTTCACTCCCCAAATGGTCACAACCTGGAGTCAGGAGCTTCTTCCGTATCTCCCACGTGGGTGCAGGGTTTCAAGGCTTTGGGCCTTCTTCCACTGCTTTCCCAGGCCACAAGTAGGGAGATGAATGGGAATTGGAGCAGTGGGAACAATGACTGGCATCCATAGGAAATCCTAGCACTCAGAGGTGGAGGATTAGCTCATTGAGCCACTACACTGAGCACTGGAACATAGGTTTAAGTTAAGTTTTCCCCCTTCTTCAAAAAACATTGAGGAGTCTGTTGATATAATGTTATTTGCCTCGTTTTAATTTTTTATTTTTCTGCGTGAATAACAGTTTTTAACATGTTAGTACAAGTCTTTGAATGTCCTCAGGATTTTCATTTATCTCTAATTGAAAATAAAGACACTGGCACTGCAGTGTGCCAGGTAGCCTTATGGGCACTGGTTTGGTTCCTGGTTGCTCCACTTCCTGTCCAACTCTGTGCTAGTGTGCTTGGGAAAGCAGCAGAGCATGGCTCAAATGCCTGGGCCCCTGGGGTCAGGTAGGAGACCTGGAACAAGGTCATGGTTCCTGGCGTTGGACTCAACAGCTCTCACTATTGGCAGCCATATGGGGAGAGAATCAGTGGGTGAGAGATCTCTCTCCTTATCTTCTATCCGTCTCTCTACCTGTAACTCAGCATTTCAGAGAAATAAATCAGTGTTCAAGGAAGAATAAATTAGAATTTAGTGATATGAATTAATAAACTCAGCATCATTTTGAACACATAATTATCCTATAACAAGGAAAAACAAATCGGTAGCCAATTCATTTTTATTTTCTTAGGATTTTTTTGTTGCTGTTGTTTTGTTTTGGTTTTTAAGACATTGATTTTGATTTGTAAGAGTTAACAGAAAGAAGGAGAGGCAGAGATCTCTCCCATCTGCTGGTTCCCTCCACAAATGGCCACTACGTGGAGCTGAGTGGATCTGAAACCCAAGGACTTGAGCCTTTCCCAGGCGTGTTACCAGGGAGCTAGGTTGGAAGTGGGACTGCCGAGACATGAATTGATGCTCCAGTCTGAGGCTTAGCCCACTCCAGCCCCAGAGGAAGAGCTAAGACTTCCTTGACCACGAATCTGGCCTGGCCGTGGTGGTGAAAACCGCAAGTCCTAACCAGTAGGTCACCTGGGAACAGGACTTTTTTTTTTTTTTGGAAAGATTTTTATTTGAAAAGCAGAGTTAGCAGGAAAAGAGCTCTTCCAACTACTGCTTCACTTTTTGAATGGTCACAATAGCCATAGCTGGGCCAGGCTGAAGGCAGGAGCTGGGGGATGCTTTCCCAGGCATTTTGGAAGGGAATTGCTTTGGAAATGGAGCAGCTGATACTTGCAGTAGCTCCCTTTTGGATTGCTGGTGTTGTTAAGAGGCAGCTTCATTTGGATCACAGCTCTAGCCCTGTGGAGATTTTTTTTTTTCATCCTGAGAATGGCTCACTACTTAGTTGGACTTAGTCTTTTTTGTTTTCAACTCTATGTTGGGTACTTTTTATTTGATTATTTAAAAATTTTATTCTGGTAATGACTGGCGCTATATTTTTCGCAATTAACCATAGTGGGGCAATGAAAATTAGGAAATTCATTGAAACAATTGTTATTACAAAATGAATTGCATTTGGTGTTAAAAATGATCTGTTAGTATCTATAGATACATGGCTAGAAATATTTGAAATCTGTGTCTTTAGAAAGCAGTTACTTGTTTTTATCCTGTATGTTTTAATTTAGATTTAACATTTAAAAAAATTTATTGTTAAGGAATTGAGCCAAAGCTGAACATCCTTGAAATTGTTAAAACTGCGGAAACTGTTGAAGTGGTCATTGATCCCGACGCCCACCATGCTGAAGCAGAGGCACATCTTGTTGAGGAAGCTCAGGTGATAACCCTGGACGGCACCAAGCATATCACCACCATTTCAGATGAAACCTCAGAGCAGGTGACGAGATGGGCTGCTGCGCTGGAAGGTTACAGGAAGGAACAAGAACGCCTCGGAATACCCTATGGTAATAAAATACACAGCTTCTGAAAGAATGCGACAGGAAGGCAGACCCACAAGTTTGCAAGTTGCAGCCTCTTTTAAATACAGAATTTTTATGAATAATGCCTTTTTTCTGTAACTTATTTTTCTAAAATAATTGAACAGCATTGAATCCATTCTCTTTATATTTGTAAAAAGAAAGTTTAAAAAGTTGAAATACTCATTAAATATACCTATGGACAAATACTATGGGTGCTATGAATGTATAAAAAAATTACTATCGTTTGGCTATTTACAATATAGAATAGCAAAATCAATAAAAAGAATTGGTTTATGCCATCGGTAACCCATGTAAAAGAAACATGCAGTTAGGAGTATTATTATGGTGGTGTAGGAAAAAATTTGAGGAAAATTTATTATAAACAAGGAACTACTAGGCAGTGAAAGATACTTGTGACAGGCAGTATGTTTTAGTAGTGTGAAGATTTGGTTATTTTGTAGCATTATAGAAACGGATTTTTGATGCAAATAACAGAGATGTGGCAATGGCATGTGGCATGCATTTAGTGAACAGAGACTGGGGAAAGAAAACATGCTCTAAGTTATATGACAGTGTGCATGTCAGGGTCCAACTGGGAGTGGGAAGGAAGAGGTGAAGAAAACTGCAAATTTACAGATTGTCTGAAGGTAGAGAGGGATTGAAATACCGATCTAACTTCTAGCGTGGGTGACTGAGACAGTAAAATAATCTCAATAAAAATCAGTTGCATTTTCCTTACCGATGTAGTGAACTCTACCATATGCTAGCACTGAGTTAAATACCAGGCTTATGGTGATGCAGAAGAAAAAGCAGCATGCCTTCAAAAGCCTAATTAAGGAAGTAGAGAAGTCTGATATGCAAATGTTTTTAAAGCCCAGTTGTTATTAATACTTGATTTTGAAGTCAAAGTAGATATTCAAATCTGTTTTTGAATTGCCAGAAAATAGTTTCAGGTTCATGAGATTGGTCCTGGAGACAAAGCTATTATAATGAGATTGATATATATATTGAATTTGTATTTGAAGCCTTGAAGTTAGGGGTAGTCTCCAGTGGAAAGAAATGTAAATGACATTACTAAACACTGTACGTTGATATTCTGGAAAAAAAAAAGGCAAGAAGTAGCTGTGCTGATAGAAGGAAAACGAACTGTATATAGTGACACAGAAACTGAGGGAGAAACTTTTGTTTTTGTTTTTAACTGAAACAGAAGCAAAGATCTCTCAGAAAGCTCCCATCTGATGTTGCTGGGCGAGGGACGAAGTCAAGAGCCAGAAACAACCCATAGTAGCAGGAAGCCAGATTAGAAGTGGAGCAGCCAGGATTCAGACCAGTTCTCATATTGTGTGCTGGCATTGCAGTGGGTGAATACCACCAGAGTATGCCATGTTTATTTCTTTTTCCAGTTTTTTTAATGATTATTTTAGGAAGACACCAGCTCGTGTTTTGTCTTAGAATTGTATATGCTAACACTTAGAAATACATATTCTCACAGAAATAAAGTGTAGCAGATATAGTTGATTTATATCTTCCACGCTAACTGGTTCATAGCTTTCTCCTGAGGTTCATGGGTAGGCTAAATAATGTGTATTACATGTCTTGTAAAAGGTCACCAAAAATGCATATTATAAAAAATACTGTAGGTTTTGTTTTTTGCACCCAAACTAACTTTTTGAAGTATCAACTTGTTTCTTGGTTTACAAAAAGAAAAGCCCCATGAAAGCATTTTTTTGCAGTGGCTTTTCTGTCTTCAAACCACTTTCTGTTTTATTGCTTTTAATTATTATTGACTTTGTGCTGTATGTTGGTGAGGATTAACTCTTCTGTCCCCCACAGAATCAAATAAGACCTTGTTTTCATTATTTCATAATATTATGTGACTTTAAACCATTATTTATGATGTGTCTGTGATTAGGTATGTGCTCATTAAATGCATCCCCACTGTTACATTTATACATTTATGTACCTTCTGATTTTCCTACAGTTCAAAGCTGACTTTTTAAAAAAACCCATATAGGTTTCTGTAACTATGAAGACTCACTGTCCCATTTCCATGCCTGTGTTTGTCATTGGTTTTTCACAAATGTTCAGGTATATCTAGATTTGCATCTTCTGGATCTGTTGACATCTATCCTCTGCAGTATTGGGTCCTCATTTTTGTGAATTTCATAGTTTTTTTCTACTGTTATTCTCTTATTTGTCCATAGGTTCTCTAGAAAGGAAACCTAAAAAAAATTGTTTATTTTTTTGAGCCTTATACTTCTGAAAGTTTCTTCTGCTCTCTTTGATAGTTTGGATTTAGAATATTAAATGGAAAATCATTTTTCCTCAAAATTTTGATAGCATTATGGGATGTTGCCACCAGTGGTAGAGGATTAATTTACCCCATGGTACCAGCTCTTACTTTTTTTAATATTGATTGCTTTTTTTTAAATTACATTGCATTATGTGACACAGTTTTTTAGGCACTGAGATTCCTCCTCCCCTTCTCCCACCCCTCCCCCCCCATGGTGGATTCCTCCACCTTGCTGCATTGCCATAGTTCAAGTTCAGTTGAGGTTCTTTCATTGCAAGCATATATCAAGCATAGAGTCCAGCATCTTATTGTCCAGATAAGTTCAACTGCTTCTTGTGGAGACCACCTCTGGTCTGAAGGCAGAGCCAGCAGAGTATCATCCCGACCAATCAAAAGTACCATCACACGGGCCCGGTGCGGTGGCGCAGTGGTTAAGGTCCTCACCTTGCACGCCTGGGATCCCATATGGGCGCCGGTTCTAATCCTGGCAGCCCCGCTTCCCTTCCAGCTCCCTGCCTGTGGCCCGGGAAAGCAGTCGAGGACGGCCCAAAAGCTTTGGGACCCTGCACCTGTGTGGGAGACCCGGAAGAGGCTCCTGGCTTCGGATCGGCATAGCATCGGCCGTTGTGCTCACTTGGGGAGTGAATCATTGGACGGAAGATATTCCTCTCTGTCTCTCCTCCTCTCTGTTATCCGCCTTTCCAATAAAAAAATAATAAAAATAAATCTTTAAAAAAAAAAAAAGCCCCAACATAACATCCGCAACAATCCACAACGTCATGGAATTAGTGGACATAGTATTGAGTAACCAGTATGTTAAAAAAAAATTTACATTTTACAGGTAGTATTTTTCATACTGACATCATCTCATCTTAAATTAAGCAAACATGTGGTATCTAACCTTTTGGGATTGGTTCATTTCCCTTAGCATTATGGTTTCCAGTTGGGCCCATTTGGCCACAAAGAACTGCATTTTGTTTTTTTTAATAGCTGAGTAGTATTCCGTGGAATAGATGAACCATAGCTTTCTTATCCAATCTTCTGCTGATGGGCTTTTCGGTTGCTTCCATGTTCTGGCAATTACTGATTGTGCTGCTATGAACGTAGGGGTGCATGTTGGCTTCTCGTGAAGCATGTGTTTTGGATATATACCTAGGAGTGCTATTGCTGAATCATATGGTATGCAGATTTTGAGTTGTTTGAGTGTTCTCCATACTGATTTCCACAGAGGCTGTACCAACCTGCTTCCCCAACCTGCAGTGGAGTAGGGTTCCCTTTTCCCCACATCCTCGCCAACAAGTGTTGTTGGTGTTTTTTTTTTTTTAATGTGGGCCAGTCTTACTGGCATTAGGTGGTACTTCATCGATGTCTTAATTTGGATTTCCTTTATTGCCAGGGAACTGGAGCATTTTTTCATATGTTTGCTTGCCATTTGGGTTTGTTCTTTTGTGAAATGTGTGCCCATTTCTTGAGTGGCTTGTTTGTTTTGGTGTTTTGGTTGTTTTGGAGTTCTTTGTATATTCTGGAGATTAGCTCTCTATCACCTATGTAGTGCGCAAAGATCTTTTCCTATTCTGTGGGTTGCTTCTTTTACTTTGTTGATTGTTTCCCTTGCTGTACACAAGCTTCTTAGTTTGATGAGGTCCCATTTGTTTATTCTGGTCTTGATTGTTGTTGCTTTTGGTGTCCTTTTTAGGAAGTCAGGACCAACCCCTAGATCTTGCAGGGTATTTCCAACATTTTCTTCCAAAAGTTTGAAGTTTTCAGGGTGTAGGTTTAGGTGTTTTATCCATTTAGATTTGATCTTAGTGTATGGTGAAAGATGTGGGTCTATCTTTTTGTTTCTGCAGGCTATCATCCAGTGTCCCAACAGCATTTATTGAAGAGACCTTCCCATTTGCGTGGATTGTCGTTTGTCTTTTTGTCAAAGATTATTTGGGTGTATTTGTGTGGGTTCCCTTCTGGTGTTTCTATTCTGCTCCATTGATCTTCCTCTCTATCTTTGTGCCAGTACCAGGCTGTTTTGATAACCACTGCTCTATAGTATGTCAAGAGATCTGGAACTGTGATTCCCCCTGCTAATTTCCTGTTCTTCAGGGTTGTTCTAGCTATTCGTGGTTTTTTATGTTTCCAGATGAACTTTTGTATCCTTGTGTCCAGTTCCATGAAGAATGTTTTGGGCAATTTGATTGGGATTGCGTTGAATATATATATATTGCTTTTGGTAGTATAGACATTTTAATGATATTGATTTTACCTATCCAGGAGCATGGGATGTTACTCCATCTTTTGAGGTCTTGTTCAATTTCTTTTTTAAGTAGTTTGTAGTTTTCTTCAAATAGGTCTTCTACATTTTTGGTTAGATTTATTCCCAGATACTTCATACTTTTCTCTGTTATTTTGAATGGTATCTTGCTGCTTAGATGTTTTTCCATCTTGGGGCTATTCGCATACACTATGGCTGTTGATTTTCGTTCATTAATTTTGTACCCTGCCACTCTACCAAACTCTCATGTAAGTTCTAGCAGTTTCTGTATTGGGTCTCTTGGTTTTAATATTGATTGCAAAATGAAATAACATTTTGATATATGAAGTTAAATTTATTGTTAAAATGAATTTCATCTACTTTATAGAAAAATTAAAATTACATAGTAGTCTCTATTCTAACATTTATTTAATTATTTATTATTTGAAAGAGTGAAAGAAAAACTTTCTATCTGCTCTTTCATAACCAAATGGCCACAATGGCTGGTGTTGGGTCAGGCTGAAACCAGGAGCCTGCAACTGCAATTGGTTCTCTCATATCGTCAGCAAAGTCACAAGCACTTGGGCCATCTTCTGCTGCCTCAGGCACATTGGCAGGCAGCTGGGTTGGAAGTAGAGAAGCCAGGATTTAAGCTGGGGCTCACAGAGGATATGATAAGTATCTTCTGAAGTTCCATGTTGTTTTTTTTTCTGAGACTTGTGTTGAAACTCTTGGTTTGATCCTTTTCATCTTTCATCTTCTTTCTTCTTTTCGTCGTTTGCTGTCTGTACTACCCTGCCAGATTTTTCCTATTTGTATGTTACAATTTACAGGTTTTCCTTTTTTGCTTGTTTGTTTCTTTCCTTCCAGAGAGCATTGTTTTGTTTGGAAAGGCATATTTGTAGCAAGGAGAGACAAATCTTCCATCCACTGGTTCACTTACCCAGTGGCCACAACAGCCAGAGCTATGCTGATCTAAAGTCAGGAGGCCAGGAGCTTCATCCAAGTCTCCCACGTGGGTGCAGGTTCCCAAGGCTTTGGGCCGTCCTCGACTGCTTTCCCAGGCCACAAGCAGGGAGCTGGATGGGAAGTAGAGCAGTTGGACAGGACCGGCACCCATATGGAATCAGACGCTTGAAGAGGGAGGATTAGCCAGTCAAGCCATTGCACTGGGCCCATCTAGGGCATCCCAATCCTCTATTTTAGATATGCTGTTTTCTCTTACCTCTCTGAGTATATTGATTATGCTACTTTTTTTAACTTAAAAAAGTCTGTTGTTACATATTTGTTTCTTCGAACTCTGTTTTTCTGTTTTTCATTTAGTGCTTTGCCTTTAGTCTCTCTCAAATATCTAATTATCATGTAACTGTTCACATTTGAGAATGAATATTAGGGTGGGTACTATGGCCATGGTTGAGCCATGACTTAGGGTCCTGATTTCTTATTGAAGTGCCTGGATTTGAGTCCCCTCTCACTTAAGTCAAGCTTCCTGCTAATGTACACCATAGGGAGCCTTGTGTAGAGTTCTTGGGTTTGGCCTGTTCCCAGGCTTGGCTGTTGTAGGCATTTGGGGAGCAGACCAGCATATACATCCTCGTCTCTGGGTGTCTTTGCCTTTCAAATACGTAGATAAATCTGAGTAAAGCATTTACCTAAACACTTTAAAGCTAATGAGTTCCAAAGGGTTTGTTGACTATACACTTGTAAGGTGGGGCTTGACCTTTTCATTATAAGATTTTCATATGTCACAAACTGTCTTCAACTTCTGTGGAAAATTGGCCAAGCACCTGTCAGTAAAAGGCTGGGGTGACCATTTGATTGATAGGTGTAGAAAAAGAAGTGAGGCAGGGAAGAGATGTAGACATTATCACTGACAATTGCCAGTGTCTACTTCAGTCTCCCATATGAAATGTTCTGGCATCCACGTGGGATGCTCTCAATTGCCTGCCCCCTAAGAATGTTAGCAGAGCCCATGGCAGTTCTGATAGCACCTTCTACATTAGTGCATGACCTGTTTTTTAACTTTATGTCTCTCATCAGATTTTAAAACATCAATTTATGATACATAGGAAGCAAATCAGGCTATATTTTTCCATGTCTCTCTTGATCTTAAAGACTTGTTTATTTGGTGTAAAGTGAGCCTTCCTGGAATTTTCACGGGATGCCCGTTCAGGATTACCATTACTGACTTAACTCCATATTCTGTTTTTTGAGTTTGCTGACCCTGCTTTGATCTCAACCTTCCCTTTGGTTTCCTCAGCATTCATGTGCCACTTCTGTTTCTGTTGCTGTTCTGGGAGACCTACAGTCTTTATATTGGCTCAACACTGGTGTTTGTCGCCATTTAGGGAGTGAATCAGCAAATGAAAGATCTCGATCTCTCTGTCTCTGTCTCTCGTGTCTCTCGCGTGTGTGTTTACAAAGAGACAAGGTAAAGATCTTCCATCCTCTGTTTTACTCTTCAAGTGGCTTCAATAGCCAGAGTTGAGTCAGTCTGAAGCCAGGAGCCTCCTCTGGCACTCCCATATGGTTGCAGAGTCCCAAAGCTTTTGAGCCATTCCCTGTTGCTTTTCCTAGACCATTAAGAGGGAGCTGGATGAAAGTGGAGCAGCCAGGGCAGGAACTGGTGCTCCTCTGGGACTGGAGGATTACCCAGTTGTGCCATTGTACTGACCCTGGGAAAAGCTGCTGTTTCGATGTTGCTTTTCCAGTGACTACTTCTTGGCTGTGTGGAAGTGTTCCTGTGCTCTGAAGGGCTGAGTGGTCCCTTTGCTTTTTCTTGTACGGATGCTGAGATTGTCATGTTCTTGTGACTGTTACTGCTTTTTCTTCTCTCATTTTTATTTTTGCATCCACAGCATGTCTTGTCACTTGATTTTATTGCTAATGTCAGTGGGGTTTTGGTTTTCTTTAGTTGCTTTTTCTATTTTTATGTTGGCATTTAGAGAAATTAGCAAAGCTAAAAACAGTCTTGGCCATAGTCTTCCTAGACACCTACTCCCTTAACTTTTTTTGAGGAAAAATTTCGTAAACAATGTCTATGGCTGTCCTTCTGTATTTTTTGATTTATTCTTACTATACTTTCGTGTTTGTTTTCTTTTTTCCTTCAATTAGTTAATATCATTCATTGAGCATGTCACCAGTGCTATTTGAATATATCATCTTCTGAAAGCAGAATACCAGTACCAACATTAACTCATCAGTTCCTTGTATCTTTCCACAGATAGAATGCTCTAATATGTTTCAGACAAAACAGAAAGGGAGAAAAGACTGTTTGTTTAAGGCAGCTTCCTAAAACACCCTTACAATTTTTTCAGTGGGGTGAATCAGATACTACTACAGAATAATATTTCGAACTTGAATAATTTATTCCAGTCTCTCCAGAACAATCACAGTGGTTTATGTTTTGCATTTGCTGTCTTAGGAAAATGAATCTGCATATTGTTTTGTTGGTAAAATTTCAGACTCCTTGACAACAACAGACATTTAGATCAATAAATTAAAAAGAGCTGAAGAGAAAATAGAGAATAAAAATTGTTTTAACTTAATGCATTGTTTTTACTTCAGTTGTAGAGAAAAGCATCTGCTTGGATTGTGTGTATGTATTGACAAAGTTGTACATTCATGTAATATCTAAGATGAAACTAGGCTAAAGATACTATTTTTTTTTTTTCTAGATCCTATACAGTGGTCCACAGACCAAGTCCTACATTGGGTGGTTTGGGTCATGAAGGAATTCAGCATGACTGACATAGATCTCACTACACTCAACATTTCTGGAAGAGAATTATGTAGTCTCAGCCAAGAAGATTTTTTTCAACGAGTCCCTCGGGGAGAGATTCTTTGGAGTCATCTGGAGCTTCTTCGAAAATGTATAAGAGTGGAATACTATCCATCTGTATCGTAACTTAAGCTTTAACTGGTTAATGCTTTGTTGGTAGCAATAACAAGCAGATAATTCAGTGGTTTTTAACTGTAAGGAAATACTGACAACTGTATTTTTGTTTTTTGGGGACTTTTTTGTTATTTATTTATTTGTTTGTTTATTGATTTATTTGAAAGTGGGTAGTACCATTGTTTCCACACTAATATTATCATTTTTCCCTGTATCTTGTTTTGTTCTGTTTTGTTTTTTGAGAGAGAAATTTATTGGTTCATGTAAAAATAGGTGGACGGAAAAGTAGACAGGGAAGGATAGCTCACATCTTACGGCGCAGTCCCCAAATGCCTGCAGCAGGCAAGGCTGGACCAGGAGCGAGAAACTCCGTGTTGGTCTGTCATGAGAGTATCAGGGAACCAATTACTGGGGCCATCGTTCTACTGCTTTTCCAGGAGCATTAGCAGGAGGCTACAAAAGTAGAACTCTCAGAACCCAAATTAGCACTCCCATGTGGGATGCTGTCCTTGTGAGCAGCAGTTAACTTACTGCAAAATGATGTCTTCCCCACAATGTGTCATGTCATCTCTGTAATAAAACCATGAATTATTTTCTGTATGTTGTAGATAGGAAAGTGATGTGTTCAGAGCCCTGCAGGGTCACAGAGCCCCAGTGTACAGAGCCAGGATTTAATCAGGTTAGCATTAGAATTCCCAGTTGTAAAATCAGATGCCTTGCACTTAGGCCTCTATAATCCAGCCAGTTCTCGGTTACTAGAAATTTGAAATCAGCTATTCACTGGTGTTCTCCTTCCCATTTACAGAATTAAGTTTTTCAAAGTGTCTTTTTTATTAAGTGAACAGGGTCTTTAAGAAAGTGTACAACTCATTGTCATGAATTGTATACAGTGTTTCAACTTAGAACACAGAATGTAGCCACAGACATTATTATGAAGTAACTGTATAGAAATTAGAAATTGCTTGGCTGCCCAACAAAAAGCTCAAATAAGTATAAAGAATGTTAATTGAATTTTAATCTGGGTTATGTTTCAGTGACCATGCAGGCAACTGTTAAGACAACTTAGCAGTAACTCTTCCCTGACATTGCTTTGTATATCAGAAATGCTAGGCAAGTCCACATTTTTCACATTGCATAAATAGAGAGGACATTAACAGTGCTTTTTTTAGCCATTAGGGATGAAAATGTAATCAGCTACATTTTTTTTAATGTGCCCAGTGAAAGAAGTATTCTGGGAAGGGCTTTTCCACAGTAACTGGCATTTCATCTTAGGTGGTTTCTCTGCTCTTGAATAAGAAACAGGCTTTGGCTGTGCTCCTGTATGGATTTTTGTTTAAAGTATCAATGACACTAAAAGCCTTACTTACATTCTTTACATTTACTGGGCTTATTTCTAGTTTCATTTCTTATTAGATAAGTTCACTGTTTCAGTTGAAGGTATGTTCAACTTCCAGTGACTTAAGTCCTGGGTTGTTTCAGGTTTTTACCATGTGAGTCATTGTTACTCAGGAACACAAGGACAGTGTTTAGACAGTGGTTTTCCAGTATCTCCTAAGTCAGTGTCTATTGTGGGGTCTCTATTGAGTTCTCCTAGGCTTCTCAGACTTAGAGTTTTCCTAAAGTCTTTGACTGTCATGTCTGCAGTGGAATGGAGCTTCCTCTGAGAAGCTCTACTGGAATTGTTGGCTCCAGTGGCCTAGATTAGCTTTGTGAAAATCTTTGCTTGTCCAACCATGGTTCTTTGTATCCTTTCAGGGAAATCGTGTTTGGTTGGAATCTAATGGTCAGTTTAGAAATTGAGAACTAGGCAGGATGATGTCTGAGTGTTTGTGCTAGAGTCTGAGAAGTGAACAGTATCATTTCTTGAATCTTCTGAGTGCAGTCAGGTGCTGTGGTAGAAAAAAGTCTGTAGCTTTTCTCTGAAAGTTACTGTTTTCTGGGACCAGTTTGCTATCCGTTAACCCATCGTGTCATCTCTATCCACTGATTCCTCAGGGAGCAGTGCTGGAGAGACTTAGCTCCTTCAGCTGTTGTCAGGTCACTCGCCTGAGCCACCACTTGCTTGCATTGCCCTATGTTGGAACTCAAAGTTCTGTACGTGGGGAGGATAATGGGAAGGTATCTCATGATGCGTGATGTGCTGCTTCTGTGTGTCTTCTGTCATGGACAGAGGTTGTGATTTGCTGAGGCTTTTCTGTAGGGAATGAATTGTTTTTGTGGAGTATTGCTTCGTTTATAGAATGACTGCATAACCTCAGCATTTTGTCTCTTAGGACACACTTTGTGTGTGGCTTGGCAGAATATGGAAATCAAAGTTCCCACAGTCTCATGCTAGGCTTCCAAAAACCCCTTTTACTGAATTCTGTCCTTGTTCTTTAGGGTTCCCAGGAATAAGACCAAAATACAGGCTGAGGATCAGGACTTGGAAGCCGAGTGTACAGATTACTAGACCTATTCATTGTGATGGTTACTTTTTTGTTTTATTCCTTTTGGGACTAAGATACCCCATTCTTTTTGTCACATTAAAATATGTTAATTTTATAACACTTTGTCCCTTTCAGTTTTTAATAAAATTCTAAGGAAGGGCTATCACAAATAAGGTATGGATAATTTTTGTTTTTTTCAAGACAAATACAACAGTTCTAGGAAATAATGCTCAAAACTGAAGATCTGCATTCCACAGTAATGACTTAAAACTGTTTTGTTTTAATTTTCACAACAGTCTCTTGAGGTCATAACAGGGTTTTTTAAATTTAAACATGGGGAAATTAAATGTTTAAAGAGGTTGAAAATTTTACCAGAATCAACATCACCAAGAGCTAAGATGTGAACTGAAATCTATCTAGTCACGTAATTGTGGAAGTTTTTGAACTAAGGACCCCAAACAAAAGCTCTGGTCGGACTGAATTGAGACCTGTTTTTCATTCTTTGGCCTTTTCTGTTTGTTTAGAACTATATTCTGGTGTGAAGGGTCTTCTAAGGGCCCCTGCCCTAGAACTCTTGATTCATTATCCAGAATGATTGCTGATGTATATAATTTCAGAGTGAAACATGTAGTTTATAACAAACACTGGATAGGTTGAAGAGAAACTGGGAGGAAAATTATTGTTTGAGAGGTGAAGGACAACATTTAAACTAGAAACAGTAACAGGAGAATAGCTTGTTCTATAGAGGGTTACATTAGGAACTTTCATCATATGTAATGCTTAGTTTTTGAGTTGCATTGGATTAATTGTGATATTTAGGATCATTATAATTTTGTTAAGAAGTTAGCATTGTAAAGTTAACTTTTATACAACATGGATGTTACAGCACAGCTCTAAGGGAGCCTTTTTGCTGGCATATGTATGTAATGAGTTCAGTTTGGTTATGTTCTGAATCTGGAGATTTGCTTTAGTTTCCTGCGCCAGTTACTTTTCAGATGTAATATTTCACTTTCTCACTGGCTTCCTTTGCTGGCTTTGGTTTTAGTTGTGAAGTTCCCTTTAAAATAGGGTTGGAAAACATCTAACTGTGAGCCATGTAAGGTCCATGAAATCATTTGGTGTGACCTTGCCACGGCAGCTGCAGGTGGGACTTAACATTCAGTAAATCTCTAGTAGGCTGATTTTTCTGTTGATAGTTTTTTATGGCCTATAGATGCTGTTAAGTGTCCAAATGGCCATTGGGAGAAAAAGCTTCCCACCTAAAAGCATCATGTGTTTTAAGTTGTTTTACTGGATTGGGATTTTAATTTATAGTTGTAAATGATTAAAAAATGTTTTCTATGTCATTTAGATGTGTTGGCAAGCCAAGAGCAACAGATGAATGAGATAGTCACCATCGATCAACGTGAGTATTGCTGCGTGCCTGTACTGCCTCCCCACAGAGAAATAAGGTGTTTACTGTATGTAATACAAGGTAGTAACAGGGAAATGTAAAAATGTTTGTAAAGGGTTTTAGGTATAAATAGAAACAAAGTAACACATGTAAAAAATAAGATGTAGAACTTATCAGGTATGGGTCCTGTTTTTCTGTCTCTGAGGAGAGTAGAGTATCCTGAATTGAATGTTTCTGTTTTTACCAATTATGTAGCAGCCATAGGTACTATGTAGTATTGCTTTATACTATTCTCTGTACTTAAACATTTTGGCTAAACTGGGTATATACTCTACATTTCTTTTTATAAACTTCTCTTTTTCAAAACACTTAAAAGGTATAAATTGTTTGGTATTTGTAGGTAAATTTCACTGTTAAATAGTTTTTCTAAAATGCTATGAGAATCAGTGAGCAAGTGTTTGTAAGAACATGTGTTTTGATTTTAGTATCCCAAGATTTCTGCTTTGTCAGCAAGGGTAGCTAAGTTAATACCGCAGTTTTTCTCAAAGTGGTGTCAGATTAGGCTGTTAACCGTACTAAAATATGAGTTCTCAATTGTCTGTATTTCTCCAGCATTTTAAGTCAGTAATTAGTAAGTCTTTTCTATGAACAAGTTTTTCAAAAATGTGTTTTCATATTTAACTTTTTGTCTAAGGTGTAGGTACTAGTTTTAGTTTCATACAATGAAACCAACCTTTAATGTTTCAGATTCACAAACTGTGAAGATAAGTGTTATACTGTACTCTAAGCTTTTTGTGATTTCATAAAAATTGTAGAATGAGGCTTTTATACTCAAGTTTTTGTTTTTTTTTTTTTTTTAGCAAATAAAAGGGCTTTTGTTACACCAGTTCCATATAAAGTCTTTTAGTGATTGTTTCAGTGCTTCCATTACAAGAAAAAAGTTTTCTCCCTGTATTTTTTACAGCTGTGCAAATTATTCCTGCGTCAGTGCAGTCAGCTACTCCCACTGCCATTAAAGTCCTGAACAGCAGCGCCAAGGCGGCCAAAGTCCAGAGGGCTCCACGGATTTCAGGAGAAGACAGGAGCTCACCTGGAAACAGAACAGGTATTTATGTTAATTAGTTCTTATAGAATCTGTCACATTAGGTGCATTTGGTTTGATTTCACTCTTTATTTTTATTTATTTGTTTATTTATTTTTAACATTTTATTATTATTATTCTCATTTTACGATACAGTTCCATAGGCCCCTGGCATTTCCCTTATCCCCTCCCCAATTCCCTGCCCCACCGCACCCACCAATTCCTTTATATCATTACCAAAATCTAGTTCTTCATACACAGTCATATGTCCATCATTGTGGGCATGGAAAATGGCAGAGTCTAGCATCCTGTTGTCAAGATATAGCACACAGTTTCATTGGAAGTCCATCTTTGTCTGGAAGCAAAAATACATACCACACTGCATCCTCACATCTGGATGTTAGTCTCCATTACACAGCTACTATACATCCCCTTAAATAAAAAGTTATGATACAAAATCAACAATAGAAAGAAACATAGAAATTTACAGTGCCATGAAGTTAAATGACATGTTACTAGAAATGAGTCTCCATTACACAACTACTATACATTCCCTTAAATAAAAAGTCATGATGCAAAATCAACAATAAAAATAGAAATTTACAATGCCATGAAGTTAAATGATATGTTACTAGATATGACAGTCTCCATTACACAGCTACTATACATCCCCTTAAATGAAGAGCCACAAAACAAAATCAACATCAGGGAAAAAAAAAAGAAATTAACAATACCAAGAAGTTAAATAACATGCTACAAAATGCCTAACGTGTAGCTGAAGAGATAAAATCAAGAACCTTCTTGAAGAAAATGATGCCACTGTATGACCTACAAGTCATTGAATGATTTAATCAGAAGAAAGTGTTTTGAAGAGGTGAAACTAACAGAAAACAACAAAACCCATGTGATATAATTTCCACTGATTTTTGTTGAAGTGTATCTCTTCTAGAAAATAAACAGATGGGTTTTGTTTTTGAATCCAGTCTACTAATCTATGATGTTTGATTGAGCTTAAGCCATTTACATTCAGAGTTTAACATGTAGGATTGGTACTCTGGTCCTGTAATTTTAGGAATGGGTTGAAAGAATTGGTTTAGTCTTCTGTTGTCATTTCACTGGGATGTTCTTCCCACTTGCCTTTGGTTTTGGTAGGTGCTATTCCTCTTCTCTGTCAAGAGAACATCTTGAAGTATCATTTGTAGGGCAGGTTTGGAAGAGGCAAATTCTTTGAACTTTTCTTTACTCTGGAAGAGTTTTATTTTATTTTCAAAGATAAAAGAAAGTTTTGCTGGATATGTTATCCTAGGCTGACAATTTTTTCTTTTTCAATCTGGAATATGTCACTCCATTCCCTTCTTGCCTGTAGAGTTTCCTGTGAGAGATCTGTGAGCTTAATTGGCATTCCTTTATATGTCAATTGATGTTTTTCACGTGCACATTTAAGGATCTTTTCCTTATGTTTGATTCAAGAGAGCTTGATTATCATGTGTTGTGGTCAAGATCACTTTTGATCAAGCCTGTTGGGAGTTCTGTGCCCTTCCTGGCTCTTGTTTCCCAGTTCTTTCTCCAGATTAGGGAACTTTTCCTTGATTATTTCATTAAATACATTTGCAAACTCAGCTTCTCTTTCTGCACCTTCTGGGACTCCCATAACTCTTCTATTTGCCCTCTTCATAGTGTCTTTCAATTCTTGAATACTTTTTTTTGGCCTGATCCAGCTCTGCTTCCAGCTTTTTGTTTATTTCCCCCTGATGACAGGAAATATCTTCCAATTCTGAGAGTCTTTCTTCTGCTTGCTTCATTCTCTTTTGGAGACTCTCCACTGTAGTTTTCATTTGCTCTACTGTGTTCTTAATTTCTGATATATCAGCCTTGATTTGCTTTATTGCCTCCTTAAATTCTTTGAACTGTTGTATGTGTTTCTCATTTTTGATCAGAATCTTTAAAATGAGTCTTATGGATTCTGTGTCCCCCATTTTCTCGATGTCTTCCTCAGTGAACTCTGAGGCTGGCGTAGGGTTTTGCTCCTTTTCCAGGGAGTTTTTGGTAATATTCATTGTGCCTTTGTCTGTTCTTTTGCTCTTGGTCATTGCACTTCTGGTTAGCAGAGTTTTCTCCTTGGGGCAGGTTTCTAAGCTGTGTCACCCATAGGTCTCCAATGCGATTTTACTGATTGAAGTTGGTACACAACTTTTTGCTTGCAGCCACTTGTGTCACAACCTCCAGTGAGTTCCAGGTCTGGGTTCTTATGTTAGATTTTTACTGTGGTCTCCACAGCCCTGGCTCTTGGCTCACCACTCTCCACCTCCTGTGATAACCGTGCTGAGGCTGCACTGTTGTCTCTGCCACCTTTCTCCCACTTTCGGTTGGAGCAGGTCCAAGGATTAGGGGAGACACCAGATGTCCTACTTAGTTAGGTTGTTGGTGGCGCTGATCTTGTCAAACTTTTGGACATTAGGTCTGGATGCCACATAGACTTATTTTGACCGGTACAATGCCACATTTGGTATTATTTTTCTGCAGGATCAGTGCAGTCCATGGACCTCAGCAAGTTCTCATGAGCTCAGCACATGCGCAGTTCACTGTTGTCCCCTGCAGTCCTAAAGCTATTGCCACAGTGTGCAAAATGGCGCCTGACGTACCACCACTACAGTTCTTGATCTGCTGGCCTGCCAGCAGATTTAAGGGCTATCCAGACCTGCCCCTGGTGGAACTTGTAGAATTTTATGTCGTTGCAGTTCACTGAGTCAGAAATGAGCTTACTCCCAGCTCAGAGCATGCTCAGTCCTTTCCCTTGCCCTTTTCTCCCTACGCAAAATGGTGTCCAATTTGTTCTTGGGGGCTGACTGGGCTATGAAATCCACCCTGTTCTCGCACTGCCTGTCTGGGATCTGCTGCTCGGTCTCTGTTCTTGGTCAAATCAAACGGACCAGCAGGACAGACATTTCTTTGTCTGTGTTCAGCTCCCAAGCTCCCAGTGAAAGTCCCTCCCCACCTGGTTGCTGGTGGAGTTTTGGCTCTGCTGGAGTTCAGATCGCTGTTAAGTGAATGCTGCTGGAGTATGAGTCACTGCAACACCACAGCATTGTGTCCACTGCTTTCCTGTGTCTGTCAGTCTCCAGGTACCCCTCTGCTGTTGTTCTGTCCTTTCTTATTTCCTGCAAAGTGCCTTCTCTGCTTTATCTTGATTAAATATTTTTCTGTCCGTTTGATCCTGTCCTTATCCTGTTCCGCCATCTTGATTCTCTGATTTCACTCTTTAGAAATGTGTATTCTGTCTATTGTGACAGAATGTGGAAAGCAGTTGTTTAAAATAAGAAAACTGTTTTTACTTTTGGTCCTTGTAATTTGGTAATATTCTTGTCATGTTGTCAAATCAGGAAACAATGGACAGATCCAGCTATGGCAGTTTTTACTAGAACTCCTTACTGACAAAGATGCTCGAGACTGTATTTCCTGGGTTGGTGATGAAGGTGAATTTAAACTAAATCAACCTGAGCTAGTTGCTCAAAAATGGGGACAGCGTAAAAATAAGCCTACAATGAACTATGAGAAACTCAGTCGTGCATTAAGGTAAGTATTTATTGTATTTCTTCCCCTAACTAGAGATAGCATTTTATTCTAGGTGTAAGCTTTCTATATAATTGTAAAGTACAAGTTCATATCATTTTCTTTATAAATTAAAAACAATAAAATTTGCATGCATGTTATATTAAAAATAAGCTTATAAAAATGCCTTAGCTACTTTGGTGTACACAGCTTTTCAAAAAGATTATTCTAAGATCATTTGTTAAAAAAAAAAGATCATTTATTTTATCTGATTTAAAAACATGTAATACTCTTCAGAACAAAAATGTCATAATCTTTGGTATTTTTGTTGTTTGCATAGCAGAAGATGCTATCATTTGCATGCATGAATTGAATGTCAATTTTAGCAAAATGTGAATACTGTATTTATAAGTGCCTTTTTCATCCTCCTATCTGCCTAAGTCTGAATATCATAAAATTGTAATTGAATAAAATTCTTAAGACTGTAGGAATAGTATAAAAAGTTTTTGACAGTTTTGTCTGTAACATTGTACTTAGTATAATGATGAAAATTCATGATGTAAGCTTAACGTATTTAAGAAGGATGATGTGTAGGATAACATTGGATTATGCATGTGAATTTTTGGGATGTAGTTACAGTCAAATAGTTGTGCATTTTGTCTGTTCAGGTAATGTGCCTTTTATTGTTTCATGTTTCACTTTACTGTGGTGTGTGAACTTCACACTGGGATGTGATTTGGCTTTCATCAGGCTCCTTCCCCACCCCACCCTGTAATTAACTAATTCTCTTTCTCTTTCACACACACACAGGCACACACACACTCTCTCTTTTCATCTTCTCATGCTAGTTTCATTGTGTGAAGATTTTGGTTAGGCTGTATGTCCATTATTACAGTATCATGGTCATGTAAATACCACCATGTAGCTTTCTTATTTCTTCTCAAATGATCCTTTGTGTCTTTTAGAGTTAATGATGAAATTGCTTAGTTTTCAGTATGCTTGACACTCTTTCTCAGAATCATTTTGGCAAGTGGAAATACCCTTTCTGTGTAATTAAAATTAAAACTACTATTTTGTCAGTGGACGAAAATTGCACGTATACAATCAAATTTACAGGCCTAAAACTTAGAGTCACATAGTTAGAATTAATAATTAAGATGTGGGGGCAGATCTCTGCTTAAAACCCTGCTGGAATACCCACGAACTGTCCGAGTGTTTGGGTGTGAGTCTTGGTTATGCTTCTAAGTCCGGCTAATGCACACCATGGAGGAGCAAGTGAGGACTCAGACTTGGGCCTCCCGCATTGGAAGCCCAGATTGCCCTATCTTTGGGGCTTAAGGAGGATGGAAATCTGTGTCTCATTCTGCTTTTTCAGATAAAATTTTAAAATAATAAATAACCTGTGTAATCTCACCAGATTTGATTAATTCAACAATTACCAAAATCTATTTATTTATTTATTTATTTATTTATTGGAAAGGCAGATATACAGAGAGAAGGGACAGAGAGGAAGATCTTCTGTCTGATAATTCATTCCTCAAACGGCCACAATGGCCAGAGCTGAGCTGATCCAAAGCCAGGAGCCTCTTCCGGTCCCCCATGCGGGTGCAGGATCCCAAGGCTTTGGGCCATCCTCAACTGCTTTCCCAGGCCACAAGCAGGGAGCTGGATGGGAACCTGCGCCTGGCACATTCACGGCGAGGAATTTGGCCAATGAGCTACTACCCAGGGCCCTAATTCATTTTTTTTTGTTTTAAGGTTTATTTATTTTTATTGGAAAAGCAGATATACAGAGAGGGGGAGAGACAGAGAACGATCTTCCGTCCGATGGTTCACTCACCAAGTGACCGCAGCAGCTGGAGCTGAGCCAATCTGAAGCTAGGAGCCAGGAGCTCTTCCAAGTCTCCCACACAGGTGCAGGGTCTCAAGGTTTTGGGCCGTCTTCCACTGCTTTTCCAGGGCACAGGTAGGGAGCTGGATGGGAAGTGGGACCACCGGGATTAGAACCGGCGTACATATGGGACCCCGGCATGTGCAAGGCGAGGACTTTAACCATTACAACATCGTGCTCGGCCCTGTATTATTTGTTTGTTTTGTTTTGTTTTGTTTTAATTAAAACCTTACAAGGCAGTTGTTGATTATTAGGCCACCTAGTAAAATTTACAAAATGGAAAATCTAATCTCGGGATATTGTCTGGTTACATATCATAGAGACGTGATGCTGTCTGCTTAACAGTAAGAAGGCAGTAGACTGAAAAGGGAGCCCAGGAAGAATTTGGAATGTACGCATATTTGATTTAAACAAATAGTACTGGGAAAAAGAATATAGGAAAAGTTTGATTCAGTAGTGCTGCTACATTCAGCTCTCCTTCTGGAGGAAGCGTGACTCCTTCCTTGCCCTACCAAAAATCAGTTTTTTGTTCAAAATGATAAACTTGAAAAGTAATGTAGGAAGGCATCAAGAGATACACACCTTTTTGACTACTAGCACAGCAAGAAAAGACATTTATACTTTGACAAGTTGGGTTCGACAGAGTGGTTTTCAGTCACTAGATTGCTTGGTGCCTGGCTTACGTCCAGTCTCCTCCAGATCCAAACTGGCTTCCTTCTCTGTGTGTTCTGGAAAGTAGCAGGTGATGGCTCATGTCTGTGGTCCAGTGTTCGTGCTGTTATCTTTGTGGAAGACCTGGATGGACCTCCTAGTATGAGACTGATCCAACTCCAGCTGCTACAGGTGTTTTGTGGAGAGCGCCAGTGGGTGCAAAATTCTCCTCTGTCTCTGAAATAATAGAATTTCAAAAATTCAAAATGCAAAGTTTAAGACTCTATCAAGGGAAAGATCACAATTGGACTATATTTAAAATTCAGGCTTCTGACCATCAAAAGCTATCATCAAAGAGTGAAAGGTGTGTTGTTCATAACTGACAGAACACTCATGTCCAGAATATCTGAAGAAATCACAGAAATCAATAAAAAATATTTTAGCTAGACAAGAGACTTGAATAGACGATTTAGGTTAGGGATTATTCAAATAGATAAAGAATATAAACTCTAGGCCTGGCATGGTAGCCTAGCAGCTGAAATCCTCACCTTGCACGCACCATTATCCTGTTTGGATGCCGGTTCTAATCTTGGCAGCCCTGCTTCCCATGCAGCTCCCTGCTTGTGTCCTGGGAAAGCAGTTGAGGAGCTTTGGGACCCTGTACCCACATGAGAGACCTGGAAGAGGAGGATCTGGACCCCTGGCTTTGGATTCGCTCAGCTTCGTCTGTTGTGGCCACTTGGGGAATGAATTATCAGATGGAAGATATTCCTCTTTGTCTCTCCTCCTCTCTGAATAAACGTCTTTCCAATAAAAATAAAATAAATCTTAAAAAAATATATATAAACTCTAAGGTATGCATTCTCATGGAAATTCGAATTAAAACCACAGTAAAATGATACTGTCCACCTCCTAGAATGGGGAAAATTACAAATTAGATTACAAATAGCAGATGTTGGTGAGGGTATGGCAGTGTTTGGGCACTTTGAGAGTGCCCTTATTAGCAATTGTCAGGTACTACAGTTGCTTTAGAAGAACATGTCATGGCTAGTATTGTGTGGCACTGCAGGTTAAGCTGCTTCCTGAACACCGTTTCAAGTCCTGGTGCTCCATTTCTGATTCCTCTCCCTGCTGCAGATGGAACAGGTGTATAGGCCTGACCCAAAAGGAGCTTCAGCCTCCTGGCTTTGGCCTGGCCTAGACTTCGCCATTGACCGCTTTGGGGAAATGAACCAGCAGATTGAATACGTTTGTCTCTCTTTCTCTGTAACACTACCTTTCAAACAAGTAAGTTAGAGAAGGATGGCATGCATATGTGCACACCAACTTTCTGATACCATGCCCCAAATAGAAGCCACACAAATATCTCTAAATAGGAAAATGAACAAATCAGTTGTGATGAATCCAGATAATCAAAGCAAATGAATTACTGCTAAGACAGAGACTGTGGTCAACCTTGCAACATAATGTTCAAGGAAAGCCTCCACACCCGAGTGATTGCATACTGTATCTGTACATGCTGTGTCAGTGTATTCATTTGGAGTTTAAGAAACAGGAAAATTTAAGTTACAGCTTTTAAAAATGCATATTTTGGGCCCGGCGCGGTGGCGCAAGTGGTTAAAGGTCCTCGCCTTGCACGCCCGGGATCCCATATGGGCGCCGGTTCTAATCCCGGCAGCCCCGCTTCCCTTCCAGCTCCCTGCCTGTGGCCTGGGAAAGCAGTCGAGGACGGCCCAAAGCTTTGGGAACCTGCACCCGTGTGGGAGACCCGGAAGAGGCTCCTGGCTTCGGATCGGCATAGTATCGGCCCGTTGCGCTCACTTGGGGAGTGAATCATCGGACGGAAGATCTTCCTCTCTGTCTCTCCTCTCTGTATATCCGCCTTTCCAATAAATCAAATAATAAAAATAAATCTTTAAAAAAAATAAATAAATAAAAATGCATATTTTAATGATAAAAGTAAGAAAGTAGTATATGAGAGCAGGTTGTTTGGCCCTTAAGTGGGTTAAGAAGTTAATTAGGAGATATTTGGACATGATTTCAGTTGCTGACGTAATTGTTTTGTTTTCTTTTTGTGTTTATGAATTTTGTATCCATGAAAGGCAGGGTTAGAGAGGAAGACACAGAGTTCCCTGGTGTTCACTCTCCAAGCTGTGATAGCTGGAACTGGGTCAGCCTGCAGCCGGAAGCCAGATGCTTCTTCTGGGTTTCCCATAAGGGTGCAGGGGCCCCAAGCACTTGGGCCATTATCTACTACTTGTTTTGGCACATGAGTAGGGAGCTGGATCACAAGTCGAGCAGCCAGTACTCAGAAAAGCACCCTTATGTTAGTGTCAGCCCCACAGGCAGTGACTTTACCCGCTATTGCAGCACCGACCTGAATGACACTTTTAACAGGTAAGTGCTTACTGTTGGGCTAAATTACCAAGCTGTTCTCTTTTGTATCCTCTTTGTGTTGTTCATTTCATAACTTTTAAAAAGTTTTAAATTTGTATCAAATAATGGATGAACAGAAATCATATCCATGAAAGTGTGGATATCATACACTTTTTTACTTTACATTAGGGGAGCAAAATGCAATAATTACAGTTCAATACGGTTCTGATACTCCTGCTATATATCAGGTAGAAGTAAATGGCTAAAATTCGCATTTTCTATTTTATTACTAAGAAACTAAGAAACATACAAGATTATTTATTTATTGGAAAGGCAGATATACAGAGGAGGAGAGACAGAGAGGAAGATCTTCTGTCCAATGATTCACTCCCCAAGTGAGCCGCAACGGCCGATACTATGCCGATCCGAAGCCAGGAGCCTCTTCCGGGTCTCCCATATGGGTGCAGGGTCCCAAAGCTTTGGGCCGTCCTCAACTGCTTTCCCAGACCACAGGCAGGAAGCTGGATGGGAAGCAGTTCTGCCAGGATTCAAACCCGTGCCCATATGGGATCCCGGCACATGCAAGGTGAGGACTTTAACCACTGGGCTATCACGCAGGACTCATATTTATTATATATACATTTCTCCTTAATCCATTCATGTGATGGACATTTTGCGGATTACATATTTTCACTGTTACCAACAGTGACAGTGCTACTGTAAACGTCATATTGCATGCATGTCTTTGGTGCAGTGTGTTCATGTCATCTAGTGGGATTGCTGGAACATATGGCAAGTCTCTTTCTGGCTGTTAGATTTCTGTTCGGTTTCTATAGTGCCTGCACTAGTTGACATTTCTGTCAACATCCTCACCAACATTTGTTTAGCTCTCTTGGATAATAGGCATTTTCAGAGGGATGAAGTGATAACCTCATTCTGGTTTTGTTTTGCATAACTAGTAGTGTTGAATATTTTTTCATATATTTGTTGGCCATTAGTATTCCTTCTCCAGAAAACTGCATTGAAGCCTTTTAATAGCTTCTTAACAGGATTTTTTTAATTGTACTTTTTGAGTTGTTGATGTGATCTGGATATTAGTCCTTTGTTGGGTAAGTGACTTGCAAGTATTTTTCCCATCTGTCAAGTGTTAGAGAGCCTGGTTATTACATGGATAGAGCCAGCTGATTTTTGGCAGTCATTCCTGTATGTTAGGGTGGAGAAAAAAGAAACTCTTCACTAAATTGTGCTGATAAAACTGTATGTATATGTAGAAAAGTGCTATTAGATTCCTCCTGCTTACCATATGTAAAAATCTAAAGATTAGTCAAAAACTTGCAGTTCCAACCTCATTCTGAAATTATGAAAAGAAATGTTGGGAATATACTTCAAAACATTGGTGTTGGTGAAGACTTCTTAGTAAGGCAACAAAAGTAAAATAGATTGAATCACTTTCAGAATCCTCTGCATGTCAGAGCAAACAGTAAAATGAAGAGACATCCAATGGAATGTCTCTTCATTTATAAGCTACTTACCTGAAATTTTCTTAAGAAATTAAAAATCCTGGGCCCAGTGCAATGGCTCAGTGGGCTGAGTCCTCCCTCTTACGCGTCAGGGATCCCATAGTACCCTGGTTGGTGTCCCAGTTGCTCCAGTTCCCATCAGCTTGTGAACTGGAAAGCAGCAAATGGCCCAAAGCCTTGTGACCTGAAGCCACATGGAAGACCCAGATGAAGCTGCTGGGTTCAGATCGGCTCAGCTGCTGCCATTGCGGCCACCTGCAGAGTGAACCAGCTGATGGAGGGTCTTTCTTTGTCTCTCCTTCTCTGTTAATTTGTCTTTCCGATAAATATAAATAAATGTTAAATAAGCAAAGAAGAAAAGAAATTGAAAAGTCTACATTTTAGATTACATACAATTGGCCGTTTGTGGATGAGATCCAAATTTTATATTGATGTAATTTAAAGTGAAACACCTGTTTGTGTATGTGTGTTATATGTAACTGCTGCTGAAAAACTGAATGTAACTGTTACATATTTGCTACACTGGAGCTAGGAAAAAAGTCACTAAATTTCATCTAATTTACACTTTTCATTAGTGGACTCCTGATTAAGCTGTGCCATGTAGAGTAAGGTCTTGCTAAATGTGCTAGCTTATCTCAGATAAATAGTTCTTCCTTCTGCAATAGTTCTTTGATGGGCAGCACAATTTTTTTTATAGTTAAACAGCTACTTAATATTTTATTTTTGTAAAAGATTTGTTAAGAAGGATAGAAAGGTTGTTCATGCACTAGCTCATGCCCCATTTAAATGACTGCAGTGTCCGGAGCTGAGCTGATGATAAGCTAGGAGCGTCAGCCTCCACTGTTTTCCCAGATCCTAAGCAAGAAGCTGTATCAGAAGTGGTACAGCTGGGATATGAACAGGCGTCCATGTGGGATGTCAGCACTTGCAGGTGGAGGATAGGCCTTTTGAGGCGTGGCCCCAACCCCAGACAGCACAGTTTTTTTTTACCCCCTTTCTTTTTCTGAATTTATTTTATAATACAGTTCAATATGCTCTGAGGTTTCTCCTCTCTCCCTGTCTAAATCCTCTCCCCTACACTGATCTTCCCTTATAATATTATAATAGTATAGTCCTTCAAAAACAGTGCTAAGTCCACCATTCTGCTATTTAAGTGTGCCATGATATTGTAGGTATAGAGAATAAAGTCCAGCATGCTATTGTCAGGATGTATTTAACAGTTTCATGCGCAGTCCATCTTTGACTTGGAAGTAGGGGTGCATACTGCTATGTGTCTTCTCATCCTCATATGGCAGTCTCTTACACTGTGCCTCTGGATGACTCTGTGTACATGCCTGTTTACCTGTATATCTGTTCATCTTGTGGTCTTCATGAAGGTTCCCTTATATCAAGAGCATATAATATTTGTCCTGTGGGGATTGACTTATTTCACTGAGCCTACTGGTCTGTAGTTGGGACCATTTTGTTGCAGGCAGAGCAGTTTTAAAATACAAGCTTTATTGTCCGCCATCACAGAAAAAAATACCTAACTTTTTTTTTGACAGTACATAGTTTTAAAAATAAAGTTTTCCAATGTAAATAAATATAAATCTAGCACTTGCCTATTTCCCTCTTTGTTGAAAACATCTGAGAAATGGGTATCTTTAGTAGTTTTCTCCTAATTGCTCTATGTAAGTTTAGAAACATTAGACTATGCTCTGTAATATCCTTTCACTGTTTTTCTCTATCTTCTGTTTCTGCTAGCCCTTTTACATTCTAAGAGGTTGAAGATTATGCTTTAATTCTCAGGAAGTCTCTGGGGTTGCATTTTCAATCTCATTTTGTAATTATAAAAAATGGAGAAAGTAAAATTACTTTTCTATAGTTACAGAGGCAGTAAGTAGACTCTTTTTAAAAAAGTGTAAATATTTTCAGTTTATTTGAAAGGCACGAGCTAACAGAAGTCCAGATCTCCACCCAGGTTCCTCATGTGGGCGCGGCAGCTCAAGCAGTTGGGCCGTTCTCTGCTGCTTCCCACAGGCCATCAGCAGGAAGCTGGAGCAGAAGTGAAGCAGCCATCACTGGAACCAGTGGCGTGTAGGAAAGCACTGCCAACAGTGGCTTTACCTGCTCCTCCACAAGGCTGGCCCCAAAGTGGAAGATGTTGAATCTGGATTTTTTAACTCCAAAACTCTTGTTCATAGCTTCTGCTGCCACTCCCAGAGTTTCAGTTTTAGGGTTTTTTTTGTTTGTTTGTTTTGTTTTGTTTTTAATGTGTTTAATAAAAACAGTGATTTATCATGATGGTTGAAAAATGTGCTTTGAAAATTAGTATATAAGATTACATACTAGATTATATAAGATTTTATAAAGATTATACAAGATTTTAGATTGCTAGACATTCAAGTTTAATTTTATTTCTAAAATTTATTTATTTATGATACAACTCGTAGGCTTAGGGACTTCCTCTCCCGTCCTACTCGGCTCCTCTCACTGCACTGATTTACCCTATATTATTACCGTAGTTTAGTCCTTCAGAAAAGTCATGGGTTCATCATTTCTGCTCTTTAAGTGTATCTTGACATTGTAGGTATAGAGAATAGCAGAAAATCCAGCATCCTGTTGTCAAGATATGTTTAACAGTTTCATTGCAAGTCCATCTTCGATTCAGGAGTAGAGATGCATGCTACAGTGTGTCTTCACTTTTTAATGTGATAGTTTCTTGTATACTGTTCCTCTAGATTGTGTGTACATGTATGTTTTAATCTTGTGTTTTGCATGAAGGTTGCCTTAAAGAGAACATGTGATATTTGCTTGAGATTGGCTTGTTTCACTGAGCATTGAATATCTAAGTTTTAGTAAATCATATTTTGAAATCGACTTGAATGGTGTGTTTTACAGTCTGTAATGTTAGTGTGTGTTACCACTGCGGTGAGGGCAGTTGTCTCCCAAGTTTCTGCTGGTGAAACAGTTTGAAGTATTGCAACAATCCAATGTATTTATTTTGTCCTAATTAGTTTTCTCTTTTAAAGGTATTATTATGATGGGGACATGATTTGTAAAGTTCAAGGCAAGAGATTTGTGTACAAGTTTGTCTGTGACTTGAAGACTCTTATTGGATACAGTGCAGCAGAATTGAACCGTTTGGTCACAGAATGTGAACAGAAAAAACTCGCCAAGATGCAGCTTCATGGGATTGCGCAGCCAGTCACAGCAGTAGCCCTGGCCACTGCTTCGCTGCAAACAGAAAAGGACAACTGAGGCCGACACCTGCGGGCGTCTTTCTTACATATTCTGAGCAGGGATTGCTCTTACCTTTATTACTGAATTTGAATCTTTTATTTCTAGAATGTACAATCCAATGCATGATTTTTATATAAATATTTCATACTCTTGTGAATTGGATCTTTTTACTTTGAGCATATATTTTAGAATATGTGTTTGTTAAAAGATCACCACATTATCTGCAGCGTGACAGCAGATTCCTTGTGGGGTAGTTTGTTCACAGTCAGGAAAGCTAAAAGTGGTCAGTATTAATGTCTAGCCCTACCAAAAATAGCCACTGGCATCTGAAGATGAAAAATAAATGAAGTATCTCCAGGAAACAGTCTGGCTTAACTATTTTTGAAACTAACTTTGCTCTCTGCTGCTTTAGATGTTGCTTTACATAGAACCAGAAAACAGAGTTGCTTGGCTAGAGCATGTGTGCCTGTCTCATCTAATCAAGCAGAGCTAAAATGTTCCTATCAAATAAAATTATAATATTAGTAAATTGCTAAGCTGAGTATCAGATTATTAAAGTAATTTATATATTTGCAAGTAAAGGTTGGTAAGTTGACTGGCAGGCAGCAGTGCTGAAGGCAATGGTTGAAATGGCTAAACTCAGGCCATTACAGATTTTCTATATAGATTATAATGTCAGGCCAAGAACTTAAATTATTTTGAAAGAGGCATTTAATTCTAATAAACCAGCTCTTAGAGAAGTTCTAAAATCATCTCTTTTTCCTTTCAGAGACTTAAAAATTGAAAAGGTATACCTCAGAAAATATATTTGGTTGGTTTAGCTTGGCTTCCCTTTGTGTGTGTGTGTGTATGTGGTTTTTGTTTGTTTATTTTTGGTCTAATTACCCACTACTACCAGTTTAATCTGCAAAGCATATATATATTCCTGCAATTCTGATGTGATAAAGACTTTAAATTAGTCAGCAGTACTTTACTTTTAAAGATATTTGTAATGACTGCTAAGTGTAATCAGAAAACTTGACTTCCACCATAGGTATTCTCTTTGAAACAAAACTTCCCACTTTTTTTTCCTTTTGCGTGTTAGATGTGTGTACAAATGTTCTGTACATGTGCAGTTTACCACTTTATGTGGGCATTTAAACACATTTATATGAAGGCAGAATTACCCAAAAGGAAAATCATTAAATCATTTTGAAAACTCTTAAAATCAGTCTCACATATGAACTTCCTCACAACAAGCTAACACTAAAAACAAAAGAATAGAAATGGTTTTTCTTCGTAGTGTTGTTTGTTTTCAGACAATACAAATGAGAACATGAAATTCTGTGTAAAAGGAGATTGATTTTCTAATATTCTTTGGTGCATCTCCCCCTCATCCTCTCCTTGAAGTCCATTGCCGGAAGCAGCTTGGAGGATTGAGCCCGTGCTTTTCACTGACTTAGGAGGGAGGGACCAGGGCTGGCAGGAGCTGGCTGCTGCCCACACTGCGCAGGGCCCACCCATGTCGCCTGCTGGTCCTTCAACCCTGATTGTGAGTGCTATGCTATTGCACTACCTGGTATACTGTTTGGACACTTATTATATTGCTGTCTTAAATTCAGGATTTTGCAGTAGTTCTATGAGTAGTAAAATCTGTAAGTTTATAATTACATAGAAAAAAAAAGGACAAATTGTTAGTGTGATTGGGCACTTTCATTGCAAGAATATCTCAATAGAATAATATAAAATAATAGCTTGAAGCTCAAGCTTCAGAGAACAAACTGCTGTGGAGGGGCCTGCTATTGGTCCCAGGTTGACAAGTCACTTAGAGTTTAAAAATATCATAAAGTGTACTCTGGGTATATTATCAGAAGTAAAGATATATTGACTTTTAGATTTAAAATGCTTCTGGGAAAATATGTCAACATTTTAGCCAAGATAGCAGACTTCCCTGTGTATTTAGATTTCTAAGGCATGGGATAGCAGATTTATTTTAGATTTGTAACATCAAACTATTGTTTCTTTTTTCCTTTAACCATTCCTTGGTCTTTTTGGGGTTTTTTAAAGCCATTTTCTTCCCCTATCAGTTTTTTGTTCCTCACAATTTGAACAGAGCCTTTTCACCCGTGGCCATAGGCTGTTTCTCCACTTTGTCATGCAGCCTTCTTATGTACTGTGACTTCAGTAATGTGACTGATCGATTAAAGGAGCTTGTATTTGCCTCCAGATATTTGTATTGTCCTTATTGAGGTTACAGTTACCAGAAAGCTAGGTAGTCTTCTATTAAAAGATAACTAAGATTGTGAAAGAAAATAAAATTAATGCTCTTCTCTTTATAAAATTTTTAATACAATTTAGAATATATCCAAGGAAAGATACAACTATTGATCATCTTTTTTATCCTACTAAACTAATGAAATTTTTGCTTTAATATTAGAACTGTTTTTTCCAGGTGAAATTTTGAGTCCTTTTTCAAACATATTGCTAGCCTGATGTCTGAATATGTGTGTTATGCAAAAATCACGCTAAGCAGGAGGAGTGTATGTGTAGGGTTCATCTTCACATGGATCAACTCATAATGTTTGCTTATTTTTTTTTTTATTCTGTCCAGATTACTTAATTAGAAAAAATTGTTGTTTTCTGCCAATACTAAAAGTAATACCCAGTACATTTCTTTGGAAGGTTGTGTTTTGATAGGTCTGTTTTTGCCTGCTCATCAATTTATGTTACTGCCTCTAAAAAAAAAAAAAACTAATGTGTATATATCTTCGAAATAGCACAAAAGTATTTTAAAGTTCACAGCTGTAAAAGGAATATGTGAGAAACATAATGTCCTTAGACCGAAAGAGTGTAAAAAATACTGAAACTTGAGTATTTCACTTGCTGTCAGGAAAAAAAAAATAATTTTCAGTCTTTTGTAAAAGGGAGGAAAATTTTTGCATACGTTTTTACTCTTTAAATAAAGACACTTATACTGTCATAATAATGATTATGTATTTCTTTGTGGTTTTTATTTTTATTGTAATTTTACATAAAAGTTACTTTCTATTTTTACTTAGATAAAAAATATTTGTGCATAAAATGTAAAAAATAGTAAAATGAGAAAAAAATAAAATATTATGCATTATGCTTCCATGTTGTTCAAAGGATTATTTTTTTCCCTAGAAACAAATTCCTAAACTTTTGGGTTGGTTTGAAACCTAACAGTCCATTTGTGATAAATTACTTGTGTGTACTTCTTTATTTAACAAACTCTCAATTTGGTAAGAATAGTGCCATGGAAGTAAAATTGTTGGTAGACAGTCTGGTTTTGAGATAAGTAAGAATACCCCATCTACAAAGTCAGTTTCAGAATCACAAATGACCTGGGAAGACTAAGTACTTGTCAAAGGGCAAACTAATGATTGTTAACTTTAAGGTGTTAGTTTGACCTTCTGGAAATATTTTATTTAAAAGTCGGCTGTTTGAATTGGCTGGAGAAGCCTTAACAAAAATTAGGGAATAGATGATAGAAGGAGTCAGAAAAAAAATATAGTGTCCTTGTGTGGATGAAGGGATGACTAAACCTTGACATACTTAATTAAGAAATTATAGTGTGAAATGCTTTAAAAATACAGATTCTAATTTCTATATTTTAAAGTAATTACAGCCATCAGAACATGAGTGAGGTATATGAGAATACTTAAAAATTTTCATGGAAAATGGAAAGGTAAATTTATTCCGTTGCCCAAAATTTTGAAAGCGAGGCATAGTTTTTACATAATACAGGCTTCCATGAATGTTTTGAAGTATTCTTAAATTTTTTACCCAGGATTTCATGTTTTTGTTTTTGTTTTGTTTTGTTTTTTTAGATTTATTTTATGTTTATTGGAAAATCAGATATACAGAGAGGAGAGACAGAGAGGAAGATCTGTCTGTTGGTTCACTCCCCAAGTGACCACAAGAGCCGGTGCTGCGCCGATCCGAAGCCAGGAGCTCTTTCAGGTCTCCGACACAGGTGCAGGGTCCCAAGGCTTTGGGCCGTCCTGGACTGCTTTCCCAGGCCACAAGCAGGGAGCTGGATGTAAAGTGGGACTGCTGGGATTAGAACCAGCACCCATATGGCATCTTGGCGCGTTCAAGGAGAGGATTTTATCCACTAGCCCACCACGCCAGGCCCAGACTTCATCTTTTAAAAACCTGGCTTTAAATTAATTTGCAAGTAAAGGCTTGTTTAACGTGCTTGAGTACTGGTAAAACCTGTAGTGAAAAGACCATGTTTTTGGTTCCAATTTACATGAAGAAAAACTTGCAAAGCAAAACAAATAGGTAGTAGAGAGGAAGAAACGAAATTATTTTTTAATGGGTATTAAGTTTCAAATGTATAAAAGGTAAAAAGAATCGTTGTGCAATGGAAATACACAGCAATATCAAACTACTTTAAAATGTTTCCGATGGTAAATTTTTTTTTTCTTATTAATAAATTTTATTTTGACATTCTTTACATAGTTAATTAGGGTAAGAAGGTTCAAGGGCTACAGGAAAGTGGATAATACTAGTATGTTTTCCATATTGTTAGCTTCATATTCAAAGGGGGGTATTTAAGGGAAAAGCCCACCCAATTTCCCACCCTCCCCAGGTCCCGGATATAGGGCATGCTCTGAGGTTCTTGCTCAAGTGGTCTTGATATTGCCACAGTTATGAATCACTGTCAATCTTGCCACTCCAAGCACTATGAGATCTTTGAAAAATCCACTGATTGACATAGTCCATCATAGCTGAGATGGTTGGTTGACCTGTTCTGTCTTCTCTCTTTTCTTGGTTAGGGTTCTGAGTCCAGCATTTAGATTAGGAAGATCTCCAAAGAAACTTCTTGTATGTGCTAACAAGTACAGGGCCTGGCACCGTCCATCGCTCCAATCAGCTGGTGGTTGCAATTCCTGGGTTGGTTCTGTTTTCACTCCCGACTTCCACTGGAACCAATGGGTGTTGCAGTCCAGCCTGGTTCTGCCCATCACATACTTGGCCCTCACCTAAACCAGCAGGAGCTGTAGTCTAGGTTGGAGCGACCCACAATAACCCCAACCAGGCCCAACCCCTACCCTGGTTTGCCAGTAAGTGTAGCAGTAATCCAGTCTGTCCCACATCCCATTCCACCCCAGCCGCTGTCTTAGTTTTATGTCCTCCCATGGAAGTGGTAACCCAAGAGGGATGAGCCCACTATTTCCCTCCCAGGCCTCTCCCACTCCCAGATTCCAGTTGATGCTGCCCAAACAAACCTCGCCCACTTTAATTTTGTTTGCACCAGTAGGAATAATCTGCCCAGCCTGGCCTTTCCCTGATCTAGTCCAAATGAGGTGCACAGGTGTGGTAGCTCTGCCTAGTCTGGTCTGCCCCCATCCCAGCCCATGCTCTCCTGTGGAAGTAGCTGTCCAGCAAAGGAACCCTCCCTTATTCCCCTGCCAGCTCTGCCCACTTCCTTTCTTGTTCTCAGGCTGGTTGGGCGCTGCGGTCCCTTCCGGTACAGGCAACCTCACCTCGGCATTCCATAATGTGCACTAGTCTTTGTTGCGACCGAACCTGGGTCGACCCACACTGGTGCCTGGATTTGCCAGTGGATGACGTGGACAGATTCAGCCTGGTCTTGCCCCCACGTCTGCCAATTGTATGCCAGTGGGTAGTTTTCCATGGCTTTTTCTGGGCTGTTTCCTATCATGTTTCTTGCGTTTACCTGCTGGGTCTGTGCCCTGCCAGAGGAGTTGCCCAGGCTCCTCCATCAGAACCTCTCCCAATGCCAGGTTTCACGCTTACCAGTGGGTCCATGAGCCAACCCTACTCAGTCCACCTCCTGTCATAGCAGGAACTGTGGCTTTTCCTGACTGGCCTTCAACCCAATCTGGTTCTTGCTGTTGGATGTTCCAGCCCAGACATGGTTTGTCCATACCCACGTATGGCTCACACATGGCTCAGTAGGGGTTTGAGACCCTGCCTAGTCCATCCCACATCTGCCCTGGTCCTCCAGAACACCAGGGGGAGTCGGGGTCCGGCCCAGTTCGGTGCATTCAATCCCAGTCCACACTCGTGCCAAGGGAGACTACAACTGTTTCCAGATCAGAACGCAGCCCCCTTCCAGGCCACGCGCCTCTTGGTGGGAACCTCAGCCCAGCTAGGGTTGTCCCCTTTGCTCCCCAACCGGGTCTGTTCCCAGCCATAGATCACATGCCTGCCAATGGATGCTCTGACTCAGCTTGGCACAGCCCCTCCCCTGTCCCGAACTCTGCCTTAGACACTGTGGCTTAGCGTCCCAGGCTCCCACAGACCAGCAGGTACAAGAGCCTAGCTCGGCATGACCTCTGCTCCCTCCTGGTTTCTAGTTTTACTTGTGGGCTAAGGTTTGCTCAGTCGTGCCTAATCTACTCTGTTCCATTACCAGTTGACACTTTGGCCAGCTGTTGGAGCTACTTGTGCAGGACAAGCCCCAAGCCATAGCTTCTGCATGACTGGTATTTGGTGCTCAGCATTATTAGTGATTACAAGTTTTGCTAAGGAAGAGTTACTGCCTGTTTCAGGTCCAAGAAGCACAATGGGTTCAACCTGGAGCTAATTAAGCAGCAACTCAAAGAACCAAATCCCCAGAGCTCCCGGGCCGGGCGGCCAACAGGCGGAGCCTGGCACCAATGGCGCACTGGCCGCCCGGGGAGAACGGCTCACCATGTGCCCATGGCGGCCGTCCGGGATCCAGGCATGAGACGCCCCGTCCTGAGACCCACCAGCTGCCAGCCGGGTGCTGGAGGTTTAAATAACCCAGGCCCAAGGTCGCGCCCCTCCCAAATCCCATTCACCGCCCCATGAAGGCGGCGGGTGGGCCCCGGACCTGCCCAGTCCCGGAGGCCTCCCCCCCTCGGTCTACTCACCCCGAAGGAAGCGGCCCCCGAAACCCAGCAGGCCCGGGGAGAACGGCTCACCATGTGCCCATGGCGGCCGTCCGGGATCCAGGCATGAGACGCCCCGTCCTGAGACCCACCAGCTGCCAGCCGGGTGCTGGAGGTTTAAATAACCCAGGCCCAAGGTCGCGCCCCTCCCAAATCCCATTCACCGCCCCATGAAGGCGGCGGGTGGGCCCCGGACCTGCCCAGTCCCGGAGGCCTCCCCCCCTCGGTCTACTCACCCCGAAGGAAGCGGCCCCCGAAACCCAGCAGGCCCGGGGAGAACGGCTCACCATGTGCCCATGGCGGCCGTCCGGGATCCAGGCATGAGACGCCCCGTCCTGAGACCCACCAGCTGCCAGCCGGGTGCTGGAGGTTTAAATAACCCAGGCCCAAGGTCGCGCCCCTCCCAAATCCCATTCACCGCCCCATGAAGGCGGCGGGTGGGCCCCGGACCTGCCCAGTCCCGGAGGCCTCCCCCCCTCGGTCTACTCACCCCGAAGGAAGCGGCCCCCGAAACCCAGCAGGCCCGGGGAGAACGGCTCACCATGTGCCCATGGCGGCCGTCCGGGATCCAGGCATGAGACGCCCCGTCCTGAGACCCACCAGCTGCCAGCCGGGTGCTGGAGGTTTAAATAACCCAGGCCCAAGGTCGCGCCCCTCCCAAATCCCATTCACCGCCCCATGAAGGCGGCGGGTGGGCCCCGGACCTGCCCAGTCCCGGAGGCCTCCCCCCCTCGGTCTACTCACCCCGAAGGAAGCGGCCCCCGAAACCCAGCAGGCCCGGGGAGAACGGCTCACCATGTGCCCATGGCGGCCGTCCGGGATCCAGGCATGAGACGCCCCGTCCTGAGACCCACCAGCTGCCAGCCGGGTGCTGGAGGTTTAAATAACCCAGGCCCAAGGTCGCGCCCCTCCCAAATCCCATTCACCGCCCCATGAAGGCGGCGGGTGGGCCCCGGACCTGCCCAGTCCCGGAGGCCTCCCCCCCTCGGTCTACTCACCCCGAAGGAAGCGGCCCCCGAAACCCAGCAGGCCCGGGGAGAACGGCTCACCATGTGCCCATGGCGGCCGTCCGGGA